TTGCTCTTCAGAAGAATATGAATTCTCGACCCTTTCGACTAAAGATGTCAGTACGAGCGGAATCAGATTTGTCTGTGTCTGGGATCTCTGATGCTCTCTACGACGTCGTCGTCTGTGCTGGCAGTGATTGCCATATTTATCGTCTTTATTAAATTATGGTGAGAGGTATTGGAACTTCTCCTATCATACTTGGTGTTATACCCCTGCTAGTGTCATCAAATATGTTAGTTATGATGTTCTAAAGCCATGGTTAGGTGACACTACAGGCTATGAGTTCTACTCGCAGAGCAGTGCTCTAGTGAGGGTGTTAGAAGACACGTATGAGCTTGACGTTCCTCTTATTTGCTGGTTGTTCTACAATGTCATTGAGACGAAATGTACTAGCGAGGTCAAACGTGAACGAGCTAGGGATACTCTGAGGAGATTCTTCCTGTCGTCCAGAAATGATATGCTTCAACTTGCTGATGACATTGAACGAAATGTACAAGTAGATGTGCAGTTGAGTACTTCAACTACTTTCATCGATTATAATCTCGAGAATGGTGAAGGTGCCCAGAGAGCTATGACCTGTCAGTGGTTCAACAAATGCAACGTATTCCATCACCTGTGCGGGGAGATATCGTTCACAAAGCTTCTAATTTGCTTACTCTGAACACTTCTACATATACATCGTTACAATGTCATCGTACGTCATCGACGAACTTTCTACCCACGATAATTTTTCTACAGTCGGCATCGAGTCCTCATTTTTCCCACATATTTACCCTACCGAAAACTTTTGCAAATCTTTTTTGAAAATCGCTGCCGGGTGCGACTCTGTAAGAACTCATAAGATGTTTTTCATTCGAAGAGCTTTTTGGCAACCTAGAAACTGAAGTTATAGATTAATCAGGATATATATAATCTGCATCCGGATTATATTCTCAATCTACGCCAAAACTATATGACCACCAACGTCAACGAAGCTGCTTACTATGTTACTGGTTCTGCTGGTTGTGGCAAATCGTAGGTCATGTTACATATGATACGGTCGTCTCTACTTGCAAGATGTCGCGTAGCACTTACATGTCCTACCGGATTCTTAGCCTGCGATTTTAAAAATGAAACAGCATCTTTCCTCTATGCTAACAACCTACATGTGGATACTCATCACTCTCTATTCGACCTCGCCCCAGTTGGTACAAGGCTTGTACTACAAGCTGTAGAAGCGGTAACTTACTTCGTAAAGATGGCGCTATCTGTGTAGACGAAGTTTCTATGGTACCTGCTCTTGTCATCAATAAGCTGTTCGAGGACCTCAAAACGCCTATTATTTTATTTTTCGGAGACTTTGGTCAACTCAATCCTCTCATCTCAGAGTATCATGCTAATCCTGCTGTTATTACCACGCGTGAGATCAAAAACGGTACTACATCCTCTACTTTTCATTCTAAAACTCAGTTCATTTAACTATACAGCATAGACTTGCTCATAATGCTCCTGTTTCTATTTTTTTGTCTAAACTCCGTAGTAAACAGATTAAGGACGAATGGTTGACTGAATTTGAAAAAGGCACCACTTTCCCTTATTTGAAAAAACTAAACTTATTGTCGTCTTGTACTACAAGTATGACAAAAGAGCTGCTCAGCTTGTGAGCCAAATAGCTTTTTCCATTTATTGTACTGACGGCGTACAGCAAGATTACTTCCTAGGTGACAATTCGGTAGAATGTCCTTTAATACTCAGAAGATACATACTAACTATTAATGGAGATAAATCTAAAGATTTTGTTAACGGTATGAGAATTAGAATCCTCGAGAAAGTAGGAGATCGGCTAATTGCTCAAATGTTTAGCAAGAACATCATCTGTGCCCACAGTATGCATAATTCTGACAAAATACTAAATACCACCTGTTTTAAAGTGAATACTCTATATCATGTTCCTTTCCCTCGACGATTCATCGTGCACAAGGACTAACTTTGAAAGATACTACTATCATCTCATGGTGCGACCTACCAGAGTGGAGAGACCCTCGTTTACTTTACGTCACTCCAAGTCGTGTACAGCGAAAAGATCAATTTCGAATTCTAGGTCCGTTAACTTGACGCATGCTGTTGTAGACATTTTTTACTCTCGTTGTATTACATTTCAGCAGTGAAGGTGTTGCGATGGTTGGCGTTATACAGACTTATCAACCATGTTACTGCTTGACAACGCTACAGAAGATACCTTCGCACTGAAACGATTTTGAAACAAATGATCGTCTGTCCGATGGGTGGACATGCTCTTCCTCTATTCCTTATTCTCGGCAGGAGTGGCATCCTTCAATGAGCCAAACTCTTTGATGATCTTCTTCTTTATGTTGGCATCATCCGAAACATCGTCACTCTGTGTCGCCTTGTCATTGGACTTTTCCTCTCCATCAACCTGAACTCCGGTAACTCAGCGATTCTGTCTCACATCACGAGAATAATACAGGGTGGTGCAAAAAAGGGCCCACCCCTCGAAATTCTTGGCAAGTGACAGTTCGTGAACAACAAAGGTACCACTTGATTCAAGTGGCACTTGGAACTTTCAAGTGCCACTTGAATCAAGTACCTCTGTGGCTTTCAAGTTGAATGCCCTCATCGAGCTCTCTCCAACGGTATATGAACGGTTCTGACATCCGTATTGGACCCTATTTTCGCCCCACCCTGTGAATCCTACCTCTATTTCGTCACCAGAGTCCTCATCACTGAATTCGGACAAGTCAGTGATCGGATCTGTAGCATCATCGAAGCCACCGAACATATCATTCCTAGGTTGAGGCTTGGTAGTCTATATAAAAAGGCGATAGTCATTCAATGCATAGTGTCGGGCTATAGCTCACAATGTCTCTGACCATCTCGTTAGGATCAAGAACGACTCCACCACCAGCAAGGTAATCGTTTATATACCACGACCTGGGATCAGGGTGTTAGTACGATGCGGATGACCGAAAATACTCACGATAGTTGAACTGCATCAAGAGAGAACCTGTCATTGACAACGTCGACAGCGTCTGTGAACTCCTTAGGAAGGAGGTTATAGTCGACTGTGCTGTAGAACTCTGGTGTGCGGTAATCTGATGGTAGAAGTATGCTACATGCTAGAAGCCAGGGATGGGGCCCCATAAGTACCATGCTCATTGAGCCAGTTCAAGAGATGTTCGTAAGAAGTATGTGTAATTGTTTGCCATCCCAAACTTCGAGATGTGAAACGACTAAAGCTCTTGGCTGGATCCACGATGGGCTCTCCATCCAACGACACATAGTGAAGTACTGTTTTAGTTTCCTATAGGGTGCATTAATGGCCACCTGCGAGGTACTCAGCTACCTCATTATCAGTAGTCGCAAGCTCCTTCATGGTAGCATCGAAAACAGAGGTCTTCACTAGTGCATCATAGGGTTCGGGTGATGCTAGGAGTAGATGCCGTACTCTAGTCTGTGAAAGCATCATCTACTACTGAGACCTTCCCATCTGACGGTACCTCATCTTTAGCTGTCGTACGCTCGATAACACCCGACTCGTTGGCTACACTCCTGATGACATCCAAAGTTTCGTCCAAGACCTCCATCAACTTCTTCTGGCCTGAGGGCTCTAAGAAGGTGAGCGCATCCTCGGCCAAGAGTGGCAACTCATATCTGAAAGAAGGGAACAGTACGACTGCTGAGTACATACTCAAAGGAACTTACTTGCTGGTGGTATTCCCTCGATTGAAAAGCCTCCCTAAGCGCATCCAAGCTGTCCCTTGTGACCATCGGCCCAACGACTGAACCTTGGTAGTTGATGATGTGACGTCATCATCCGGGGAGAAGAGACGTGAGCGCGGATACGATGCTGGGCAGCTGATCCTGGAATATAAACACCTAGGTTCTATTCCGATGGGGCGAGGGTATTACACTGAGACATTCTGCATCATATCAGCAGTGACATCTTTCGTGAGTATATCTACTCCACGACCAGCTAGGAGGACTCTAGGCAGCTCAGCCACCTCAGTGGGGCAGTAGAGGGTGACAGGGGAGTACCCTAGAGCTACTGCTATAGCGCTGAGGAGCAGTAGTAAGGCGTGTAGTATGAGGCTGAACTAACCTGTCCGTAACAGCCTTCAAGAGGTTATCCATCTCCATATCAGTGATGACGGCAGCTGTTTTACCATTGCCAGGAGTGTAACGACCAACCTTACCGTTGCCTGTCCCCGACGATCAAGTGAGAACGAGCACTTGTAAAAAACCTACTACCTTCAGTGGAAGTTGAGTTTTCCAAAGAGACTATCGCGGCATCTATCTCACACAGCTTCCTTACTATAGAGGCTGCTGCTGAGTCGAAGAGGGTCGGCTGAGATGGTAGCGGATCAAGAGATACGGGGCGTAACATAACGGGTTACTTGAACACCTTTGACAGCTTCAATCAAGCCAGCCCGATTAAGAGGGATAGGCTCGTCCAGACCCCCTGTCTTTGCTCCTTTCACGACCTTGTTAACAGCCAGGGGATCAGCATCGCCAGTCTGAAAACACCTATAATATGAACAAGAGAAAAAATTATTACGTCCTCGTTCTCTTTTGCTGTTATGTCCCTCATCAAAGTTTTCACAGCTGCTTGAATATCGCTACTTGTTTGTTGTCTGGCCGTAGCAAAGCCTCTTAAGGCAGTGGATAAGGATGCTATACCGCTCCTCAGGCCAGGACTTGATGATGGGAGTACCACCTTCAAACTACACAGAGTAGACATATCGTAAATGAACTGGGGCATATAGTGACACCCAACCACCGACCCTATCCCAACATGTGGTCAATACTGGATACTTCGGCAACACAATCTTATCGGAATGTGAGGAAAATCCCGACACAATGCTTCACACCGTCACTGGTGGCAATCTACTGCTTTTGGCCGGCCTTAGACCTCCCTCCCTTAGTCTCCTTCTTCTCTAATTCATCCAAGTACTTGTGATGGCATAAAGTGAAGAGTGTAATGAGGATAGCGAATAGTATCACATGGGTTAGGTTGTATTCGAAACGATTATGCTGAGGAGTCATACCAATCATTATCGATTCAGCACATCCTTTTACCTTGAATGGTAGGGAGTTCTGTAGGAAGTTGCCAAATACACCGGTACGAGCCCGCTCCGTTACCACTATAAACTTGTAGAAGAGGCTTAACACGTATCTACGGCAGAGGGAGAGCTCCTAACTGGAGTCTGAACATGGTAGTACAGTGATAATCCCGATAGGCATACCACAAAAGCCCCAGTGACAAGAGCATCCAGTAGACGACTAATGCTGACGATCGCAGTCATGATGAAGAAGAGTGATAACAAAAACCTGACCACACTTCTACAACAAACCACAGAATGACTTGTCGAATTTCGTCATCGCGCGCCATGAAATGCGTTGCAAGGAGGGTGGCCGTCGTTGATCATTAGCGGTCGTAGGAATGATTAAGCTGTAGATCCGCTACTTCCTCAGTGCTGCCTTCCACTATGTCATCCAGCGATGGTGGATTCGACTTTGATGCAGTACTGGTAATAAAGGGGATCATCGATAGAAACCACCGCGTAGTCACTCTCATTGTTGGTTCAGAGAGCAGATAACCCCTCCAGTGGGGGAGAGGCTGGTGATACTAACACAGCAGGGATGTTCGGCGGAGGCATCGCCGATCTCGAAAGCCAAGTAGCTGTAACATATCTCTGTGGAGAGTGTGGAGCGTAATAGAAGGAGCCATTGTCGTAATGGTAGTAGTATGTTGAAGGTACGTCGACATCAAACCCCACGATGCTGTAAGGTGCCGTGAATGTGGACATCGTATATTATATAAACTTAGACAGAAGCAAAGGCCCTGTGTCTATGAGGCACGATAGTCTACTGTTTCTTATAAACTGTTGCACTATTCACGTTACTGTACAGCAGACTGTGCTGTGTTGGGTTGGGGTAGTAGCATACAGCAGATTCGCCGCTTGTTCCTTTCTCCACGTGATATATGAACAAGCTTACACCCCCTCTGGGTCTTTGGAGGCAGTAGACCTCGTCCTGATATCGCAGCTGGGGTATTGCAGATTCAAATGGGTGAGTATCGGTATCAATGCCTCAACTTGCCTCGAGGAGAACCGTCTAATCAGAAACGTATATTGAACCACGACAGGGGCTAACTCACTGACGGCAGTGAAGGCTTGTTTTACCGTAACAGCTGAGAGCAGTTGTGAGTGTGGGGTGTTGGTGTGGGGCAGCAGTACTTATGGTCGGGAGAGGTTCATGGTACTAGTGTTGCTGGTTATCCTAGCCCAGGGTATCAAGCCGGGTATCAGACAGAACTCCACCCAGTATCTACACGATATGAAGGGGAAGCTCCAGCGAATAAGAGACAATAGACTCAGTCTCGATGAAATCCTGTCTCATACGGATGATCTCCATGCTATCATACATACTGCTCGTGCGCGTCTTATTTGATCAGTTGTTCATTACCAACGTTATGTCGTCGATGGTGTTGAGTAATCTAGTCCGCTTGAGAAGATGAGCCTTGGGGTTAGGCTTGGCTCAGTCCTAGTCGAACCCTACTGAGGGCTTCAGTCTGAGGAAGTCTTGAATCTTACATTGTGAAGTGCTTAACTCAGATATCTCGTTACCCTGTGTTGAGCTAGTCCCATTCGATTAGAGATGTCCAATGAAACGACCACGCACGCGGTAGTGCAAAGGTTGTTGTTATTCAGTGAATCAGATTCCGGTAGGTCTGTGTGTGATAGAAGGATTGTCGATCATCCGCATTCGTCTGGGAGCCTGGTTATTCAGTACAAATCTCGATTAAGACCTACGATCACTCGTCCAAGCTCTTATCGTCACTTTCATCAAGGTCCCACCATAACCCTCGTAGACTTTCATTTGCGGATCGATTTTGTGTTAACTAGTAGTTCCACCCTCTCACTCATTCCGGGGGGTGCATCACGACAACTGCACGATGATTCTAACCTGAATAACTGAAGGAACCGCCTTCTAGCCCCAATCCTTCATGAAAAATAGTGGAGGGGACCGACGGGCCGAGGCGTTACACTTTCCCATGTGGTAAGAGGTGGAGGATGTACAGTTCATATGATGATGTGATAGAGGATGGGATTACAATTGCCAGGGAGTTAAGAGAGATATGAACCGAAAAGATTCCAAGAGCCACCTCGATGTCATGGTGCCTAGATGATATGTCTCGACCGATAACATCCTCGTCATGTTGGTGAGCGTACATAGAACTCGAGAGTTCTCTGTTGAGAAACTGCCTCAGTTCTCTGTCCATAGATCACCTCCATAGAAGTTCTGAACTCCCAACAACAGTTTAAGCAGGAGGGGTCATTTGAGGACTATTATCGTTGATTGCCTCCATAAAACAACGTTTCCGAACCCTTCTCCAACATAGTTATTGATTATTCGATGGTAGTAGGGGTGCGGAATTGATGGACATGTGTGGTCTCTAACAGTGGACTGTTGGTGGCCAACACAAGAAGTATGGCTACTATCATGAACAACATCAGTTATCGTGGGTATAGCATTACATCTCCTTTGTGTACGAACAACGCGAATACCGGGAAAGCTGGTTTGGGAGAATATCAAGGTTCGGTGATTCAGCGAGGGATGGTAGGAATCTCAGTTGTGGGCCAATCGAAGCCGTCGAGATCCATCTGGGACAAGAGCTGAAGAGATGAAATCTCCTGAGTTCAGAGCGAAGATAGATTATTTACAGTCCGGCCTACGACTTGTATGATCCTCCCGAGGATAGTGCTGAGCTACATCGTCGATCCTGCAAGGTGGAATGTGCGTGAGCTGGTGGAGTTGAAGAACACCCACCAGTTGCTTATGCTCTCTCTTGTCCAGTACTTATCTTGATGCTCCCTACTGTGCCTGTTACGAAGGAGCACGACGAGATTATAAGATACCAAGTCGGGCTGGTAACTCACTCAGTCGGAGACCGGCGTCCGATCATGATGAAATAGGTATCAGTGTTGGATATCCTCCCAATAAGGAATATCTTCGAGCGGCTCTCTCCCACAGATGGTATGCTGAACAGAGCGAATTCGACCTTTTCAGATTCTGCCGTGCCATCATTATGCAGAGTCAACCAGCGTGGACGGCGGATGTTACCGCCATGTGATGGACTCCCGTGGAGAGTAGAGTTCAGCTGGTAGAGCAATTTATTCTGTGCCACCAAGGCAAAACATCGAGGGGAGAGGCTGAAGAAATCATAGTCTGTCGCCATTAAAGCGTCCGGTCCTAATCGACGAATGGGTAATAGGTAACACGTTTTTCCGTCATTGGACTTCGCGCTGAGCCTATCACCATCCTTCTCCAGTGACATGGTTAAGGAGGCACCTTCTACGGAGAGTTCGCGCTGCACGGTTGTCGAGAGGTGACCGTGCATTTCGTCCGGCTTGAAGTCGGAGTCAAGGACAGTCATTCGGCGAGTAGGGTCGCCAAGCATGCATACGATTGTGTGTTTTGGTTCCATCTCGTATATACAATAGAGGTCATCGCCTAGCCTACCCAGGCAGACGGATGATGACAGCACTGAAAGAGCGCAGAGGATGCGGGATACGATAGGGGTATTGCACAGGCGGCGAGATGATATCGACATCAGAGGACGGAGAACACGATCGACTGTAGAATCGTCCCCTAGAGTTTGTTCGCACCAGGCTGGTGGACATGCATTGACAACGCAAGGCTCCTCCTATATACGAAGGCACTCACCACCAGTGTATGTCATGAAACCGCTCTTCGTCCGAATTTTGGCCTATACTCCTGCTCACCATCATGTGTCGCCAGATAATTGTCTATACTGTCATCCACCTCCCCTCCCCTTGCTGAGATCAGCCTAGCATCACTGCCATCCACCTCCCCTCCCCTTGCTGAGATCTGCCTAGCATCACTGCCATCCACCTCCCCTGCCCTTTCTGAGATCAGCCTAGCTTCACTGTCATCCACCTCCCCTGCCCTCTCTGGGATGGATACGTCATGTTGATGGCCTCCGAGCTGTGGAGCAATGAATCTTCTGGGAGCACGGGTATGTGATGGCTCAGGGTAGATCTCTGGACCTCCCCGCAAGACCATACCCTCATCCCTATCCGGTTTACTGATGCCTGTATCACCACCCTCTGTGAATAGTGTATCCAAAGGATTTGTCACTGGAGGCACTGTGGTCGATGAGGGTTGACGACCCGTCTCTGGGCTAACTCCAAGCCGCCGGTCATCAGCCTCTACCAGTGCAGCGCTACTAGGGGCAAAAAGCGAATCCAAACTAGGTAATGCTGAGGCCTTGCTCTCCTTCGAGTCAAGGTCAGGAGTAGGAAGAGCGACAACAGATGTTCCAACAGGCGCCAGCGTCATCAGGTCCATACTGTATGCAGCTTGACGCTGTTCGGCACTGGGACTCACTTCACTGCCCCCACACGCGTCCATGGGTATATGCATTGATTCCACATGACTATCATCTTGGCCATCATCGCAGGCCGATTCGAGGGGTTCGCGTAGTCTCCCTTGCCTCCTCCTCCTGTCAGCAGCGTCAGCAATACTAGCAGTTGCTTGCTCTAAAGACAACAGTTCCGTATCACCTCATCATGATGACAACCTACCAATATGCTTAGCTCGTTCCTTGATCGCCATTAGATCAGGCGAGCGTTCGTCCTGCGGTGGGCTGCTCTTCCGAGCCTTTGGTGACCCGGCTATCTCGGAGGTCGCTGTGCCTGTAGACCATGAAGGAGGAGGAGAGACTTGGTCATGCCCTACTACTACTGGCACCATGACTGCCGCCTCCACCCGTATAGAGCCCTTTAGGTGAGTGGTTCCTCTTGCGGATAAGTTCAGAATAGTCAGGCCGTAGTGATCGAGGTAGACTCTTCTTCACATCATGTGGCAATGAGCTATATAGCTTAACATGTTCACTGATATCTACCGCAATTACCATAATCTACCACCTCTAATAACGACCTACGCTGTCTTTCTAAAGTGGAGGCCCGATCGAGCCTCGTCTCTAGGTCCTTCATCTCCAACTCTAGACGCTGACGGTCTGCAGCGTGCGCCCTCCGTCTCTGCGTCATATTCCGCTGGGACTAAGAAGCCGTAGATGTCTTTATCTATTCCGATAGAGCAGCAGTGCACGACCTGGTCAATGACCCTAGTTAGATTGGCCACTTCTGCTTGCAGTTGGGACTTTCGTGCCTCAAGCTCGACTCTAGCTCTTGCCTGTTTACCCTCTGCGGCAGAACTGCGGCAGTCCTGTGTGGAAGGATGACTACAACGGTTCGGTGGACACTAACCTGTTCTCTCTGTTGTAGGTCGCGTAGCTTGGCAGCAAGGTGAGCCTCCTTCTGCATTAGGGCCGGCATCTGCCTCTCTAGTGCCTGCTAGACCAGTAGGTATAGAGTAGCACGTCGTTGGATACCTCTATTTCTGCAGCTATCTTCCTATTTTTCTCGTACCATCTCTCGACCTCAACACGTAGCTGCTGCTCTTCCCTACGTTGAGCCATGACTGAGGTTGACCAACCTCCTCCGCGGAAAGCGCTCGAATAACACCTCTGCCCACGAGACCTCCCCCTGACGGGTCCTCTTGGTCTAACTTCACCACTCTGTTCAAGTCCCAGTCGTTACGAGATACCTCCGTCTCTGAGTGCATGCATATCATCATACACGCAGCTCCTGTTGACGCCTCACTCAAGGCCCTTATAGCTTTCCGGAGCCCTTCTATCTCTGAGTCGAGAGCCTCGTTCTCTACTTGTAGTGCCACACCTCGTTCCCTGGAATTCATATCGGTTACCATGCGGTTGATTGCTATGGTCTCCAGGACTTGTCAACAGCGCGCGAATGCTTTTGCCTTAACCGTTTCAGCTCCGCGTTCGCTGCATCCAGCATCCTCTTGGTGCCGACTGCGTTGGCCTCGACGCTGAGCATCATTATTGGGCAATCAGACGGATGCAGTCGAGAGCCTACTCCCTTGAGTTGATACTGGGAAGCATCCTGGCCGGAGAGGCTGAGTTTTTGCCACGTGACGAACCTACAGAGTAGCTCGTGGTAGACTTTGTGGTAGAACTAGTGACAGTATACAGTCGTTGACGCCGACTACTGGAGTGGCCATACTACCCCTCTTTGCTGCTTGGAGTCGCATAAGCTTATCGATTGCTGGTACAGCAAGCTCTGCAGTGCGGGCCAAATGCTTTATCCATCGACGGAGCTCCGTGTTCTCTTCCCCTATATGCATTCCTTTCCTCCCTACGCCCCGGTAGCGTTCACAGGATCCATTCGTACGTAATTGTTCCCAGGTCATGGTCATGTCCTTCCTGCTGTCAAGGTATTCCCTCAACTGGATGCATATCACACACGACCTACACAGCTGACTGCCACTGTATGCGAGGGAATACCCTCACTTGCATCTCATACAGTAACCACCTCCCAAAGCTGATACGACCTCAGCTTGAAGCAGGGATCGATCTCCTCCAAACACACCGAACGATCCTACCAAGATGAAGGCTTCTAGTCAACTGTCTACGGCCTCTACCTCGACAACGGGGGCATTGCTTGGCAATGACCGATGATCGGAGCCCTTCCAGTCGAGGCCTTCTCCTAGATGTTCCACGCCCTTCAACGGGCATCGAGGCCTTATTTGGTGCCGCGTTCTGAGATGAGTTGGGGGAGGGTGTACCAAGTAGTAGGGTACCCTATTTCCTCCGTATTTAGTGTCCTGAACAACAGCCTTCTTGAGTAGCGTATCTCTACGCGGGTTATTAGCCCTGTCGGGCATTATCATCTCGCTGACGGCCTCCAACGGTGTGCTCAGGGCCCTTGAAGGCGCACCCTCACTCGGGTCGTCAAAGTCAGATTGGGAGTATCTATGGAGCCTCTGTCAACGATACCCCCTATCCATGTACTTCTCATCGCTTTCTTCACCCTCCATTGTATGGGACTGTTGATTACTCTGCACCAGCCGTTTGCTCAAGTCGGAGCTGCCGAGGAGAATGCCACCCTCATCGTCATTGATACGTCCACGACCTAGATGATAGTATGTAACAACAGGTAAATCGTTATTCCACCCGGCCTCATAGGGATGCCTGCTCCTCCAGTAGTCTCCGCTACCACACCACTGGAGTAGCTAGACAGAGGCACCGAGATGCGTGAGGGGGCTCGTGACGACGTTATACGTTGATGCCTGAGGTTCTACTCTCCCACGTACTAGATGGTTCAGAAGTAAAGCCCCACCCGTCATAGAGATCGGCAGATGCATCCTCATCGTAAACTTCATCGCCCCACAGATCATCATCAGTCTATAAGGCAAGCAGTGTCTGACTAAGTCATATCACTTGGGACTACCGAGTCTGGTCCGCTCCTGTGACCTCCTACCATCGTAGAGGTCATCGAACCGATGCTTAATGCAACTATATTCCCAAAGCGATCGTCAGTAACATAATGCAAGATATATTCCACGACAATTTATTAGGGCTAGCTGCCTTGGTGATCGATTCGATTCTAAGCTGGTCCTAGGTATTGACTTGTCTATGACGAGATAATCATTAGATAGATTTTCCTCGTCAGTTGAGTCTGGACAGCACTCTTTCGACACCATAGGTGGTCACTTCATTATTCGAGGGCAGTCACTATTCTGGCAAAGTGCATGAACAGCGCGTTAAGAGTAGCGCACGCCACTTGTTCAGCCTACTGAGTGAACGGGATTGATGGAAAACGTTTCCAGTGGTCAGCGTTGTGAGACGATCATTGAGGCATCAGGAGGGTAGCGTAACGCCTCTCGCAATTGGAGGACGAGTGCCATCACGCGGGCACTCCTTGCATGCAGTAGACGCTACAAGCTTTGCGGGTTCTATAACTTTAGCCCTCATAGAGGGTAATAACAGAACCCCTAGTACTCGAGGCAGTGGAGCGGAGAGAAATCCCTCGGCGAGCTCTTTGTAACTCGAAACAGATGGAGCGTCCTACTGAGCCAGTGTAAAAGGGAGGGCATTCGACAGTTTGGACTATTCATCACAGAGCGAATACGCATCTGTGATGAGCTCATCATATAGCGAATCTTTGGACGGTCGGTGCCCATCCAGCGAGCAAGAAAAGCAGTTTGGTCTTAGCTCGAGAGACGTCGTGTTCCATAACCGAAACATGGGCTCAACCACGATCATCTGATAGTGTGAAGAGTTTCCTCTCGGTATGCTCGCTCCTAATGCCTTGTATTACAGTGAATAACAATGATATTAAGCTAGTTAATAAGGGAGAGATTGAGATAATGATACTAAGCGAACGCCGAACGAACATAGAGATACGGTTTAGTCGCCACACAAGAAGCAATCCCGTGGGGGGGTTACTGATTTCTGCCGTGTATTGACAACCCAGACTGCCACTGAGTACCAATAGCGGGAGGATTACCTCGTATAGCGCACTATAAGAAGTTGGCATTTGCCGTGACGGATCGTAGTCTATGTTCCTAACCAGCATATGAGCTTTCAGTACCAATCAAGGATATCAAGCAGAGCAGCCTCGACACTTGATGCGGAGCGAGTGCATGAGAATACTGGGGGGATGGTAAGCGACGAAATCGAGGAAGACATAGAGTAGGTAAGGGCTATATACAACTTGTACTGTAGCAGAGGTAGCAGGTACGATGACGACTTCGACACGGAGTCGGAGGACGATATTGATGAACGAGTAGCAATCATTAAAGCTGGTGGCAGTAGTGAGGATTATAGTGAAGCTCTGGCGAACCGATTGGGCCTTAGGATAGGTATTGGCCGGCCCTCGAGCAGGAGTGGTGGTAGAGTGTCTTTATCTATCGAGAGGCCAACACAGGTCGGGGAGGGAGGGTTGGGTTTAGGCAGCGGGAGTTTAGGTATCGAGGGGACCTCCATCTGAAGGTGAGGACCACATAGAGGATATCCGTCGGGCTATGGAGGTGGAACGGGAAAGAGCAGAGCATCATCAACAGATGCAACGACGATTAAGGTCTGCTTTGGGTTACATCCTGGACAGTGGAGTAGCCTTTTTAGCACCGACTCCACGATGCAGCTGGCCATACCAAAGGCACAGTTCACGACGGGTACTGAGGACCACGACCATCAAGATGAGGTAGCGCTCTTCCTTGGTAGGTGGAGAGAGGGAGCACAAGGAGCGTCTGAAGAGGTTGAGGGAACTTGAGAAACTGGGTGTCAAGAGGAGGATCGGCACACATCCCGAGACGTATCCTAGATATCGACAACCTCGTCATTGCTTCTTTTAGGTTTACCCTTCTCGACCAATGGCCGGAATCGGAGTATGTCCTCTTGCTGCAGAACAGAGGCAGCAGGTTCTCCCGGCTCCGCAGTGTCGGCTCGCAGTGTAATGATGACTCGATTGATCAACCCGTTCAGACAGTGAGGCTGGTGATATCGGGGGCTGCTCGTGATGGCTCCAGCCCAGATACTTCCAGAGGGATGTCCCGCGGCTGTCCAATCTGACCCCTTGCCCCCCGGGGACCGAGCTCCTGGAGGCTTGCGGGATGCAGCTAACAGGATGCTGGCTGCTCTCGGGGAGGGGATGAACAGTATGTCTCACCAGTCCAGAGGGGGAAACGATGATGCAAAGGAGCGGTCTTGGGCGAGTTTAGTCATGACTACCTTTAGGCCAACCCAGTGTTGACCAAGCTTTGGACGGGGGTTCTCCCTCGGTCCCTCGGAGGTAGTCGTCAACCCTCAACAGCGTCAATGAGTATGTGATCAGATCCACATCGAGTGGCCCAAGGCTTGATAAGTCTCCAGTCCCAGCAAAGGAGGCTGGTCGGAGTGGTCATCGATTTGCAATGGGAGCTTGCCGGATCTCGGAGTGCCTTCACCACCTTCATGGCCAAGCATGGCAAGGTACACTAGGTGCCGCATACCCTATGTGGAGTTAACTATACTTTAGACCATCATACCGTTCTTCTCTTCTGATAGAGGTTCGATGCCACAGCTCTACTGCTACTCACCGAGGTCGTCACGTTTGAATGACTCCTCCATGCCATTAAATTCCCAACAGATTCCTCAGTTGTGCCATCGGCCTTCGAGGGATCTCTCTTGTAGTGGGTGGCTCGATCGACGGCTGCCTCTACCTCTGGGCGTTACACTCCGATCGAAGTTATGAGAGGCTGCGTTGGGATGCTCAGGTGAGTAGGCATTGGGCTGATATGGATGCATATGGGAGTAGGTCGTCAGTTGTATGCCGCAGAATTGTGGAGGGCCGATGCAATGGGCCGCTCCTTTGTATTGGACTGGCGGGGGACGGGTGAGATCTACCGCTGTAGGATCGGTTCGATCCCTCCTAGTAGGATGTGGAGGGTGCTCTGAGAGATGATAGTGGTCGTCATTCAAGAGGCGTGGTGGCGATACAACAGGTTATGGAATCAACTGCGGCAACGATGATGTGGGTTTTGCCTGATCCGAACGAAATCATCATCATCAGCATGATAGATACTCAATAGACGAAAGTTCAGTAGTATGCTGTTGGGAAGTTCGAGGACCAAGGAGTGAGCTACCCACGCTTTCCTTACGCTCTTCAATGGACTTCGGCCTCGTCGGTAACAGTCATATGGCTGCAACTTGGTCGCCTATCATGTCACAGGCCCTGCGGCTTTCACAGTGCTTCGGTCGTGTCTGGTGATAGCAAGTTGCATGGTAGGAGTGCAGCAGTTCGAGCGTTGGAGTCCGCTACCTAAGCAAGCGGTACCTGGTACCATCCTCGACGATGTTACCGTATGGCCCTTTCACTCTTGGTTCTCGTACACTATGAGTGTTCAAGGTCCACCAGTTGTGCTTATCGACGGTCAATGATGAGCTCTTGGCAGTGTCACCAGGGCGCATCATTTTACTCACCCCCACTTCCTGCGTCCCAATACAGCAATGGGTCATTAGTGGAGCTCAGGAAGCGGCTGCATGCTCTGAGGGGCGATTCATTGTGTAATCACCTTTACAAAGCCTTTCCGGCTCCTAACCCCTGTATCACTGTCGAGATCGCAGTTTCGCTCCGCCCAAGATTTACTTGGTCATATCTAGTGATGGAGCAGTCTATGAGTTGCCTCTGACCTGTTCTGGAGCACATCACGTTGACGTGATTCTCGGAGGATCCTCCTCCGACATACTGGTAATGATACCACATGGGGTCGTCTGATGATCCCTGTAGGCAGTCGTCTACAATAATAGCCCAACACGCCTCATAGAACTCTATAGGATTTGCCCCTCTGGACTGTCTATTTCCCATATCATGGCTGCTCAGTAACTGTTATCAAGGGGATTACCCAAGGGTTTAGTTCAACGGCCTATCAATATATCCAATTTATGGGGCTCGGAGCTACAACTTCCACCAGCTCCCTCTACTCAGCGTTATAGTCATCATCACATTAACAGACATTAGGCTCGCCAATGAGCTATTGAGGCATCATGGAGAGACACACTTGATCTTTGTGACTACTCCTCGACGGATTTAGGGCGAGCGATATTTTACTCAAGTATTTGCTGCTGTGAACTCGTGATGGTGGTATGATCAGTTATGAAGAGGAATCCTCATCAGTTCCTAGCAGGGCTCAAGGTAAGGCATCCTCTGAGGCGGTCCTCTGGAACGCGTGTTTTCATACTTGGACATTTACAGATCTATATAGTCCCATTGGGGTCATTGTCACCGGCAACATGGCGGAGTAAGATACTCATTAAGCGAGCTCGGGAAGCAGGAGCAGACTTTATCGATCAGCGAGGCCACGATGATGGTGATGTGATTTATCTAGCATGTACCGAAACATATGCATCGACGAATGTAAAGTCTGATGAGCTCAGGTAGTTCAGTATCCGTCGGGAAGCTTAGGGTTCTCTTCAACGAAGAATGCCCAAGTCATTTAGTGAAGGTTGATTGGCTGTGTGAATCTCTCGATGCGGAACGGAAGCTCCCACTTGATCGTTATACGATAGATCTCAAAGAGCCCCCCTCGAAGGTGGCAAGGCGGTCCCCCCCTGATTCCTCAACTGCTCTGCGTCAACGTGAGGTCGGCTTACATGACGAACGGCAAACTGCTGTTGCTGCTGCTGGTGCTGCCGAGGATGACTCGAGTCGGGGGGTCGTCGATCGGAAACCTACATTGGACTGTAACAAGAAACTCAGCCAGATCTTCAGAGATCTTGAAGCTAATTTGCGGCATAATAAGGGAAGTTCCGATGAGTTTAGATCACGGAGTTATCGGAGGGCTGCTGATAAGATAGACAAGCTCGGGTAGTATATCTGTTATCGAGATGGTCATTAGAGATATCACTACGTTAGCTACCCCTTGGATACCGATGCTGCAGTGGAGCACTTTGCATCAGAGTGTGGCAGTGGTATAGGAGCTAAGACTATGCAGAAGGTAGATAGCGTGATCCCATGTAATTGCCGACCCTTGCTTAGATCCGTGAGTTCGTCAACACTGGTTCTGTGAAGAAGGCTGAAGTGATCGGCACCGCTGAACGTGAGGTCCTCTATGAGGGGGACGTGTTGGAGATCATCCTTGCAGGTGCTATAGGCATTCGTGAATTGACGAGTGTATGGGGTGTAGGGGTTTCAACTGCAGAGAAGTGGTAATAGTAGTACTTGGGGTCTACGTTGATATATTGAGCAACAGGTATGCTATGGGTATACGGAGTGTCGATGCACTGAGACATTCAGGGAGTATTGAGCAGCTCAATCACAATCAGAAAATTGGTTTGAAGTGATAAAACAAATTCCGTGAATGCATCAAGGTATCGTCAAATACCAGATACTTTGAGGAGTTCAACTGTAAGATACCTCGCCAGGAAGTTGAAGAGATTTCCACCGTAGTATTGGCGGGAGTAGACCAAGCCACTCGTGCCAAATACGGCGGACTGGAGCATTTCAATGTAGTACATGGCCGTGACTATCATAGCTGTCATCAGTTCGTGTAGGTAGTAGTGTGCGGTAGCTACCGACGTGGTAAAGCTATGTGTGGCGATGTTGACTTTTTGATAACGCACAGAAGTCGGCAGCTCACATACACAGAGAATGCCGCGATACTATCGTAAGTGTATATCGATCTTCCCTCGGCAGTTGGAGGCTATGATACTATCTATCAGGTCTATCGTCTCTTGCTTATCAGAGGAAGGGGTGGCACCATCATTCCCTCAAGCTAGGCTCACAGACCATCTCAACCAATATCGGCAACACCAAGAGCATTCTGAGGAGTCTAGTACTAGTTGCATTGGTCTTGATGACTATCAACAATTCTGTCAGTAAGGATGGACTCCGCAGTCGTCGAAGAGCCCTCTGATGATGATAGTTTTGATGACCTAGATTCCAAAGGGAGGGATAAAATGTCATCGCCTACGTGATAGGGCCTTCTCGCATGCTTTTTCTCTAGTGTATAGCCCTGAATAGATACTTTGGTGTTTTCCAGTTGAGCCCTAAACATATCCATCGTAGGGTGGACATCAAAGTGTGGTCTTTGAGGGAATACCCGTGAGACGATTGGTGCATCCGTTCCTCCTTCCGATGGTGTATGAGCTTAGATACGCCCTGGTCCACTTTACTGGTAGTGGCGTCTTCAATAGACGTATGCGGTACTACGCAAAGACTAAATTGGGGTTGAAGTGAGTTGGTCCTTCTCCGTGTGGGCGGTAGTAGCTTGAGCTCACTAGGGTCAATGACCACGGTATATTCCGTAGTGATGGCAGCTGTATATCCTGCAAGACCGAGAGAGATGTCTTTGACTGCCTCAATATCAAGTATATGTAATACTCTTCTTACTCTTACCACCACAGTGCTTCTACATCAGTGATCCAACTATGAGAGAATCCGAGACAGCCCTCGAAATGCTAGACAGTGGAATTAAGATATGAAGATGCTCTTGTTGATGCAGCACCTGTTTATGTCATTTTCTTACATTTCTCGTCTCTACTGAGTTGAGCATGTTGGTAGGACCTTGCAGTCAACAGGCCCTTTTATGTGCTCTTATGTACCTAATGAGGGGGGGGGGGCAGCAGTTCACTGTAGTATTGAATGGCCGTAGGGATGCGTCTCTACCGTCTCTGCGTCTCTAACTATGCTTTCTTCAGATGTCGAGTAGTAGTTGCATACATTAATACCGCGTGTTGATGGATACCGTCTTTGAACTGGGAGGGGAGGCTGAATGGAGCATAGTTGAGACGCCTCGGGTGAAGGTGCATGGCTTACGGCTCGTTCTCGGGTTGGAATGAAGCCTTACTGTTATTGTCGGGTTGCATCGTGAGTAACAACTCTATTTTTTCTCATGGTAGTTATTATTTACCCCGTATCTGACAGTCATGTCTTTCAATACAGGACAATTCGGTGGCAACGAGGACTATCAAAAGCAGGAACAACAACAGCACCCTGCGTTGTCATCGCAATCCCACTACTCGGTGCGCAATACGTTCATCGACTTCTCTGCTCCTGAGCCCCCTCTGGGTGATCCCGCTACCATGGATGACAATGGTAATGGTCGTCCGTCTATGGCGTTGAAGGCTAGGAGCATGCCGGAAGGCACCAATATCGACCGGACCGCATCTCGATTGGCCAGCATGCTCTTTCGTGGTGGTGCGGCATTCGGGTTTGGGCAAGCTGCCCCACAAGTTTCCACTTCCGTAAGATTCCCTACTTCTTTATAGTTATTGATTCTCATTGTCGTGATGATCAGGTGTTGCATCAGCCCTTCTCGGGCACTCCTGAAACTATACCCGAGGCTGGACCAGAAGACAGCTCTGGTTCATCAGTTCAGAGCCTCGACAATAATATGTCCAGAATTGTGGTCGGAGGTGAAGGAGTAGCAACTCATAATAATAATATCTCGACTAGTGAACAATCGGGCTCGCCCTTTGATACTCCTATCAATGAATATACTACTCTCAATTCTGTGATCTCGCCGCCATCTTCTAAGACGAGCTCTCCTCCTCCTCCTTCTCCTCCTGCTGCTGCGACTACTAATGACGGCAGTAGCAAGAGATCAACGGGTCCTACTCACATCAATATGAGTCAGCTTAGTGAAGAGCAACGAGACCGATTGCTGTCATTGATACCTAGAGACCCCGAGACTGGGAAGCAGCTTTCGGCAGGGAGTATAGTCCATGAACTTGGTACATGTAGGCCTTGCGTCTTCGCCAATAACACAGAGAGGCCCTGTGTCTTTGGTGTGGAGTGTCTTTTCTGTCACTATCATCATGATATTCGTAAGAGATCGAGGATGAGCCGTAAGCAACGGGTGGAGGCACGTAAGATGCGAGAGACTCAGAATTCCATCGGCTGTACTCTGGGTTCTCCAGTACTCGGTGATGGGGCCTCGGCAGAGGAGATCTTCCAATGCCTTGTGGGCCATGCTCATGCTGTGGAGCTCCAGAAGGTCACGTTAGATCATCTATTGGATTCACCTTCCGACATGCCACCACCATTTTGCACACCATCACATACCACTTCCCAGTACAATAATGATATGCATTAGGTAGTCTATTAGTATAGCCATTGTGTACTGTGGTTGATGTGTACAAGATACACTGTATTGTTATTGACTCTGGTAAAAGCTACTCGTCAATGTGTTCTCATTGATGTTGGATTGTTGATACTCCATCTTGATGGAGCATCATCTGTATGATCATTATCTGCTTCTATAACCCCACATTTTCTGGACTATTAACGAGTCTAGCTGCTTTTCGAAATGAGATCACTGTCTGTTGTCAATATAAAGAGATGTCGGTGTGTTAGGATGTGGCCCTCGGGTTTCTATCCCCTTGGTATCTCCCCTTAGCAGCACTTCCTGTTGCATACTAATCAGCTGGTTGCAGAACCTCTAGTGTTTCTAGAAGCTGCTACGATAATAATCGTAGAAACTGTCGATTCCCCTACTCCGCCAATCAGCAAGCCTCATGGGTGTGCATGATCTCCCCCTTCAATTCCTTTGTGCTCACTGCTCTCTGATGCACGTTGAAGCCCTAGTTAGACAGTCACATGGAGAAGATCGTAGCAGTTTTCATATTCAAAGTTTGATGAAGCTCTTTAACACCCTCAAGTAAAAGGCCTTTAGTAAGCGGATCTCTGGACAGGGAACACCTTGGAACTGAGTCTGATGGAATTCACCGACCCTTTCCAGACACTGTTGGGCATACTATGGCTCTCTAATGCCTTAACTGCACATGCTCGTGTGAACTTTCAAGTTGAACGATATGATAACTGACTTAGATATAACTGGCAATACATTATTGTAATGATTCTGGAGCACACGAGTCGTATATACCGATGATTATCATTACCCCCGGAGGTGGGGCTAACCAACAACCATCTACCACAATACTATCCTGACCATGCCATAAAATCCGCTTGCATGCCTGGTACAATCGCAACAAGTATAACTTCTATCTTCATTCTTCTGATGATAACACACGTTCCTAGTCACACACATGTGAATGACAGGCCGAGGTATTTTGATGTTAGATATCCGGTCTACTGAATATTCCGAAGATTCCAGTACCAACCTACTCCTATTTGACATCGACAATATTCTCTGAAGTACAACTGCTGAACACAACACCAGATGGTGAATAATAGTATAACATACACTGATCAGTCAGTCATTCATCCAGCAATACAACAATAATGCCACGGATCCGAGCGAAAATAACTAAAGAGTTAGTTACTAGAACATAGCTGGGTATATCCGGGCTATATAATCACTTCTTAACCGGACTTGAACAAGAGGATGGCAACCTGCCCAAGGTAGAAGTAGATGAAGTGCTTGCTTTCATGCGTCACGTAGGAGCCGAAATTACGGCCGACAACACAGTGCCAGGTGGGGTTATACCTGGAGGAGAAAATATACGACACCAGTGATGAGTAGAGAGCGGGAATACTTCTTGTCGAATTCCTTTTTAATGTAGGCAGCGATATCTTTCTCGATGTTGTACCTGGGAGAACAATTATAATCCGAAAGCTGGAGCGAACGGTAGACCCAGGGGAACCAGGAGGGCCAGGATTTAGACGCTAGAGGATAGTCCCGATACCATACTTCTCGAGGGCCTGAGTGGCACAGTCGATAGCATCCTGCTGCATGTCCTCCGACATGTCGGCGTTCTTGATAACAGCCTTCCGCTCTGCCATGATAATTAGGGGTGTTTTAGAAGACTATGAGCTGTACACAAATAGCGTCAATCGTTCGAAGGCGTCGTGCACCGTAAATAACGTCCAACCTAGTTGCCTAGCTCGCACAGAATCACCATTCCAGTTACTCCCATCGCCCACAACGTCATGGTCACAAAGGGCAGTAGTTAGATTCCACGTGCACGCCTCGCGGTCGCAGCCAGCAGTTTCACGGTGGGCGAGCGAGGAATTGCAGGAAATGCCTAAATCTTCTTGCAATTTTCTTGCAGTGCGATGATCAACGCGTCTCCGGTGAGACCTCAAGTGCTTGCCATTCAGATTGTTACGATGTCATAGAAATAATGAAGACGGGTTGGTAGGTGTGTCTCGCCATATAAGTCTGGTATTGAGTTGAATTAGCTCTGGTAATAACATCACAAACAAAGCCTCTGTTACTAAACACATTTCTGCCTTTGTGGATCTCACGTCACCAACTATCATCAAGATATGGAGACAGTTTTGTGTCGGGATTTCTGTGCGGCCTCGTTAGGCTAGGTCTTCGTTTATGTGTGGTTCAGTCACGAGCTCCTAAGCTCATCATGCTCGGTTCATTGTTAACACATCTGTTATTGTCGCTGAGTAAATAACGCTTTTAGATGTTTCCATCTTAGTGGGAGCTGTTACTAGGTGCAAGGACATCGAATTTAGGGTTAGCTTTCGTCAGTTAAAGTTTCGTCGTGTATAGACTAAAAATGATATCTTATGCATTCGCTGGAGTCCCTCCTTTCACTATCCTAACTCCTGAAGTGACACAATCCGTCAGTGAAAAGTTCGAAGAGGCCAGCACTAAGGTTCAAGAGCGTGTTCATGGTTTCAAGAAGACTGCCACTGGTCAGAGGATCTCTGCCGCTGCGACCAGTGCTAGTGACTATATGTCTGCTGCCTTCGACAGCTTCCTCAACAGAACTGAGGTCCTCGTGGATAGTATGCTTCCTCCTATTGAGGAACCTGTTGACATGGCTCATACCGAATCTGATGCTACTACCACTAGTCCCTCATCATCGTCGACCAAGGAGCAAAAGTCCTCTGTTGAAGCTGCTGGTCAGCATCAGCGTGAGCTTGCTCGTGCCCTGGGTTTGGCTGGTACTGTGTGTTCTCGCGTGTACACTCGTGCTGATATCTACGTCATCGAGCCTTGTAGGGAGTATATGTCGGACATATGGGAGTTCTGGTCCTTCCTTTGGTCCGGTGCTAAGGAGATGTGTGGTTCCCTCTGGGCATCTATCAAGACGTGGATTGTTACTAAGTATACTGAGTTGAAGGAGAAGGCTCCCGGTATGTGGCAGTATGTGAGAGCTCTTGTTATGGACAACTGGACGTCGATGAAGAATGCGGCTTCGTGTGCCTTTGCTAAGGCTAAGGAGTGCTCATTGTATATCAAGGATAAGGCTGTCATGGCTTGGAATAAGGCATTGACTCCTGAGAGGAAGCATAGTCTTGAGGAGATGTATAAAACCGTCTCTGTGAAGGCTTATGAATACTGCAATCTCGCCAAGGTTTCAATCATCAAATCTGCTAAGTCGGTTTACACGTATCTGGTTACTATTTTCACTTGGGACAATTTCAACAGAGGCGTTGCCTCAGTAAGTGCGGCCTTCGCTTGCCCTTGGGTATGTGGTGCTGCTGCCACTGCGAAGGATGAGAAGGCCTAAACTATGTATTATCGATAGATTTGTTCTAGCAGTTAGGTTGTCGTAGTATACAATGCCCATTCTTATTTCTATCTACTCTTCCTCCTATTCTCGGTTGTCGTCAAACCTCGTCTAGAGGTCTGTGTCACCGCTGTGGGTATTCAGTGTCAATCGCAATAACACACTGAGAATCCTCGAGTTGCTCTCAGTAGTTTCTCCGATTGTCTTGTGTAGTTGTTGTGTTTGTTCAGTACCGAGGGTAGTGGGGTCATTGAAAGATTGGTAAATTGAAATGGTTGATCATAAACAACAAGAAGATACCGGGTTCTCATTATTCTCGCAGCCGCATCCTTTGGTACCGTTAGCGACCTTCTTGGTTGGACAAGAAAGGCTAGATGAACAGGATGATGTTAGTGAGGAGTTCACTGTGAAAGAGCATCTAGGGTAGTAGTAGAAGTGAAGAGAGATACTACAATTATAAGCTTTGCCATGATACTGAGCAGTTTTATAGTGACTTGTTGTTCAGGCATGGTGACATTGCTAAGGATAACGGTCCTCCTATCTTTGGTCTACCAGACTTTGCGGGTCAGCTGAGAGATGTCACTAACCTGGTAGCGATGGCGACAGCTACAGAAGGGTGCCATACGCCATTAGCTGTCCATAGAATAGGGTAGTAGTACTAGTACTGTGCATGCCTTCTCTTCCATCTACTTTCCAGATCATGTCTAGTGCTGGACTCCTCTCCTGGACCAGTAGAGACACCAAATAGTGACAGCTTCGTCACGCTGTGCCCAGCTGAGCAGTGTTCGCCTAGGATCTCTCCAGTACTGCCTACTCCATTTAATGATGGTGGTACTCCAGAGGAGCTCGGTCTCAAGGCTACAGTCAAGCGGACTTTCCTCCACTTCACCGATGATGAAGAGGAGGAGGAGAAAACAATCAAACTATAGTGGGAAGGACTAAGAGTGCGCCCCCACGGCAAGGGGAGTCTGCTAGTGGTGACGATAAGGAAGATCTGAACAGCCAGACCCCGCTCGCTGTGAAAACTGTGAGAGAGCGCAACCCTCAAATACGGGACTTGCTTGCCCTGGAGGACCGCCCAGTCCAGGACCCCAGGACGATGTTCCAGCTTGCCGTACCTCACCTCCGAGCACCACCCTCAAGATTAGGCCGTACGGTTCAGTGGACTCTGGGTGGGTATAGGATCCTGCTTGGTTGTGATATGGTTGTCTTCCCTACTGATCGTCATGGTACGAGCCCTTTGGACTCTCTAGACTCTCTATCATCAATGGCGTCATTGAAGGTAGTACCTTCCGAGGGGACTTGGATATCGAAGAACCTCCGACGAGATGCCTGGGTTGAGAACAACTTACTCAGTGTGGGTAAGGTGGCCTGGTGCCGAGGTAAGCAAGTTAGTCTATGCAACACGGCGGACTTGGCTGATGAAGAGGGATCTGAAGACGGCACGTTCGATCCAGACCAGATCATTGACCAGGCGGAACGACTTCTGCATTTCCTCAAGAGATACTGTACACGACAGGGAGGGACCTATTACCTCTATAGGGACACTAACGCATGCGTGCTGTATGATACGACTAGCAAACCGTTTGGAGATCAACTCCCTGACAAGGGAGTATCCCCAAGCTCCTCCATGCTCAGCCGACCATTAGCAGAGCTGTGTGTTACACTAGCATCGAGAATGCCCTCGGCTCCTGTTGAGAGTAGACTGGACGTCTTATGGAAAGGCCTTACTCTCATACACCCTCAAAGAGTAACAGGGTATCGCTTGGTTTCGATCAACTGCTCATCAGGTCCAATACCCAGAGCTGTATTCGGTAATATGCATGCAACTGTCTTCACTAGCAGATGAGATGGACTCCAATGAGGGCCTCGTACGGTGTTGTCATCTCCTCATGCAGGCTCTAGCAGCCCTTGATACAAGGTAACACACAACATTGACTACAGCTATCACAATGGTTTACTCAGTAGCAAGAGCACCAACACGACGAGCAGTAGTAGCTATCGTGACGATGGATCCAGAGGAGGAGCTCCCCACCTGGGCGTGCAACTGTATGTGTCTTTCGCCTTCACGACGGTCCGTGCTGTCGAGCATGTCATGGTCCCGCTCTACCAGAAATGGTAATAACACGATACATAGGAGCACTTGGGATGAACACTTGCAGGTGTCGGTTGACTAGTACTGCTGGGGATGGTGATGACGATGTCGGCCCCAAGCACAGTGATGAGCGTCTCCGTCATTCGATAGCCTGGCAACTATGGCTTCTGCAATGGTTGGCCGCGGCTGAGGTCTTGCCATTGTCAAGAGCGAGGTAGAGAGTAACTCCACATCAGGTATCACTATTGAAGGTGGACCCACAGAGGAGAGCAGTGGAGTGTTGGAATGTAGAGCGAGACCTGTGTCGAGTTATGGCCCATAGACTGCATTCCATGGCCAACTGTGGGATATCACCTCAACAGATATCTATGGTAATAGTCACGCGCCACGAAATTGGAAGCTGTGTGGTGCTCAGATGTCGAGTAGTGCTGCTCTTGAGATAGTAGAGCATGACCTGACCGTACTTGGGGAATCTCCGATGCAGCTGGGGATGACCAGTGAGGTTTATGTGGAGCTCTTGGCGGGGACTGCAGCCTTCACTGACGGCACATTAGAGGCTGCGGGGCTCAGCAAAGACTGGCTCAAGTGATGCAGTTGTGTGTCATCGACTGTGCCGACGTTGTCTATCAGGCACACTGTAGTAAACGACAGGTGCCGTAGAAAGCTGACTACCCACGGCACGCCAGCTGGGTTCCTCCGGCTCACTATCGAGTACCTAACTCGCGCCTTGAAAACAGCGAATGCCCCTCAACGGGAACACAAACGCCGACAAAAGTGAGTCTCGTAGCAACGCGAGGGTAGTAGTCTGCTCCCAATGTCAGGCGTACTGACGATTTCCGTCGGAGTGGTCGTGCTCAGCTAGCCAGCACTATCAACGAGTTAGGCTGTATCCATCTAGCCCAGTTGACTCAGTTGCTGCGGTCCGGCTCAGCGGATGACACTGTTGTGGTAGCATTAGCCGTGGACGCCTTCTGTGAATCCTACAGCGAGTTTGTCGCTGCTGGAGACAAGTTGAATGTAATGGTACCACTAGTGAACTTAGCAAGGTAGTAGTAGGCCGCAGTACTCCTGTGATGATCAGTGTTGGAATATATGTTCGCTTTCCTTAGCTGAGCTCTGGAATTTCCTCCCTAATTGTGGGAGTTTATACCTAAATTAGGGTAGAAGTGTACAAAAGAATAATTTCTCAAGTTTTCCTCAAATTGTCACCGACACATGTAGTTGGCCATGTGCACATTCTCTCGTACTGGTGATGATGATGATGGTTCCCGACTCCGCCTCAGATTATGGCTAGCACTAGCTACTGGCCCACATGTGGGGATCGACTCTGTCGAGAGATATCAGTGTACTTATAGAGCCATACGTCACCTTGATAGGGCTGCCAAGTACTGCTAATGTGACGTACACGCTAATAACAGAGGGACCGCTTTAGGTCGGCATCGGCTAATAAAGAGGCGGAATCTGCCTTTAGTAAGCGTAATATATACGCCACTGCAGCTGAGCAAGCCCAGCGACTTGGACGTCATCTTGCGAATGTCTTCATGGACGTTGACCACCTCACACAGGAGGGTAGGCAGTCGTCTCCCAGTGTGGAACTGGGAGTCTCCTCTTCAGGTGACTACAGTGCTCCAGTGAAAGTCGCTATGGAGCATGATGTAATTTGGCGAGCTAGTGAGGACTTCTCCGACAAGGTGAAGGGCCAATCGATCGGTAGCCTAGCGTCCACTATGCTCTCCGAGGCATTGGTTTATGCTGGCAAGGCATGGACCTCAAAGGATACCAACGATGGTCGGTATGCTGCTGTCACTTGGCCCTCTTTAGTACTGCTGCGTTTGTCCAGGGGCAGCGGAGTTATTGGCCCGGTGTACGGCCCTGGTGGACGTTGGTCGGGCTAAGGTGAAGTTGGCTGAGATACTCAAACTGGCGACAGATACTGGCAAGCGGAGCGATGCAGCTTTCACGGTACGAATGTCATTACTCTATCTTGGTGAATTCCGAATGGCGTTTTTCAGTATTTCTAGTCAGATAATATCGCGGCGATCCGAAGCAGCTTATCAATGGCTATCCAAGCACGTTGAGGAAGAGCCCGATGCGTTTATCGAGTGTGTTGTTGTCAGAGCTCAGCTGGCACAGATCCTCGAGGGGTGAGTTCCCTCCAGCTCTTCCTCCCCCTTACACTCCTTGGTGGACCTCAGATATGTCAGCATGGCTAAGTGCCTGGCTCAGGGTGAGGAGGTAGCTGGAGGTAACAAGCAGGTCGTTACTGCGTTACGAGCAGCACTGGCCAAGATCTCTAATATAGAGCTACGTCGGTGCACGTCGTCATCGTCGTCATCGTCGTCATCAACAGGTGACATGCGGGGGTGCTGTGCATTATTATCGATTACTGCTTAGGACGCTCTGTCAGTAGGAAGCTGATGAAAGCGCTATACTTGTTCTCGATCAACGGCAGTGGTGATCGCTCGCTGGCTGAGGAGATACAGCACTTATTGCACCAAGAAGGGGAGACCCTGACTGATCGTTGACTTTGTTTCTATGATATTTCTTATGCACTCTTGTCTATAGTTATGAGTGATGACTTTCAAGTCGCTATCATCACTACGTAGCGACGATAGCAGTAGCTGTTGCACAAACACACCTGAGCTGCTGATCGTGTTGTGTTGGACCGACCGAGTATCGAATGATGATAGTTAGTGGTTGTCGTTGTTATTGCATCACATGCTAGATCATCATGAGCGCACGTGTGTTGTTGATCTCGATGACACCGTCGTGATGGAGAGTGATAATGAAGCTGTAGATGAGAATGTCGATCACTCCAATATTGCTGGCATGATACGAACAACCACAATAGCAACAAGAGCATCATCATCATCATCTCGTACGTCGTTGTGCTCATTATTCTTGTTATATCTCTCTCACTGTCCCAGGCCGCCGAGGTAATGCAAGCAGTGTAGCAAAACGCCGGCGAGGGTCGAGAGGGAAGGTTTATGGTAAGCTCCTAGTGCTAGAGTGGCTTGTCCTCCTGGGGGTGCTGCAGAGGAAGAAGGGAACAGGGCGTCATCTTCTTGCGAGACTCCAGTAGTTGCCTGTACGCAAGTCCAAGCTGAAGATACCTCAACAATGGCTGAGGAGATGCCCGAAGTGGAGGGTACATCACCAGCCGCTGGTGCGAGGACCGCTGGACACCGGAATCCTTCAATCTCAACCGAGAGTAGGAAGGAGGCTGAAAGGAGCTAGTTGCTTCTCACGGCTATCAGGTCACACAACATCTATTGCTCGTCATCAACGTCATCGACATCAGAAACTACCAAATGACCGCCCTATATTCGTAAGCCTGCCTATGTGTAGCATACTCCCCATCGACGACGGTAGCAGGTGGCTCGCTGTGTTGGAGAGCGTGTCAAACTAAGTGGTAGTCCTCCCGTATCGGCCGCTAGGACTACTGCTGGGATATCGGGCGGGGCCTTGGTCGTAGAAGTGCCCGAGTCTCATGATCAAATGGGATGGGCCTTTACTATTAGTACCCAGCTAGGTTCATACCACAACTACGTGATAATGCTTCAGAAATAGAGTCTATGTCATCGGGTACAGGGAACACGATGGCCATAGGCATGCTTCCAGAGCTACCACCGCGATGGGATAAAGCACTTTATAGCAGACCCGAGAATTTAGTGAATCCTGTAAGTCGTTGCCATCCGCCCGTTCATTTCGTTCAATGGCTCATTTGATAGGTACTTATAGGCTACGATTTACCAAAAATAAAGATAGGGAAAGATGTGTCCATGCACAAAGTGGACACTAGACTATGGCGACCAAGGGTGATGCTGCTACTGCTGCTGCTCTCTGTTGTGTAAACTCTTACAACATCATCACTATGCTGTTAGACTATGCTGAAGGAGGGTTCCGAGCTGACCCTCCGTGCCTGGCATGGTGGTGTTGGAGGCCAGTGGTGGGTGCTCATGGTCGAGAGTGAGGGACAACGCCGCATCTCCCCGTACCTCACCAGCATCAGGGTATGCTACCATACCACACCACGGACACTTCCTGCTCACTATAGGTATCGGAGCACCCCCATCCGTATGGCTTGATAGACCTCTCTGGTAACGTGAAGAGGATTAAATTACTTCAGCATAGCCCCCCTGCGGCTGTCGAGGCTCCGACTATCAATCAGAGTGGGCTGCTGCCTCTTATCCCCATTCAACACTTCTCTGTAGTTCCTGATCTTTGCCCCTCTCTGGAGACAGCAACCGATCGTGTGTTTGCACAGGGCTTCTTGAGGTTCGTCTCCCCTCTCCCACAGCCGTCCTTTATCATTGTCTTAGCAGTCCTTCGATGAGGCTCTCCCCGGACATGCTTACTGTGTTCCGCTACGAGGGCCTCAAACAAGCGGTTGCGTTCATCCGCATACCATTGCCGACGAGAAGTACCCCGACTAGAATAGCGGTAGGTCCGAGTGATAGTGAGTGACTAATGAAGCGAGCGGACAGGTCAGAGTTCTTTCCACGATAAAGTGCGGTCCGAAGAGCAGTATGGCCCTCGGCTTGTGCTCGTCGAAGTCTTTGCCAAAGCGCCGTGTGGATATGACGTACATCGACAATGCTAGCGACCTCAAAGGACCGGCTTTCGTCTGCGGGTGGGCAGTGTAGTCCGCTCCTGTGCTCTACTACCCTCGTGTTAGGTATGAGCTCCCCATTGTTTTCGACATACCAGAGTGCCTTGAGGGGGACCCACCATCGGAGAAGGTCCCAGCGACACTCCTACGACCAGTATCGCGAGTCTATATAACACTGTGAGGAATCCTTTGCAATTTTAGAGAAAGTTTGTCTCGGGTGACGTCTTTAAACTGAGCGTCTGCGTCGAGCCAGATGCCGATGGTCGCGAGAAGTGGATGGTCCGAGTATGGCAGAACGAAAACGATATTGCAGGTGAATTTCACCGACGACTCCAGCCGCTCAAGACTTCCCTGTAGTTACTCGAGAGCTCCCTGTGGACCTCGTGAAGATATGGAAAGATGAGGGGACCTTAGTCGGCATTGTGGACATGGCGGGGAATGTGAATGCAGCAAGGTGCGGTATCCGATACTTGCTTAGTTTCATCAGAATACCTCTCAGATTAGTCTATAATGAGGCTGAGGACACTGAGTTCCCCTGTCCAAGGGGCTGTATGTTCCACCTCTATGGTCTGAGCTCTAATGTCCGTACCCCTTCCCATCGGGATGACACCAGTTTCATCCATGTAACACATTTCAGAACTATTTTCGCTTTATTTCTTCGGTTCAGCCTGGGCCAGTCGATGGGGCGTACCGTATTGGTCGCCATCGACAATGCAACCTGTGCATTGACTCCGCTTATAAGTCAGAGTTGGTCAGCCGAAATCACTGCAGCATCTCAATCGAAGACAAACATTTGGTTGTAACTGATGGAGGCGGGATAAACGGCACGTAAGAGCCTCTGAAGCTCTCTGCAGCATCTCCTTTGAACTTTTCTCAGCTTTGTAAATCACAAGCGTCTAGCTTCCAGGTCTTCACAAACTCTCTTGCAAGGTGAGTGTACCATCTAGTTCTGATCTTAGGGTCGCCTGCTTCTCAGGTTGCACTTTAGGATTGGGTGACCGAGTCAACGGGTTGGAATTCTTAGTTCGATATTCTCCAGACCTCAGTGCTTTTGACAATATAGCTCAAGATGCTGACACATGAAGGCAGACACATGATCATTTCTCATATCGTATTGTCTCGCGTTTGAATCAAAATAATGTGAAACGTGTTAATGAGGAACCCAATGGTAACATATAAAGGGTCATGACGGAGAAAGGGCCAGTGAATACTCACCTTCTCTATAAGCGGGGGGTGGAAATTTGGTGCATTGAGTATATCGAATCGGTGTTACCGATTGCGATTAACGCACCGAAAACTTCCACCCCAGTGTCAGATGAGAATACTAAGAACTCCAGTAAGCTACGAGTATTAAAAATACATAGAGCAGCTATGCGATAGAACGTCTGTATTCCACAGCGCGTTCAGTAGTGATGGTCTCGCTTGTGACTGCTACCAACAACAAATCTTCCCACTAGATTAACACAACGCCTTTCTTATGCTGCGTTACTGGCGGCGGTCATCTACCGGCCAACATCATAAACCTCTACATGCAAGGATGATAGAATAATTATTTCATATTTGTCCAAGGCCTACCACCATCGAGACTTCAAAGATGGAGCTCATGGTGAAGGATGCATTAGACAAATGCTTTGCATACGTAATGGACCAAAGCTTGCAGGGTAAACCCATTACTGCTGCAATGCAATAACAGAATGTTTGGTATCAACTCAACCCTATCCTTCATCAGTACTCCCACTTCCCTTCACTGAAGGTACCTAGAGAGAGCATAGCAATCACTCCAGATCAAGTATTCCTTATATACCTCAATGCTGTGCAGTTTCTTCCTCCACTGCTTAAGTTCTGCATCGAACGCCCTTTTGCTGACCCTCTCGTTGGGGTTTGGTGTTATGGGGTCCACCCCTGGATTCCGTCTCGTCGGAGTAACCTGCAACATCAAAAGAACTCCTAAGCACGAGGTAAATTCAACCTACCGCGGCCCTATAGGCTAAGTAGTTTTCTGTCATCTTGCCTATCTCAATTTGTTTAGCCCGCTGCTCAGCCCGTGCTTGCCACTGTTCCTCCGTAGCAGGAACCTCCGACCTGCGGAAAACTACTCAAAACGCCCTGGGCAAACTCATATCACTCACAGTGGTGTCTTCGTATAGGACCCTCCAGTGGTCTTCCTTCGGGCTCTCAGAATAGGGCGATGACGACGTAGCTCAGTTTGAGGCGTCTGCTCGAGTGATGAAGCAACCGAGGCATCGCATCGCGCCTACCTTGGCGCTATCAGTGGAGCATTCCACGTGCGCGGGGCGATCTTTGCCGAAGATCGGGTCGACATGGCCGTTAGCATTAGGATCAGGAAAGAACGACGGGCCATTGGTCGCATCCTGGAGAGAAATCGCAGTGGCTGGCAGCAGCTACACAACCGCTCCGATAGCGATAACAGATATCTTAATACGGCGACCTACTCTCTTCCCACCGCTTAGTTTACGGAACTTGCTCGCTGTCTCCAATTCGCCACATGCCGAGACCGAAGAGGACAGGCGTTTGGCTGTGAGCCGCTTACTGTCTTCCAGCAGTCCTAAGGGCCCAAGAGAACACAATACATCTTTCTGCAGACGACAGGCTGGAGGGTCAGCACCTGGCAAGTTGCTGAGGAAGTCGGACGTTGTAACACTCCCTTTAGAGTCCTCAGGTATAACAATACGAGTGTTGTTCATCAGGAAGCCGAACCCAGCCGGCCGACTCTCCTCAGGAGCCGCCATCAAGCCTAATCACCACGACCATCAACTTCCACTCCCGAAGGCAAGCCCCCACCTGCAACACCATCAGCCAGCTTGCTCGCATCGGCCGGAGGCGGCTCGAGGTACGAATCTTGCGCATCTAGGGGGGCTGACGCGACCTTGGGGAAGGTAGTGTCACCTCTCACTACTGTTCTACGATTGATAGGAGGCACAGGCATAGAGAAACCTGAGAGTAGCAGCCACCGTTTGGCTCATAACAGGAGATCCGGCTTACTGTCATCACTGTTGAAATCGGCCCAACAGACCTTCGACGGCTTTGCCGGTTGCTGTGCTACTCTTGCCACAGCTTTTGGTGACTCCAGGTCCTTGCCGAAAGAATCTTCATCTGAGGACATATCTGCCCAGCTCAACTTCCTGGGCCCTTGAGGTGCGGTGGTTGGAGGGGCAATAGCCGTGGAGGACGACGACGAAGATGATGAAGACATACTACTTCTACCGTATCAAGATATCTGAAGACCCTCCGAGGCATGCAGATTCTCCTAACGCAACTCTACACGTAGGTGCTGCAATCATGTTATCGTCAACTTCCCGCAAGATGAGCGGAGCGATGCAATAGCATCGACAATACACTACCATCGACTCTAATTCGTAGAAATAACATTCTCAGCCTGCTGTACCTGTACATGACTACTCTTTAGGAGGAATACAGTAACAATGCTTGCTTCTTGGACGTGATTGAGTGAATGCAAGCCTCTCCTCCAGTGTTTTAATTGTGCCTCGAATGCTCTCTTACTGAGCTTACTCGTTGGCTCGGGCGTCACGGGATCCACCAGTGGCCTCCGTGTCGAAGGACTCACCTAAGAACAGTACCCTGGTGACGTCGTCCACCAGCCGCCCTCCCTAGCTGTACAGCTGTCCGATAGGCCACATAGGACTCAGTCAATTTGCCTTTCTCGATCTGCTTCGCCCGCTGATCGAACCGAGATTGCCATTGCTCGTCAGAGATCTCTTCCGACGGATGGTGTTCGGGCCTTGCCAACTGTCATCAGCACTCAACGTAACATCCAAATGGCCTACACCGTCCCAGTGGCAGCAGTCTGCCGTCGTCGGGCTATTCTATAGCGTTTCCTATTCTTCCGCTCAGCACATTCAACCTATGACAACCAACAACAGGAGGCGTTTCGGCGGCCGGTCCAGCTCCCTCTACCTTCCCCTCGAGGTTTGTATGAGGATCGCCATCGTGACCGAAAATAGGATCACTTCCCGCCTCAGGAAATGCACTCGGACCATTAACCTACGCAGACTCCAACCAACACCCGAGAGAGGCGTCCTACCATTAGCCTGGAGCCATCGGCAATTCTTCGGAACTTGCTAGCCGTGGATGTATCTCCCGAGTCTTTACTGCAACTACTACTGCTAAAACACCGCTTATGACTGCGCTTGCTATCGTCAAATCCTATGAAAGATCAAGACACTCTCAACTTACAGATAGTCCAAAGCTCACCAGGGATCAACAACGAAACGCTCCCTTTGGAATCTTCAGGGAGAACTCCAGAAGGTCGGTCCATAAGAAAGCCAAACCCTCCCCCTCGAGACCCAGCATCAGCCTCAGCTGCTCTGGTCAGTCCTGCATGTCGAGGGCATCTTGCAGAGCCAGGTAGCGACTCTAGCTTACTAGCCAGTCTGCGAGCTAATTCACCAGCCTCAGAGGTCGGTGCAGGTCCGCACTTGACAGCAGCCTTAGGCATCTCCCTCGTGTCAGAAGGTAGCGGAAACGACATGCCTGAGTGGAAGGCTCAGTCAGCACTAGTCTCTTAGACATAACTTACTGTCATCATCATCATCACTGCTCTCCATATCTGCCCAGCAGATACCCGAGGCGCCGATGGAGGCTGCCCCCCTGGGCCTGTCCACCGTGGAGGAGTCCAGATTCATCCGACAAGAATGCATAATACTGAGGACAGTGACTGTTAGAATACTATGAAAACACTATTCTCCCATAACATTCCTCTATCGGAATGTAGAGGTAGTAGTCCTTCCCCATTAAAGCACTGTAGCAAAAGACTGGCCGGTACGATGACCATGACCAACGAGTACATGGAGCGTGGTAAATCACAATCACGATCTCTGAGGTGCGGCGAGGATCTCCGGCATCTCACTCAACGTGCCGGCGATCTCCTTCAAGGTCGGCCCCCCGACGCCTTCTGAGGAAGTGTGGACTGAACAGGTCACAGCAAAGAATGGACCGCCGCCTGCCGCAGAACTAGCACCATCCTTTCCATAAGGCCGGAGTTTCTCCTCGCTGGTATGCACCACCATTTGCTCAGCAGCATCAGTGATATCGCCGTCGTGGAAATGACGAGCCACTAAAGAAGGAGGAAAAGTTCGCCTCAAAGTTTTGATGCTCGTCTTACAGCTGAGGATTAGGTTGGACATCCTTGCCATCTCAATCTCGGCATTGTCGATTTGAGCAATACGATACTCCATACCTTGGGCGAGCTGAGAAGAAGCGCCTCCCAGGGGAGGGGGAGTGAGCTACCGCTACTACATTGACTATTTTGGTTGTCTGAGAGTTCACTTTCACTGTAACGTTGTAGGCCCACTCGTACATTGCCGTCTCCGCATTGGCAACTAAGCATACCTCCTCTACAGCATACCACACTCCCGCCACTTCCTTACCGGCTGTAAGGACCTTAGATACGTGTGAGTGGATTCCCTGCATTTTCTGCACCGCGTTAGACAACACGACCCTCATCTCCTCCAACTCCCCCTATCACCATACCCTTGACCAATCCTAGTGTAATACCTCCTACCTCTTGCTGTACTGTCTTTGCCTCGAGAATGCGGTACACTGAACTGAGATGGTCCCGCACCTGGAAACTAGCTGTGACGAAGTGAACATCACCAAAGCCTCACTGTTTTCTCATCGGACATCCATTTCTCGAGCGTATTAGTCCTAAAGGGAAAAGCCTAGGTCCTACCCTGAGTCAGTGTTGACAGGGAAGTACCTCACGGCGACGTTGTTGTACAAGTCGAAGAGCTTGTCTATCTCCAGGTGGAAGGTCGAACCCTGCAAGATATACTCCATGGTATGCAGAGGCCAACTTGAGTGGATATGAACTACCTCCTTGTCAACGACTTTAGAGAGGTCCACAACAGCTCGGATTCGACTCTCGCTCTGGACCACCTGAAGCCGCATATTCGTAGGATGAACATGGAGTATGGTCTTACATTGTTTTCAACCCCGATCACCTCCGCCTCAAACACCTGGAAGTAATCTATGAACAACTATGTTGAATAGTCCCATGCTCACTTTATACCGGCCTACTGCGTCCTCGAGGGTGTTCACACACGTATCCAGGTTCATACCGAATCTACTTCAAACCAGTGCTATCTCGACTGATATGGTCGTTATTTCTACACTGTTTGGCCTTCTAGATCGACCTCTGATTGAGTCTGTGACCGGTCTCTGCGCTGGAGCACTAACACAATCCACTAACCGTCTCCTCCCTCTGATACGCTGCTTACTTTCTCTCATATCCTTCGAGAAAAACCCCGGTATTTTAGCTTGATCTGAATACATGAACAATGAGCAAGGCAGAGTCGCCTTATGTAAGCCGATGCTTACCTAGGTCTAAGTCCTGATCACTGGTCGGGACTAGATCTACTTTAGCACGAGTGAACTGGGCCTGAGAGGTAACCTATCCTTGACTAGGTAGAGAAGAGGAGGACCCACCGAGACGCTGTCAGTGAGGGACGAGACGCAGTCCATACCATCCTTCTCGCAATCTCGATCGACACTCGCCGAGACCAATACGACCATTGAGACTATCGACCGTATGAGTAACTGAAGGGGAAGGAGAAGCTCAGAAGAGGACAAGGATAGGAGAAGTCCTCACCCAGCCGGCCATGTTCGGTGTAAATCGTGTAGTGTAAGTCAAAAGGAAGACGATACAAGTAATGGCTACAGAGAAAATGATATGAACCATGAGGTGGCCACTCCTATATTGACAGAACCCAACCACGCTATTTGTTATTAAACCCATCATGACGATGATGCCGAGTATTGCATATTGCCGACAAAAGTGATGACGCTACTCATGAGACAGGCTCCTCATGCTGGATGTCCTACAGTGTATGCCCCTGGTGCTGTGATAGCGGCGAAGTTCTGACGCATCTGATGAGGTACGGATCAGCTTGCGCACTACGAAGGATACGCCTGATCTGGATTCCATATAAGGCAGGCGATTGAGGATATCATCTAAGTGCACCGTGATATTGAGACAGGCCGAACAGTAGTAGCTGATGGGACCAACGAGAGACCAAGAATATCCCCTTCAGATAGACCTGATTCACCGACAAGGCAGCACTCTCCAACTGAGTGGGACGGTGGCGCGTGACAGGAATAACAAAACGGTTACACGGAGGAATTTAGGGCGCACTACTGCAGTGGAGGTTAACGCGTAAGGGAAGCAGATGAACACTATCAGTGTAACGCTGTTCATGATGATCTGCTATTGATGATGGTGTTGTCTCGACCTACCTGGGGATAAACTGGACGGGATCGATACCGCACTAACCTGAACGAGAAAACACCTGTTGCAGGGATTGAACCAGGGACCTCCATCAGACTTCCCCTTAGAACTGCACTACCAGAAAGCGCTTGACACATACCCTCTTTCCGAATGAGTTCTAAACCGGCAGGCGCGAATCAGCTGACTCATACACGATCCCGACACGACCCTCATCACCGACGAATAATTGGCTCTGCCGATTCGCACTACCCCAAAAATGACCCAATTGCAAGAAATGCACGAAAACCACTTCCGAAACCGCCTGCAGTCGCCGTTTGTAGAAGATCAACCCATCGCGAGACGAATCGAACAAGACCCACGTCTGGAACAGCCAGTCGAGGTCAGTGACGATGGCTCGGGAGGCGGGCTCAGAACATGCCGAACTGGAGGAGGAGATTGTCTAATGTCCTCCTCGAGTTCACTGCGCCTAGTGCGCTACGACTTGGCCTCGCAAGAGGGAAGATCACCATGATCCACACATAGCAAGCTAGGTCTTCTCTCTCCTGCCCATCCAAACACCACCACCAACAGCAACTCTTCACAGAAACACATGTCATCACGCAGAGCTTGGGGCTGCTGCTCCTATCAGACCTTGTCGTCTCCACTTGGCCAACTGGACCGATGCTGGCACCTCCGCACAGACTCTGTCCATCTTGAAGTTGTTCGCTGAGACGACAGTCTGCATGGTCAACCCCGACTAGAGCACCACTCACTTTGATTCCGATACTGGCAGTTTATAGGGAATCTGCCCTGTATCCCAGAAAAGCCTCTATAATCAGGAGCCAACCCTGGTAGGCCGGGGACACCCGGGATCTGTTGAAGCCTCAAGCGCTACTCAGAATAATACCGTAAATGGTACTTGAAATAAAGCCCCGCCCACAGGGACCCTAGCCACATGATAAGCTATTTCTCCCTTGCCCTTCCCTCGCTTAGTCCCCTCTACTCGGTTAGTGACAGGATAAGTAGCATGGACGAGCATGCTGAACTCCTTACCTCTACAACAACAGTCTCCTACGCTGGCCACATGCAGTAGTCGTGCTTTCCCAGCTTTCGTCGGAGTATCTTCCGAGCCTCCTCCAAATGCTCAGCTTTTATCCTCTTAGCCTCCTGAGCTATCAGGGTCTTGCCCATATGTATGATGGGCTTCTGCTCCAGCTCAGGAATTGCCGCCTAACCGTCACCGCGCCACGAAATTACCACAAGAGTCCTCCGGCGAAACCTACTCTTGGGACTCGGAACTGCACTGGTTTCGGCGGACGGAACTTGATCGGCGGCATTATAAACGGGAGTCGAAACTAGCAGAACATGTCCGATCAGCGATGAGGAGTAGGGCGAGGTCCCGACAACTGTGCTTTCAACAGCTGGTATCGATCCCAGAGGCGAAGGCGGTAATAGCTAGGAGCATTGATCGCTATGACACCAACGGGAGGAGGACAACAGCAATAACCTCCTGTCATCATACTCGCAGGGCAGGGGTCCAGTTTAAGCCTACAAGGTAAGCGCTTAAGGTCCACCCCTCACCGTGACGCTGTGAGGAGATGTCATCTACAACACTTCCGAACATCACCACTAGGTGGACGAGGTTTTATACCCAGAAACTCGGAGAACGCGCGAGATCTTGAACAGGCTTGTATACGTCGGGCTCGAAGAGACTCTCATATATCTTTACTAACCTCCTCTTCCGATATCCGGCAATTCTTCATCCCTAACCGATATCCCCTACTGCGGCACTCCGCCCCAGTAGATGATCCAGGCTGTCTAGACAAAATTCCCGGATGATCGCACTAAGCTACATAGACATTCTTCCGACAGTTGAAGACAGACCTCTACCAAGCTACTGAGAGAGCAACCAGAGCATAGCAAGTACCTCGTGGATTTCAAAAATGTTGTTTGAAGGCTCAGTGGCGAGATAGGTCATCTATAGAGGCTATGCAACAGACTGGACCAAGAGAGCACAGAATGCCAAACACAACAGACGAGACCTGTACCGGTGGGAAATATGCTGCTTTGCATCTACGAACTAGCATCAGTCTTCGGCATCCGACATCTCGACCTCTTCTATCTCCTCCCCTTCTGCTGCCTTAGGGACATTCACCGTTACTCGCCGCTTAGACTTAGGCGCCGCCTACCATCACCAGAATAACCCCTCCCTATACACATACTATACTCTACCGGTGCAGTTTTAGTTCCCCTTCGTCTTGGTTTGAAAGTCCCGTCCGCCCTGGCCACTACGTCCGACTTGACTCGCGCAAAGGCAACTCTCTGAGATAATGATGATCACCGTTCCCATCACATGGTGTGAACTCACCAATGGCTTGTCAAGGAAGGGAAAACCGTTGAGAGTTTTCATCGCTAGAGCAGCATTCGACGCCTCTCGGAAAGCAATCTGACCAGCACAGACCCTAGAGATACATAAACATGGTTTAGTATTACGAAAGCCTGCCCTCGTCTAGATTGACTCTTGCCCGCATATACGGCCAGGATGGGCCCAAAACTAGCAAACAGCTCGAACAACAAGGGTTTCAAATCTGACTCGACGATCTATCCCTCCCCCAAAAACTTCTGTCAGCTACTACTACCATCCAGCTTGATTTTATCATTCAAGTTATTGACGTATAGGGTATTGTTGATACCTCCTGCAGCTCCCTGCTTTGGACGGCTTGTCGTGGTGGCCATGGTAAAAAGAGTACAACCCCGAAGCTCAGCCAGTCCCTCTCCCCATAATTGTTATGACCCAGAGCATTGTGTGTCAATAAAATGGTATAGAAGCTGATAATGAGTACGATACAGTTACTAAGTCCAAGTAAACTTTTTGATTATCGGCTGGGCCTCCCTCTCCAACTGCTTCCTCGGTGAGCCCTCTTTCGAATACCGTCGTTTAGTAATCTGAACGACTCCCATCCTCCTCCCACGAAGATGAGCCGCAACAACCTACCTTTCCCATCGGATCTCCCTCTTCAGAGTCGGAGCTTTCACTGCCTGACCCTCGGTCCGAGCTAGACCCACTGCTAGAGCTCCTAAATTTCGACATGAGAAAGGACTACAATCCTGTAGATGAAATTACCCTCCTCCACTGCTCGAAGAACCGCTGCTCGAGTCGCTCTCATTGCCATTGTCGTCCTCCCCAGAAGACTCGGACGAGGACGATGCTTCGTCATTGATGAAGTTATCGAACTCCTTCTCCTTCTTGGGTTTCTTAGGAGCTGAGAAAAATATGACATTACCTAAATGGTGAAACCTCCAACAACGCTCTATGGAGTGGAAATTCCGAGGCGAGCGCTTCCACTGACAATTCGAAACTCGATAATTTCATGGCGCGTGAATATAGCAGCCAGTAGTGACAGCATGTAGTCAGACATGAACTACTTCGGTTCGTTTTCTTCGACCCTCCCGCTGCTTTCTCCGTCATTCCACCGCCATTGGCGTATCTAACAAATGAATCAACGTCGAATATCAAAGATCCTCAGATATCCAGCAAGTGTAATTTTCACTTCCCGAATCGATCAGTCGATCGATTTAGTACAAACAGTATAGTAAAAGCTCAAACTCCCTGTTATATTACGATCCGTCAGCGAAGCATTGCCTCTCCTTCTGCGATAGTTTACTGAACATCGAAGCATACTGATTCTTCGAATACTTCTGATCGGGCGCCTGCGTGCAAAGCAGCAAACTACGACACAGCTAACCCACATCACGATCAAAATAATGCAAAAACACAGAGTAACCGAGCGAGAGACAAGAGACCGATCAATCCTTGTCACATTGCTAACCACTACGGTGTAGTCAGGCGAACGGTATGGCTAGAACTACTCAGTGAGTGACACCACGAGGTGGTTATAGCTAAAGTGTAGCTCACCTTATGTTTCATCATCTTGATGAAGTTAGACAAGCCCTTCGTGTTCTCGTCGATCGACCGCCTGAAAAAACAGCCACAAGATGGCCATAGAACCGCGCCCGCTCTCTCGAGTGCCAGGCGGCCACTAACGAGCCAAGAATGTGTGAGATTAGGATGAATAGTATCATCGAGAGGAGACGACGCAAGAATAGAAAATTTCCGGGAAAATCGAACCGCGAAGAATTTCAAACGGAATTCCCTACGACTGCCGATGAATTTGAGCAAGCCAAGGCCAGACGAGCAAGCTAGTCTCGAGAATTTCGTCAATGTTAAACCTGACGGTCTGCGGGAATTTCGTGGCGCGCGCCGAATCCGAGTTGACGATGAACAACCCCTCCTCACGGCGGGCCGCCGCAAGCACAGAATAGGCTGTAAACCGGCCTTGTAAAATGGGTACACAAGAGATCCACTACTTCATTTTCTCGTTTTTCTTCTGCTCCTGCTTAATCTGAGTCTCCAAGTCCTTCCTGACATCGGCCGCCTCCTTAGCTCTCGCTTGACGACGGGACTTCAAATCTTGGTACCTGTCATCAAAGGCAACTCCCCCTCAAAGAGATATACTGCAGGGAACGCCGTAAATCGATAGGGGATATCAGGAGGAGGCCGAGGACGTACGGTAGACCCAGACTCTTGTGGGATTCCTCAGCTAGGGACTCGGTGAAATTAGCTATTTTACCCCACATCATCGCGTAACTGAGGAAAACAGGTGAAAAACTCATGTTAAAGCGATCGTGATAGAAATCCTCATACGACCAAAACGACGAAGCAGAGATGAGTACAATGATACGTTGATGAGATCAGACGAGACTGCACTTACGCAAGGGAGAATTGCTGCCATGTGATCGGCTTGGGGTTGTCGTAGGTCGACGAGGTCTCCGGACGCTTCCGCTTGAGGTTCTTGCTCTGATGACCTCCACTCTTGGGAGAGCTCGATGGGGATGGCCGGGATCGATTAGTGATAGTTGGGGAGGTCGTTGACATACTAGGCTGAAGCCAAGGGTGCTGCCAGCGCGATGAACGGTCAAAGGATGTTCTAAAGAGCTTCTTTAGAAACGCAAACGACCATACGAGACGCTGCGCACGCCTATACAATCGATTTTTATTGCGTTTTGAGTGGAAATCTTAGTGCTCAAAAAGGATCTCCCACAGACCAATTTTGGCGAACTCGAAAATATTTCAAAGTCGACCGTTCAAAGCGAGTAGTAAGTCCATAGTCATCTATTTAAAAGGCTCGGGTACTGAGTAATGTATACATAGAGAAAGGATGATAAAAAAACAACATTGTTGTCCTTTTTATCGTCCTTTCTTACCAAAGCCTGGCCCAGACAGGGCAGTGTGATGGACATCCATCAGATGAGTCGTAGGTATAATTCGCCTCACTGTTCTTCATGCCATCCTGTTTCCCTCGCCTATCATTCAAGGAAGGGCAAGCCGAGGCCGCCTTCGAGCCAAAGAGTAGGGGTACTGTATTGGCATGGTCGATAGTAGCAGTGCCTTAGGGAGAGTGTCTCTGGTCGAACACGGTAAAGCTGCCGAGACTATGAAGCTCCTAAAACGACGTAGTACTGGTACATCTACTGCTGCCTCTGATGCTGACACTGACCCCTGGGCTGACCTGCTGGATGGTAAGGAGAGGCGTATGAGTGCTGTACACAACCATCATAATTACAACCCTGAGGTAAAGCAGGGGTAAGGGGACGGCCTCAGTCAATGCCTATTCGACAGGCCCACGTAGACGAGATTAAAAGCTGCAGTGTAGAGGAACGGGCTGTGGCAGCTGAGCACGACAAGACCATCGACGATCTAGCACAGGAATGTGAGTGACCAGACCGGGGTTTGCCATCCGACCGGTATCTTAGGTTCGACCATCATTGATTCAGAAGAGGTTAGTGAGGATAAGCCGAGAAGGAGGGTATGCTCCGCCACGTTAGGGGACTCTGCTCTATGATCCGCTCAGGGCCTTCGAGACGTCCTCTTGCCCAAACCTAAGCCCACAGTAGTCGCCGTCCTGGTGACAGAAGAAAAGACAGATCAGCATGGGCTGACTGAAGCCATAGTGTCAGCAAATTCAAATGAAGATGTGAAAATTCGGCGCGAGAGTGTCCTCAATTGGCACCTTCCGAGCCAGACTGTTATATTCTTCGACTGGGACGACACTATCTTCCCCACCAGCTGGTAGTATAAGCGATGTGACATCTCCCTATTTGATGGTCATTGACAGGGTTAAATGGTGCTACCCTCAACTGCAATGGTGCAAGCGTTGCCCCAAGGATCCCATGTAAGGCCAGGGGGTAGCCGTTATGATAAGCGATGACTGACTACAGATATAGGAAGCCCTTGAAGGAGTGTGCTAGGTCAGCAGCTAGGCTACTGCGCGAGGCAAAGGCCTTGGCTCATGTAGTGGGGTCTCATACGCTTGCCGACGAGGAGTGTACTGTAGGTTGGGATCGTCACTCTGGCGACTCAGCCTTGGTGTACGATATCAGTACGGAACTTCATGCCAGAGTTGGAGAAGACCATAGAGGAGCTACAGATACCTATCATGTATGCTGGCACTACTATGGACAAGCAGATCGCCGCTGATATCAGGGCTAGTGGGGTAGGGTAGTACGCCAGGCGACACCATCACGAACCTCTCCTCAGTACTGCGTCAACACCGTCAAGAAGCAGAGAGCCATGAATTTCATGTTGTCGAGATTTTATGGGAAGTAGGAGAAGTGGGGTATAGTCGCGAGTGTATAGTAGGAGTGGTTTTAGATATCAAGGACAGTCTTGGAAGAACACGATCTCTATCGGTGATGCTAGATATGAACGCCATGCTCTGCAGAATGCTGTCAGCGAGCATCATAACGACTCCAAGCCCTGCAAGACGAAGACCATTAAGATGATGTCTGGTAAGTGGTAGGGTATTGGTATTAGCTTTCAGAGACGTCAGTGCAGGTCCGGAGATTGAGCAGCTCACGGCACAGCATAAGATTCTCAGTGCGTGGATGCCCTTCATTGTCACCAATACAGGGGACTTCGATATTGATTTGGACGATGATTCAACTCTATTGCGGGCCCATCACAAGTTCTTCACTGGTGAGTTCCTCGTCTCCTTGGAGTCCTCAATATGCTGTCCTTAGGGGAGGACGTTGACAGGCGGGGGCGCCCACTTCGGAAGCCTGAGGTCGTCGCTCAGGAGGAGACCACAAAACGAGAGTCGACCTCGTCATCGAGTTTGCAGCTAAAGGCTACTGATGGCGATGGAAGCAAGCACGAAGAGAAGGAAAAACCCACAGAGGGATATCCCAATAGTCGTTGTACCAGATGGTCGGGGTGGGGAGGCGACCCATGATGAGAGGACAGTCCGGTTACCTGGTAGTGTGGGCCACGGAGGGGACCTGCCAGGCTCCACTGCTGATCTGGCGGCATCTGCCGTAGCCCTGTAGTAGCCCTTTCACTTCTTGTACTACTTCTGACTCTCTTCTTACCACGTCCATGGTGTTGATGATGAATGTTGTTGGCTCAACGATCTTGCGTTAGTAAGATGCTCCTCATCGGATAGCGTTCGAAAAGAATCCATGCGTCTTCGCCATGACAGGTCATCATCAAGGTGGTGTCCCACACGCGGGTCTAGCCCACAGTATCATTGGTGAGGCAGTAAGTCGAGGTTCTGATCTGTATTGGTACTCAGGTGAAGGGAAGGTCCATAGGATGCACTGGCGTTGGCATCGTCCATGTAGGTGCCCAGAGGAGACCGGTCGTGAGGAGCTCACTGTCAGATGAAGCACTCGTGTTCAACTATGAAAGGCCTGGGGCGGGAGGCGTGCCTGGTCTGGGAGGTTGGATGCCTCATCTGCCGAGCCCTGCCATTAACGTGAGATGGGATCTTGATGGCATGCGTATCTTGAGGTTGAGCGGATAAGATGCGTTTGAGGTCCGGATGTTGTATCTTGGATCCCCCGTGCAGTTGCCTAATCTCGCCAAGAGCCATGCTGGGTTTCCTCATCTATCATGCTCCTCGAGGCTCTCTGTTCCCTATTGTCATGGTCAATACCAACGACATGTACTCTGAATACTCAATGCTTGGGTTGGGAAGTAGTACTCCAGTCTCCTCCGCTTCACTCTGTTATGACCATTCTTCATCCGATTCATGAGGCTCCGTCCGCGTCAACATCCTTCTACCGACCATGTAGTCCCCTCATCAAATGTGATTGTACTCTCCCTCTTCTCCCACGATCTCAGCCCGACACCATTCCTTGGAGCCTCGACATGATCGAAGTGAGCCAGCGGCTACTCGCTCCTCACACCCAGTGCAGTAGGCGTTATTTTCATGATACCGGCTACCCATGGCATGACCAAAGACCCTATTGGACGTTTTTTCCCGGATTATTTCCCCCGTCATCTATTGTGGCCGCATGTCATTTCAGTAGGAACATCCCTTACCCTCCGAAGTCATCACTCGAACCTTCGGGTGCAGGTCCCTCAGATCCTACCCGGGCATGGTCTCTTGCAAGGGCTTGATCTACCGTCTCTTTCCGCATGCTTCATGTCCTGCCGACCGACTTGGAGGGAAGTGCCTCGGGGAGGCCATTGTGGTTTCCTTTAGTACAAGAACTTGCGTTATGCTCTAGTGGGTAGCTTCAGGGACGCTATCTCTGGGATGGGATCTTAGAACATTAGCACGCAAGATATCAATAGAGACTACATCATAACGACCTTGACTGCTATAGTTTCTCTGAAGTGGTATAAGCTCGTATACTCCGCGGGAAGCAACATACTGATCGTTCTGTTGGCTATTTTCGATCCACATTATCAATCGGCGTCAATACGAATGGATAGGGTACTCTCTACAATTGATTATCTCTGGGTTGATACTTCTTGTAGCATGGAGACCGGCGCCCTGGGCGAAGGGGATAGAGATGCTTGAAACATTCGACATCTCCACTGCTCGTTACTCTCCTTTGGAATAAGCAACGTTTATTAAACGTACTGCCGCCCTCGTGGCCGTCGATGCCGAGCCTGAGATCTGATCTGCGTCGCGTTGTCCAATAAATCGTCACTGGTATCATCATCGGCATAAAGATCTACAATGTGCGTCTATTAGAAGCCTATAAACATATATTCTCATCAGCGCTGGCACCTATGGGGAGCAGCGGGTGTTGGCTTCCCCTACCATAGCCCGCCCATCACTCAGGCCACTGGCCTGAGGCCAGTCTAGGCCAGTCTACCACCTCTCACGATAACGATATGGACCCGTCAGCGCGTCAGCAGTGCAAGGAAGTGGGTTACCTCTGCAGGTCTCTTAGATCATACCTGGCCACAGCTCGACGGGCATGCAAGATTCTATTATTGATCACCGGCTCGTCGTTAATGGATCATGCCTCGGTTGGGGCGTACTAGATGATTTGGCGGATGAATTGTATAAACTCTCGTCTCCACTCGGAGAAACTAGGCATGCTGGTAATGTTGTTCGCATTGTCCTGGTAGATTAGGAATGATGCTTTGATTCCACAATACACGTCCTGCCACTCTTATACACAACATAAACAGCGGATTGGGATACAATCACAGCATGCTGTGTGGCAAAGGAACATGTCCATGAAGGGAAGACTCTGGCCACGACCATCCGCATCGCTAACCCTATCTGCCACTCACCGGTATCCACACGGTTTGTTGCGAATCCTGTGACTGAGGACGCCACGTCCGGCGAACAGGGATGGTCTAATCGACACAGATTAGCGGAAGTGACGTCCAAGAGACACTCCGATGGAGTCGCAGAGACAGCGGTGTGCGATAGGGTTGCCTACGTTGCAACGGCCCATGATGAGTTTCATTCGGCTGCATGCCCAGCCAGTCCATCGCGTGCTGTCTGACCCATAGTCGCACTTGAGGGGAATTCCATGACACTCGTGGGAAGTATCCTCGAGCACTGCAGGGGGGCGACCATGGCAGGGTCCTCCTTGAAAGGCGACCGCCCTTACCTGAAGCCGGCTTCACCGTGCTTGGGGTCGTACACTGCGCCGAGTGTCCCCTCAGGGTACCTGATGGTCACCAGGTACCACTCAAGCTCATGCCCCTGGGTACTCCTACGGACGATCCATGTCGGCGTGAATTGGAGGGCCTATCCAGTCGACCAACGTGCAGTGCTTCCACAGAGTGGGCAGCTTCCTTGCCTGTTACTGAGCATAGAGCACCGACACACAAGTCTGCTTACAATAGGCAGCTTGCATATGTCCTCGAGAGAAGTGTATTTGCCCAACACCGACCCTATGCCAGTAAGGCTCGATGGTGGCAGCGGTCCCCCTGACATGTCGAATCCTGTACCACTAAACATTGACTAACAAAAAGAGTCCGGTAGAGTATACAACAGACTGATGCAGTTAAGCGTTTGCAGTGGTGAATAAGGTGTTTCATATCTATGGTTCACATCTGGTAGTTGTATAGCGTCGTCCAAAAGCGACAGCAGTAATGTGAGTTTGCTGCTGGAACCCGACTGCCGCCCGTCGCGCAAGCATGCCTGAAGAAGAGGGGTGGTCTACGTTGGCCTCATATCGATCAGTCCATTCCAGGCGTATCCTAGAGCGAACTGTTGTCCGACTTGTCATCATCATCATGGTGGAGGAGGTGACTCCAACGCTCCACACGTCTCGTGTCGAAAGCCCTGGTGTAGGCACATCAACCACTGACGTGTAGTTAGGATGACCATTGCTCTTCTCCTCAGTGCCATGCTCCTGGTCAGATTTCGTATTTTCGAGAGGCTCCTTCTCTGCTCCTGGACTCCACCACTCCAAGGTGTTCTCACCTTCACGTATGGTACACTGGTCCAGATGGTGAACCATGCACTCCGGTGCCAAACCCCTTGGTAGCGGTCTCACTCAGGTCTCCTCCCCAGGAGTCCCCACCCCTTCTACAGGCCTATCTCAATCACCAGCTCCTGTCTATGATACAGCATAAACCCCTCCCGTTGCTCCTAATAAGGATTGTTGTCAGTCTCAGAAAGTCCAGTCGGCCACCCGTCCTCATCGCGACTTCCGATGCACTCAACACAGCCAGAATCGACTCTCAGGCCTTACAGTACACCGTCCGTGTAAGCCCAAGGGGCCTCATCACACAACGTCACTATACTCTCACTTACAACACAACACGTTCAAAGTGATCGAAATCGAAGAAGAAGGACCTTCGACGACAGCTAGGATCATTATAGAAGAGTAACAATTAACGTTAAGTGAAGACGATGATGATGACGATGGAGATACGTATTGACGATCGACAGTGGCCTCAACGTTGGTAAGGTTCCATACTCATCATCTCTGCACTGTAGAGAAGAGCAGCAGGCACTACTCGGTGCTGTGCTTCTTGGCCTTTTTATGCTTATGCTTTTTCTTAGGAGACTCCTGAAATGAACCACATACAACACCCACTATCCGATATCTTCCTTACCTCCTCCTCAGGCTCAGCAGCCTCTTCTTCCTCCTCCTCCTCAACTTCAGCGTGTTTCCGCTTCTTTTCTTTCTTGGCCTTCTTCGACTTCTTCTTTTTCTCCACAACTTCCTCCTCTACAGCGGCAGGCGCCTCCTCTTCCGCGGCAGGAGGGGCCTCCTTCTGGTTCTCTTGGATCTCCTCAACCTCCTTCATGGCCTCACGCATGACCTACAGTAAGGACACTATTCCCGACCTGGTCGACCTACCGCCGCCTTACATCAACGTTCCTCTTAGGCTTAACACCCTCAGTGGAGAGGTATCGGAGCCTCTCCTCTACCTGGTCTCGCATCTTCTCACCGAATACAGTGCAACTGAAACAGACCGATACAGACAAGAGCATCAAGTGGACCTACGCTTCATTGGCTCCGACGGGCTGGTCCGAAAAGCAATCGATACGGGAAGCAAGGGAGCACTTATTAGCGAGATACCTTTCAAACAGCAGCAGAGTGAGAATCCTTCGCTGTGCGCCGCATGCCTACCCAGCACCTACCTAGATATCCGTCCCTTGTTCTTCTGGTTGGCCTTACCGATGAAGGTAGAGTTGTAGATAAGACCATATTTAGGGGTGTTACCCTTAGTCTTGAGGGCACGGAAAAGCGCCTTCTCAGCACCCAGAATTTGCACAGTAGAGGCAGGGTACTTAGCCTATCACAAGAAACCTCCCCTCTACGGCTAAAGACAGCTCTAGCACGTCTAGTATTCCGATGAGAGTCCGACGCGCGTTATACTAAAAGCATCCCTGGCTCAGCTTTTGGTTTTCTCATTGCATCATAAATCTGTTGTTGCTGGCGGCCATCATCGCCTAGGGAGCTGTTACGATATGACATACCAGATTAGTGAGGGAGCCAGCGTGTGATATGAGCCTAGCGCCAACAGTGTCCCCAATGAGAGCGGCTAGGTTGGGTGCCACAACGTCCATCTTGCCATGGAGGTAGTCGGTGAGGTTGCGACGCATCTCCGACAGAGAGATGACCTAATAACGACATGATGAAGATACTAAGGCGAATTTAGTGACAGGATATGTACCTGCTCGGCAAAGTGCTCGATGTTGGCCATGTCCATCTCCACTATGTCCTGGCCCATTGACGTGCGACAAGCCTTCTCAAGCTCCTTAGCAGTCTCCTCGTCGCCACCGCAAGCCTCTATCACCTGGAGGTAGTATAGGAGAGGATAGTGCAGAAGGATTCGCCAACGGCTTACCTCAGGCATCCTGTTATCCCAGTCGAAATCGTCCTTGAGTCGGATAAGGCAAGCCAGCTTGGCAAAGACCTCATTATCAGTGACGATCTTGGCCATCTCGGGGAAGTGCCATGAATACCTATGTTTCACTGTGCGATGCCTACCAGTGACGATGATGGAGGCTAGAAGAACCTACCATTCTCTAACGCGCATGGCAAAGGTGTTGATGTTCTTGTCAAGACCATCGAGGATAGCAATGGCATTGATAATGGGCTTATCCTGACGGTTCGGGTCGAACTGCATCTTGTTACGAGAATAGGCGTGGCCCAAACCACACCTGCCTCAACGTTCTTAGCTATCGAGGAAAGCATGCCCTGGCTACCTAGCCTTGTCAAGATCGGACTCGTCCATCTTGACCATCTTGGCTACGTGTTGACGGCATCCACGTAGCATGTCCCTTACAGACTGTGAGTAGGTGACCTGATGACGGTGCATCTACGATGAAACAAAGGTGTGGTAGGGACGAACCTGGAAGCCGAGCTCATTGAGAGAATCGCCGAGCTTGGGGTCGGCAACGCCCAACTTGTACGCAGCCGCCTTCTTCTTTTTCTTACTCTGCGTCAAATGCATCGACAAGAAGTCCCTCAACTCCTCCGTGCACTCCCCTGAAGCCGACACCGTTCAGTACGGTGGTGGTGACCATCCCTTACCAGCCACGATGGCGTTGATATTGGAAAGGGCGACCTCAGCCGAGGTGAATGGCAGAAAGGCTCGGAGCTTCACAAGACTACAAGAAAACGATCATTCTGCCTTCGATCGTTTTCCCCCTTCCCCTCCATCGTCTCCTCATTCCCCCAACCCTCACCTCATGAAGTCCTTGATGCTGTCAGTCTGAGCGGCCCCATCATCAATGTTTCCAAGCTCATCGTACTGGTCACGTACGAATAGAGCATACCCAGAGGCTGTCTCTGACAGTAGGTAGAGGTCGATACTCATCATAAACTATAAAGGAGAAGGAGGAGAATCTACTCACCGGCGGCTGGTGCAAGTCGAGCTTCGCTCCGCGATTTTCAAATCTCGCTCGCCCTAACGGCTGTGAGTTTGATCGATAAAGGCCTTGATCCCACCTCTCGAGCATAGTCGGCCTGCCCAGCCACCATGAAGATCAATATCGCTAACCCCAGCACTGGATTGCAGAAGTGCATCGATATCGATGATGACAAGAAGCTCTTGCCTTTCTTCGATAAGCGTAATTGGGGACTGTCGATTACCTCGCTGGCCTCTCGAGTCCTCTGCCATGGACTACCTACGTCTGCCGTGTGTCGAATAGATGCGATAAGACTTTTATGGTAGGTATCTCCGCTGAGGTCCCTGGTGAATCTCTTGGTGACGAGTTCCAAGGTTACATCTTCCGTATCTCCGGTGGTAACGATAAGCAGGGTTTCCCTATGAAGCAGGGTGTCCTGGTACTAAGGGTCCTCCTATGCGTTGTGGCACTTCTATATCGTCTTTACATGCTCTCTTCCTTTTTCAGACCAACAACCGTGTCAGACTCCTTTTCCAGAAGGGTATGTCTTGCTACCGCCCTCGTCGTGACGGTGAGCGCAAGCGCAAGTCCGTCCGTGGTTGCATCGTCGGCCAGGACCTTTCTGTCCTCAACCTTGTCCTCGTCAAGAAGGGCGATGTAAGCTTGCCGCCTCTTCCTATCGCCATTGCTTTGCTCACGTTTCTCTTTCAGGCTGAGATTGCCGGTTTGACCGACGACAGCAGGCCTCGTCGCCTCGGACCCAAGAGGGCCAACCACATTCGCAAGCTCTTCGGTCTCACCAAGGAGGATGATATCCGCAAGTTCGTTGTCCGCAGGGATACTGGCCGCAAGACCAAGGCCCCCAAGATCCAGCGTTTGATCACTCCCCAGACCCTGCAGCGCAAGAGGCACATCCGCAACACCACCATCAAGAAGGTCCTCCAGTCGCGTGAGGAGGCTGCTAAGTACCAAGTCAGACTGGCTGAGTACCACAACGAGCAGCGTGCTAAGTGGGCCTCTGAGCTTGCCAAGAAGAAGGCGGTGAAGGCCAAGAGGGCTTAAGAAGCGGATACACTATTATCACCACCTTTCGCAGGGGGATGACGTTATGCTTCTAACCTGGGCACGACACTGAATATATTATAGGGTTGTGTTCACTACAGTGGTCAGGAGGGAGGGTCCCAATAAGCGACCAGGACTGGTTTTTCCTCGATTACAAGCGCTTCTGGGTTGCAACAACTTTTTGCTATAGCGCGGGTTAGGGGTATAACGCCTTGCTTGGCGGCAGTGGGCCGGAGGATCTTCTCTAGGCACGCGTCCGACAATGGGGCTTCTCAGTCGAGTCAAGTAATTTAGTAGAAACCTAAGGGGGAACTCCCATCTCGATCGCTGTCGGTTTTGGTAGGGGTGCTGAGGAATCTGCGAGCAAGGTTGATCCCAACCCGGACCGAGGCCTCCCGAGGTGGTGTTGCCTGGAGTCGCTGAAAGGATATCGCAAAGTCAGCAGAGAATTGCCGTTTTGGAGAAAGGCGTGTGATGGTGGTGACCAAGGCTTTGGCTAAGATCGATGAGAAGACTCACGAAACCAAAGAGAAAGTGCACGCGTGCAAGCATGATTCTATTCAAGGCACTAAGGGATACCATCTACACGGCTCTGGAGCCGTTTGGGCGAGAACATGGTCCTGTAGATGGGAAATCCCTGGAAATATGGTATAAACAAGAGGACATGTTTGATGTGGCTGACAACATTGATAGGGCTAAGGCATCGCTTACTGATGGTGCGTTAGGCGTAATTGATATATTCATTGAGAGTAGATAGAATAGAACCTTAATGATATTGCCAAGGAGGACCCCAACATGAGGTTGGCCCCGACCGTATGTATGCTGGTCAGGGTTATTCGTCCTGTCATCAGACGGCAGGGGAAGTGGCCCATGTGGTCCAGTCAGGAGCGCACGGCTCAGCACTGTGGAGGTGCGGAGCGTTCCTCTTTTCAGATACTCCGAGCCGCCAAGGTCGGGGTAGTTCGGAAGCCTCGATAAGCGGCAGAAAAGCCGTTTCCCTACAGACATTGCAAGTGATTGTTTCCGAGTCTTCCCTTGTTGGTTCGGACAGCCAGCTGTTTCCAGTCATAAAGTTTGATATGTCGCTCCCCAATGCGCCCTTCTTACTAGTCAAAGGCTCATCACAACATCTGCACACCCCACGTCGCGGTGAGAATGCAGGGAGAGGGACAAACCACCAAGGAAGGAGTGTAGTACTTGATGGTCTACTTAGCGTTGATCCTTACTCGTGCAGTGTTGGGAAATATGCACATGGTCAACTACGTGTATTGGTGACAATATGAAAATTTGCAGTGTTGGAGAATCTGTGAACTTTCATGGTATAGTGAGGAAACTCCTGAGCTCACCTGAGGAAACCAAAGGTATATTCGTCGGCAGTCGGCATGACTCAGGTAAGACCTCGCCAGCTAGCGCCTGATGAAGAAGCTCCAACTGACCCTCTCCGTGCCAATAATATGTGGCCGTTTCCAGCGCGGAAACCAGTCAATGACCCCTCTATCGTAAGTAGGTAGTCTCCGGTCGTTACTCGGCTGATGACATATACAGCGCCACGCCCCCCTATTAGAGGCCTAGAGGCCAGGCCCTGTGTGGTAGCACAGCGACACCTCCTTCCGAGAGGGGATGTTCCTGCGCTTGAGTCATCGAAGAGTATGTTCGATAGTAGTAGTTCTAGCGAAGAAGAGCTCTATAAAAAATTCACGAAACGACGACGACACATGGAGGTGGGAGGAGAGAGGCCTCGGCGCCGCGAACCACACAGGTGCGTTGAACAACAGCCGGTGATTACTATAAAGCCATGGGGACGATCGGACACTTCACTGCTTGCATGCAGTCTGGTACAAGGCAGGGGTGAGCGAGGCTGTACGGTGAAGGTTAGAGGGGACACATGTCATACGAATGATAGAAGGGTGATAAATGAGGTAGATGATGATGATGAGTGAATCCGGACATGCGTTTTCCCTTGTATGCTTGTTCGTGTTGTTGGAGGCTAGCGGAGCTTCATAATGCACTCGGGTCATTTAGAGCGAATTATCTTTCACATTGTGATTCTTGTCACAATCTTATCTTTAAAGATTTTGAACGCGGTGAAGTAGCCAATTTAATGCTAAATGGGCGGGTATACTCACTAAACATTGAAAGCTCCATGCGATGCGTTCCTAACAATTATATGCGCAGGAAACTGTTTTCCAATGGAAAATATCGAGCCTGGAACTCTCCGCCAGGCGAGCACGGCAGACGGTACAAACACATCAAGTTTTTGACCGACGTTTGATTGACACATGGCATGACGTTGGTGATACGTATGGAGCTGGATTGAGCATCGTCGTCTTAGAAAGTACTTGCATAATTTTGCTACAGGGTGAAGTGGATCAGCTCCGGCTCACAGCGCAGGCAGCTCATTATGAGCAACGACAGGCTATCGCGTGGATAGAGGAGATAACCAACGCTCGAAGGATCGTCTAGATCGGCCTCTGAGGAGCTCTTGAGAAAGGTGGGTTTAAGGATGTCATCAGCAGCAGCATGCTGGGGAGTATCGAAATTGAGAGACCTAGCGGAGGTCCCGGGTTCGATTCCAGGGGAGGGGAAGATGGAAAATCCATCCTAAAGTTGATAGGGGAGGCAGCTTAAGAGGCTGGGTTTTTTCTAACTTTTGAGTGGTAGTTTCTCTGTACCATAATACGTTATCTCCACTGCGCATTATGCCGAGGATCTTGTGTTGCTGGAGGAGTGGTATGAGGCTGATAATTATAGTGGTCATTTATTGTGGAATGGTGAGGTCTACAGCGGCTGTTCAACGTGGTCATCCTGAGAGTAAAACAGAGAAGAGGAGACGTCTGAGATCGTTGGGCCTTCTGGTCGGCCTCATCTATGCTTGCGGACTATTGGTAACGTTGGAAGTCGGAAGCTCCTCTCGCTGGACAACGAACGTCCCATCAGGTCACCACCGTCGCTCCGCTGTGGCTGTTTGGCTCCGATAACGATTCCGATTGGTCTCGTCCGGAAATGGTCAGCAGGTAGGCTTTCATCGCTTGGGCGCCTCCATCATATTTTGGTTATGTTCAGTTCCTCCGTTGGTGGGGAAGTATCAGGAGAGCTCAGGGATTTCCTCAATGACCCTCTAGTCAACACAGACCGTGAGCAAACCTGGCAGCACCGATACAGCCATAAACAGCTTGGTGATCTCACGCTTACTGGTGAGTACCTGTTCCTCTACCCTTGCTCTTATTCCCCTGTACTTTCGACTGAGCATCGATAGATTCCAATTGACTTGTTCTCTCCCTACTGCTTGTGATGTTGTTGAATACTCGTTGTTCTGCTAGGTAATGGCAAGGACGCGTGGGCGGCCGACTACCTCTATAATTTGCCTGGCAAAGGTAAGATTGATGCCTGTGGTCCTTCCATATTTTCTGCTATCATTCAGGACTTGGCGCCATTGAGGGTGCCCTCAACAGTGATCAGCAGCTCGCTCTTCAGTACTCCAATACAGTTCCAGATGGCACAGTAGGCGGCCTTGTAGCGTTGAATCGCGAGCATTATCATCATCACTTAGTTGGCCGGTACCGCGGGCTGGTCTAGCAACGACGGATACTTCGGGAAGCTATCTAAGCTGTGGAACGGCGGTAACGGCAAGGCTGCGAGGTGACACAGTAGCCGATTGGTGATATTTGATGTCCCTTGTGATGATAGGTACGACATCACTGGTAGTACCAACGACGGACAGCTAAAACACCGACTTCAAGCTCAGTGGGTGAGGGACAATGACAGAGTAATGATGACAGTAGGATCGTGATGAGAAAATATGTGTCCACATTGTTCAGGCGGAGGCGGGTATCCAGGCCCCTATTGCGAATCCCTACGGCTTCCTGTCCAAGGGCGGTGCGGAGAAATGTAAATGTGTTACGCCGTTGTATTTCATCGGTATTGATGCTTTCCTTAGTTGATCCCGATTGGTATACCTCTTATAGTCGTTCCATCATTGATGGTGGTTACGACTCGAAGAAGCCATTCGTAGGTTTAGTCTCGAACTCTTCGGTTGATTCCTCCCTGGTCAGGGCATAGAGGGAGGCGCTCGTCTTTCTTCTGGTGGCGAATTGGAGGGACGTCTCACTGCACGAGCCAAGCCAGTCGATAGCGTCGATGCCTTGTAAGAGTCGTTGCCCATCCTTTATCTCGTTGAGGGGTCGACTGTAGGTACCGCGTCAGTGCGCGAACTCGCCCTGATAGTTCGAAGGGCTTGTGGGGTTGGTTGACTGGACTCGGAAAATCTCCTGTAGAATTGGAGCACAACGCGCAAGTAGTGGGATCTGCAGTTCTGCATCATCTCGGCCATTAGAAACCCTGACAGGTACAATACTCAAACGGACCAGGGAGTGTGATGTATGCGAACTACGAGAAACGCGATGCTTCCCCTGGGCACTTACGTCTAGGCTATGCTATGAGCAGTGATGATTACCAGTAATTCGTGGAGGTATTGATCGAAATATGGACTCAGAAGTGCACCAATTGGGATGGATATTTTGCTGCGGTTTCCTCCGATTTGATCTGGTCCGTGTTAGTCAGTGTAAAGGGAAACATTCAAGTAGGGGTGTGGGTATTCAAGTGATTTCAGCTGTCAGGAAGTTACCCTAGCTTTGTGGGAACGTCTCTGCCATGTATGGTAGTAGCTCTCCCTTGTACCGCAGCCTCATCTCTCGATATTAGTGGTGAACAGGCTGATAGACGGCAGCGTAATCCCATCAGAAGATGGTGAATCGCGCTGTGTATGGGAGACAATTCAATTGTGTGATGGCTTTGTCATACCACAACTCCTGTGACCTACCGTGCTTTGTATGATATGACTGTGTTGTGTACAGTTTTAGCTGGACCCCTTCGGGGGTATCCGATAAAATTGGAACGATACAGAGAAGATTAGCATGGCCCCTGCGCAAGGATGACACGCACAAATCGAGAAGTGTAAAAAGTTTTTTCACTTCTGCCTATTTCTCAAGTCATTATCGCCTCGTCACACTCGCCGCGTGTCACTCGATATGCCTGATCGCGAGCCACCATTTGTTTTCAATCCTTCGAGTGTCAGCTATGGGCCATGGAGCGACCGAATAGAAAGTCGTCGATTAGCATGTCTAACCGCTCGACACTCGATAAATGACGGCGACGACGCGCGAGTAACCAAGGGGCGCACGCGTGCAAAATTCGCATTGCTATTAGAAGTATAGATTTTTCAAGATTATCAATGCCGCAATTGTGCTTCCATTCACTAATGACTCACTGAAACCTCTGATCTGCGAGTTTGGGAGGGGCAGTGGCCAAAAACCACACCACGGAATCCGTGCACCACGTCCGTGATTCGTAGCTTTCGGCAAGTGCAAGGAATTTAACCTCTCGTGACTGGTCTTTAAACGCAGAGCATACCGGAGGTAAACAACTGCCTCTCGGCCGGGAAGAAAGAGAAGGAAAGGTGTGATGCCTCGTACAATGACACGAACTAGCTCGAATTCCTCGCTGAGGCCAACACATTCTGCACTGATGGAGCCACACAATCAGGAAGATAAGAAGTGACCCGACGCCTTCTACTCCCGAACAAAAAGTCCCCAACAACGATATTCCTAGATACTGATTGTCTGCTCTCGTTGGCTGATGATTATTGATTGACCCACCGCTAGGGGTATGTGGAAGGAAACAACCCTCCGTATCGAGGAGAAGTTTATATAATGAACATTTATAGTCACTCTCACTGAGACTGAACACAACCACGCAATCTATACTGTGGCGAAACGTTTTGGCGATGCCAATGGTATTTACGTTCACGCAACAGCCGAACAGGCAAATCCACCAGAGCGATTGCTTGAGTTGTTAGAGAACCTGAAACACACACCTGGTTACTGGCAGAACAGCGTGCTCCGTACTTTAACATAGAGTGAACGCCACCTTCCTTGATAGCACTTCCAGTTTGGGCCTCAAATCTGAGCTCTCCACTGACGTTAGCGGCGTGGAGCTCGGGCACACTCTGAGCGCCCACATAAGCCATACCTTGCTTCACACCCTGGAGGAGACACAGAATGAGCGAGGCAAGCAGCCTGATAACAACCGTTGTATACCTCCATGATGTATGGGATGAGGCTGGTGACACTTCCCTTATCAACAACAGCTCCACTCACTCCCTGTGCGACCTTGATGTTGGCGGACTCAGCGAAATAACGCTCACCGGAACGATTCTGCATGGCTTCTAGTGAGCCTGCACATCAGACAATACCAAATCTTAGGGTCCCACAGGGTACGGTATTGCGAGACTTACCCATTCCTCTGTATGTCTTCATCCTCACTCCATCATGCCAGAAGAACTCACCAGGGGTTTCCTCGGTGCCAGCAAAAAGAGATCCCACCATAGCCGCAGACGCACCAAGTGAGAGAGCCTGCACATCAACCTCAACCCTCCCGAGAATGGCAAGCAATTGTAATACCTTCATGATGTGACCAGAGGTTTGGATGCCTCCGTCAGCGATGCAAGGAACGTTGTATCGCTCCGCTGCGAACTTGCTTACATGATAGACAGCGGAACCCTAGAGTGCAACATTTATGCATAGGAAGCCACCACAGCACTTACCTGAGCACGGCCGACAGCGCACACCTCCTGGGTGGTGCAGATAGAGCCGCTACCCATCCCGATACGGATGCCATCGGCGCCGGCATCCAGAAGGGCCTGATACCACATATCATCAGAAGTTTACCGACTCATAGTGCACGACCTTAGCTTGTCGGACCGACACAACATTGCCAGCGATGATCTCCATGGTAGGAAAGTCGTGCTTGATCCTCTTGATGAAGTTAACTTGGTAGTCAGACCATCCCTGGGAAGAGTCAACTACGATCACCTGTACAGAGAGAATATAGAAACCATCACAGCAGATGAGTCTGTTACATCGACACCAGCTTCGATGAGCTGCTGAGCACGAGCCTCGTCGCATGGACGGGTACTGACGGCAGCCCCCACCATGAGCTGCTTGTTGGCATCCAACGTAGCATTGGGGTGGTTACGGGAAGACTTTAGATCTTGACGCGAGATCAAAGCCACGAGGTCCTACAGGAACGACGAGAATCATATCATCCACGCCACTATAGCGAATCACCCCATTCTTATTCACAATAGGGAGCTTGTTCTTCTTCGATTCCCTAATCCTGCGATGGGCCTCAGGAAGGGAGATGGGATCGCAGCCCACGACCAGCTTTTCGGCAGGCGTCATCACCTACAGCATATCAGTGTTGGAACATATGCTCGCTTTATAATTTTTTCGCAAGTTATAGAAATTTCCGGCCAGAAACTTTCCCAAATTCCCTCGGAATTTCCTCATTGTCACCAACACATGTAGTTGACCATGTACACATTCCCCCACACTCAAGCATATTGCTCATTCCACTGTCATCATTCAGCCAGCCCAATACCTCCGAGAGCTTGATGCTCCTGTCCTTCCTGAAGTCGATGTCGCGACTGGTGACCAGCCCCAACAGCTTGCTACCCATCGACCCTGAGTCAATGTAAGCCCAATGATTGGTATTCACCACTTCCATCACTCACCACTCTCTGTAACAGGCACAGTAGAGAATCCTCGAGTAGCCTTGATTTTGTCAACATCAGCAATGGTAGCATCCGGACCAAGAGTAATGGGGTCCATAATGAAGCCGTTCTTGAAGCGTTTCACGGCTCTCACCTCAGCGACCTATCATGAGACATGTGATTCGTCTCTGCTAAGAATCTCTCCTCCACCTGCTCCGCAATCTCATTGTTGTTATGGATGACGCCAAGACCGCCCATCTGTGCCACAGCGATGGCCATGTGATGCTCAGTGACTGTATCCATCGGGGAAGACACAATAGGAACAGCCAAGGAGATCTTCTTCGTGATCCTCGTCTTTACTGACACTTCGTCAACGTTAGTTTTCACATGACCGGGCATAAGAATGATGTCATCATAAGTGTAACCGGTCGTTGAAGCTGAAAAAAAACAAGTGTACACCCAACAAGCTGTATCCCAAGAGTACCGTTGAATAACTTGTCTGCGGCCATACCATCTTCCATCCAAGCTTCTTCCTCAGCCATTGGCTCTGTAGCGAGGGATTTGTGCTCTGTCGTGGCGGGCATTCAAATGTCAAGGAAATACGTCTACAGAGGAAAACCAACCGCTGCTCCGCTCCGCTAACAAAATGAGCATTGACTATTTTATAATTGGAAAATTCAAATGAGCACCTCGCCCGGATTTGTCGACGCCATCCGAGAAGGCACTGCAGGTACTGGTAGCTTCCTTTTCCCAAATGGTGCTTGAGTCCTCCACGCTACCTCATATCGAAGAACGAACGCCGCTTGTGCGAGTTCAGGATCAGCACCATCGAGACGCCTCAGGACTTTTTCCACCAACCCTATGGCGCCCGGATCCAGCGTTAGACCGCAAGTCATGAGGAACTCCATAGAGCCATAACACACACCCATCCTTTGCAAGACGACTTTGGAGTCCGACAAGTCACTGGTAGCAAGTCCCCGCAAAGCAGAGAGGAGCACTTGTGCTATGCCCGAAAGGTAGAGGTCAGTGAGCCGCTGTGAAGCTAGTTTCTTGCTGAGAATAAAATGGAGGAGCATCGCCGCACCGCCACGGAGATGAAACTAACAGGAGACAAACTCAGCGGCGTGGATGAGCCTTCCCATCACCACCTGTTCAGCAACCGTTGATTCCACTAGGACGGACTGAGAGACGCAGAGCGAGGTGCATATCTGAGCCACCACCAGTGTGCAGAGTAGAACTACTGCCCTCAACAAGTCAGTACAGCTATGAAGCACTTCCATGCAGCATCAGCACAGTCCTTCTCCACCTGGACTACCTTCGCCGTAAGAGTGTGTACCAACCTGAGATGCCCTAGGAGCAGATTCAGAGGTCCACACCGCTGATTAGACTGGACCTGGACCATGGAATGACTACACCATTGCTCTATGCTTCAATACATACCGATGAGGCCAGATCACGAATGATATGCCGTATGTACGGATCGGGATGCTTGAGGGCCTTCAGCTGCATGAGCACCATACTCTGGCTTGCTTCAGTGACATCAACCCGGTCCGATCCGCAAAAAGCATCGCGAACAAGTTCTACAACCTGATAGCATCGATATCGATAACCCCCCTCTGCCAAAATGAAAACCCCTACTTCCCTATAAGGAGACTCGATCCGCGGCTTTTTCACCAACGGTGGTAGACGATCCGGTAGCCGATCCCCTGTTCTAGTGACAGTCCTCGAGCTCGACGTTGAAGTCCAATCCTGGCCTACTGCACAGCGCTGGTGAGACCGAGCTCATTCAAGCAGGCAGTACCCTTCCGGATAGCCACTGTGATATCATATTCACTTTCATCCGGAATAGTCAGCGGTTTGTTGATCTCGTTTATCAAGCGGACGACCTCCTCATCCGACCCATGGGATCGGAGGTCCTCTGAAACACCGAGATTGCCCTGCGGAAGATGCCGCCGCCGGGTATCGAACCTTCGTCCACCCAGCCAAGATCCTCCATCAGCACAGCTTTGACTTGCTCCCCCGTAACTAAAGATCATAACTATGCATCGTCGACAAGGATAAGTCAAGATGTCCCCTCCCAGTATCACCATTCCTTCCTGTCTTCTCTATCAGTCCGCGTTCCGAGACCCTAATCGCGAGAGTGCGAGCCAGACGAAGTCCCACCTCCGTCATATCATCGTGGGAGGTAGCCATGTAGCACGACAACTGCTTTAAGCATCATGTAACTATATCGACGTCGAGAAACTCTACCCGAGCGAAACGAAACCATGTGTAGTTCGCGCGCGCCACATTGATCGATTTCTGAAAATTAGATGGAACTTCTCGTGTGCCTTAATCGACTCAACTCATCCTCAACATTGCCTGGAAATTACCCTTTCCCCGATAACATGCATCATCATTGGCAGAAGACATCTTGCTTCATTCTTAATAGCTATAGCTCGTTGGTTCAGTCACAAGAGATGACAGCACGTCGACTAACCACCAGTGGAGGATACTAGTCTTGGGCTCGTCGGGAGCTTCGACTGCCATTCAGCGTATTCAGTATTCAACGCATCCTTCTTCTCCTTGACCTTCCCAAGAACGGCCTTGGATTTCACCGACATGTCCATTACCATCATCTCAGTCTTACTGTCGATCTGTGGGTATCATGAAGCAAGTAGCCTACTCCACTCCCCACCTTGCTGTGTGCGATCTTGATCCACTCCGGCGCGAGGCCAGCCGTCTGCCGAAGGTAGTCCTCCATTACTCGAGCTCCCAGTGGCTTATATCTGCTCCCGCCGCCATTGGCCGACATGAAGTGCCTGGAGCTCGACCGGAAACAACCCAACAGTGCTTGAGCGTCTACTTCACCACGTCTTGCAACTTCATCGAGGGATGGCCTCTCATGAAGAACAACCGGCTGAGTTCGGCTATAATCGATGATAGAAGTTCGTAGAAGCTCAGTTGCCTGAGGCGCAAGTAGCCAGCCACCCCGAGGGCCACCATCCAGTACTCGCGCCATTTCAGATCCTCTTCATAAATCCGTGCATCCTCCTTCTCCTTCGCCTCCTTAGCCCGGACCTGCATCACTTTCCACCGCTGAGTTTGACGCAACACTTACCCTCTCTCTCATCTCCTGTCGTCTCTCTGCCGGTGTCTTGCTCGCTGATCGACTACGAATGTTCTCCCGAACGGACGGAGTACGCTGAAACACGAACAAGCAGTGCCAGCGAGGCGAGGGGGTTCAAGCTCACGGCTGGGGTCATGGGCTCCGACAGCTGTGGGAGGATAACCGGAACGAATGGAGATGAACTCAATTCGAGCCTCTCTCGCCGCCGCGCCCGAACACCTATATAGACCACCTCCCAAGCCTTAGCGACAAACATCAATCTACCAGAAAGCAGTACACTACAAGGTGTCTGGGGTGTCGCATCGGGGCTCGGCGTCCCTCGACCGCGTAGCACTGGTGTCGATTCGATTGGTGTAGAAGCCTCGAAAGGGTTGTGAGGCAGTGAGGCCTGCGCACCGTGTTCAACGCTGGTTCCGGAAAGCTCTAGGACTCACCTGGGGAACCGGCTCGGCCTCGTCAATAAGGAATTTCTTCGGGTCGCTACAGCGCCTTTCCTAGAAAGCAGCACCGATGCGATCAGCCAGCCACCCCGAACTTTCCGCGAACCAACCTGGTCTGCTAGAAGCTCTTCGAGCTTCGTCCGAACGACTTCAGCTCTCGCCAAGGCCTCTTTCGCATCGAGCCGTTTAGTGAGCACAACACCTGACAACCTCTCCCTCCCCCCGACCCGCCCTGGTCCCCATCCCCACCACTAGCGTCCTTCTGAACAACAACTAGACGCCTGAGTGGACTCGTCCCCATCGAATCAACTTCACATTCCTTCTCTCGCCACTCGAGGTCAAGGAGGCCACCAGCTGCGAAGACAACTTGAAGCAGTCTTCCCTAAAGCCCACCTCCAACCCGTGCCACTCCCTCTAATAGACTCACCTTGGCGAACCTCTTCCCGCTTGCTCGCTCCACACCAGCCTTGAGCTGCAGGTAGTAGGGCACTTGGCTGCGCACACGGAATAACGAGAGAACCTCATCGAGCCTGATTGGAAGGTATCCATCCCATCGTCATCATTTCCTACATTCTGAATTGATCTAATACAGTTTTGTAGTGGCTCGGCAGCGACCTCTTGACGGTGCTAACCTACACAGTGAAGTGAAAAATGCGAACACATAAGGCGGCCTTCATCACAGATGCCGGAGCCTGCTTCAATTCCTCAGGTATAGGCAACTTGGTCGTGACCCCAAAAGCAGGTACTGGCGAAGGAGGAAGCTGAGATGTCTTCGTATCTGCAGTGCGTGATAAGGATCACACCAGGAGCTGTAGTATGCATCACCATCATGCTTCTCCTCAGTGAACTCTTTGAACAGATTCTTCACTGGACCACGCTCAGCAGGGGAATCCCTCGGCAACGACTCGCGTCTGGAAACGGTTTTCCTTGAGGGCACATCCGCAGGCCTCTCGAGCCCACTACCCTTTCCCTCCCGTAGAGGCCAGGTCGAGCTGATCCACTACCTCCCCCATACTGACGCGAGTACCACAACCTGAGTCGACAAATGCGCCAGGGATGCTCCAACCCCATACTGCTGCGATTGGTCGCCATTGAAGCACGTCCCCTGGTCGACGGTCGGCCCCGTACCAAAGACTCTCGCTGTGAACCGATAAGGAGGCCCTAAGAGACACATTTTCACCAGACAGGAGACGAAACCATGCCGCTAGTATGCTCAATCGACTCGAGAAGAAGCGGCTCTCACATTGGAGTCACCCTTCAAAGATCCTCCCGGGCGTTTCGGTGTACCCGAATTGTGGCGTTTCGCCGACGGCCGAGAGCTCTTGGGAGTAGTAGGCAGTTCGGGATTCCCTACATCATCAGCTGCTCAAGTCTGATATCATCTCAGTCACTCACCGTCAGTGGGGCTCCCGAATAAGTTCTTCCTCGGCGTAGCACATAGAGGATCTGAATCAGGAGAAGTCGATTCCCGCTTCCTCTTCTGACTCGTAGACCGACCTAGTGAAGCATCCCGTACCGTCTAACTACCCTAGAAGACTCACCTCGGCTGACAGATGGGCTACTGCCATGCTCACTCCGCTTGAGTCGGCGTGACGACCTTGTAGAGCGGCTTCCAACCTTGGGTGTAGAGGACATAATCGAGTAAGCCAACGCAAGAGACACTAGATGACCGACCCTACAGGCATCAGATTCAACAGCAGCTTCTAATTAATTGACCAACACAAAAGAATCGAGTAGAGCTAAGAAGTGGCAATCCACATGCACCCATTATGTACATAGTTTGCCATCCAGAGTAGACGACCACCGGTCGGAAAACAGCATCAAAGTCCAGTGCAAACCTCAGTGACGGAAGACAGCTACGGGACCACTCCGTGGCAGAGTGAGACGGCAGCTGTGGTATTGACGAAAATTCAGATGCGCAGGTCAGTGATGGCAGAATAGTAAAACGTAGTCGACGAGACGCATCAGAAGGGAGCCAGCTACCTGACTGAAAGAAAGAATGAGAGGAGTCCATACGAGGGAGTAGAAACGAGTGGCTCGCCTCAGACCGTTTCAGAAACCAACGACCGTGGTTGTGACTGCAGCGCGCGCCCAAGACAAACCCTACTTAGGCAATGAGAGTCCCCACTATCAGTGCGAACATGATTTGATAACTGATGAACCGCTTCGAGCGAGGTTCGAGCGAGGGTGGCGCTTCGGCAAGGGGTGGTAGGTTATATCGGTGATAACGTCACATTCAGGGCCTCTTCCTCATGCTATTATTAACCCAACTTGGTAGCAGCCATACAATGCCAGGACTCTCGATCGCATCAACGGTCTCCCCAAAGTTCAGCAGCACGTCGAGCTCAGTACTAGTGAAGGCTAGGGTCAGAAAAAACTGGCAGTGACAAAGGACATCAGAAACCAACTTCGGACGCGGCAAAATACCTCAGCACACAAAGCGCGCTCGTGTTCATACCTATTACAAGCCAACTACGCAATACTACTGATTGACCCCTCTGAGTGAAAACCGCAGCCGAGCAGCAAATCATCGCGACCAAGCGATTTAACAATTGTTGATTTTACGTATTGCCGCCGCATTGACGAGAAACAATGGGATGAGATCAAAAAGGTCTTCAAAGACTACATAGAAGCCTCCCGAGGTTCAACACAAGGTGCCAACTTCTGCGCGCCAACAGAGACACCTCCTCTTCAATTGATACTATACAACTCAACAGCGGACGTGCAAAACTCGAGCCCTAACTTAGATCTTCAGGGCCCTAGTGCCCATCTCGCTGCCCTTGGGTCGGAGTAACGAGTCCCGGCTTATCTCCACCTTGTTGTGAGAACAGAAACCCTAAACGAAACCACCCAACAACTCCAAGCAGGAGACACTCTAAGGATCGCATTTCTTCTCCGGCAATTTCGGAAAATCAACATTTCTCGTTAACAGATGAGGGATTAGAGCTGAAGCTTTAGCGAAGCATAGATATACTGACTAGCTAGTCTATATAGAGTTGAAACTGTCATATTCGAAACCGTTACGGATATATGAGGGCGAGCGAGAAAATCACCACCCTCTCGAAAGTCCCCACTACCGTGCCGCCAGACTGCAAGTGTATAACGTCCTTCTTCAGATCCAACTTCTTACCAGTAACCGGACACCGGGGCTCAGGCGAATTCCGCACCAACTCGTCGAACCTGACCTTGCTATACCAGCCGATGCCACTTCTCCTATTACTACACTTTCTCGATAATGACCACGCCAGAGGGCCGCAATAATACACATTTCTGATGAGTGATAGGCTTCTTCGACACAGCACAACAATACATACCCTACAACCACAACATGTGTGTCCCACCTCTGCCCCCTTAGACTTACGGAATACTCAGTGTCTTTACCCTTCGCGTTGTTGGCCAACTCAAACTTAACCGGCACCAGATCCTTCAACCGCAACCTCTTACCCGTCATTGGGCATCTGAATAATGAGAACACTGAAAAACCGTAGAAGTCCGTACGCCCAGGCATACACCACCGTACCGACCTTGGGACCAGACTTTCAGGCTTCTTAACGTCTCCCTGGAACTCGGGCATCTCTTCAGCAGCCCAGAATGACTTCGCTCGAGCCTCGGTCTTGTTCTCCCATGGGATCGACACACCGACTATCATCACCAGAGCCCTCAGTAAGCGCATATACAAACAGTATATTACCAGATCGCGCTGCCTCGTCCTTGTTTCTCGACACACTACTAGACTCGCTCTGCTGCCCTAATTCGGACATAGTTGTCTGGAACTTCTGCGCCCTGAAGTAAGGCATACGCAGACAAATGGTGAACAGATAATGGTATTGGAATCACCGTTGAGCATCTTTTTGATGTTCCTTGAGATCCTCATATGCCTTCTTATTGGCCTCCTGCTGCTCGTATAGTCGCAGCTCCTGATCAAAATAAGGCTTCAGAAAAGCACACGCCTCACGCCCCCTTAGAACCTCCTTTATTCGGCTACGCTCCTTCACCAAATACTCCACGACGGTGGACTTGTCGTAACTGAAGAACAGTGCTGGAATATATGTTCACTTTCCTCAACTGAGCTTGGGATTTTCCTCACTAGTAATACAAGTTTACATACGAACTAGGGAAGAAACGTACAGAAACCAATGATAATTTCCCAAGATTTCCTCAAAATTTTCATATTGTGACCAACATATGTGGTTGACACTGCTGAAGGGCCTCGGTCCCGAGTCATATGCCCTATGAGAACATTCTTACATATAACCAGTCGTTGGTGAGGCCATAGGCTCCTTAGCAGGTCGAAGTGATATACAGCACATCCCAAACGGTAGCTGCGACTCGGCTCCTACAGGAACTTGTCACCAAAGGGTCTGCGGCCAGACCTCACCAATGCGCTCGGTCATCTGACCAAATCCACACTTCCTTCGCTCATCGCTAGTTATGAAGGCTCGGTCAGTTTGATTCTGTGAGTGACGGGTCATAATGTACAACAATGTAGCCGCTACGGAACTTAATTTCTCACGCGGGCCACCGTATTGCTCTGTCGGACTAGAATATTCTTGTTGCGTTGTGAAACGCAATTTTTACGTTCGAAGATACCAACTCCATCATTCGCCTCGGATAGCAACCAGACTGAGGGTTCACCATATAGAACTCTACAAAACAGCGCCGCGAGTGCAAGCGACATTAAAAGGGGATCACAAGCCGACCCGTGTATCGGGCGTGCCGGAGAAGTTAGTGGCGCGCGAAGAAGCTAGTGACAGACATGAGAAATTAGTGACGCATGATGGGTAATAGTTATCGAGTGCTATGGAAATGCTCGTTTGCTTAGTGGGTCACTCCGATGTAAACTGGAGCGGACAACATTCTCCGCCCGAGTTCAATCCGAGGGTCTGTCGTTTTCGCCACCTTCTCATACCAATTCTCAACTCGAGAATCTCGAGTTCCCCTGCTTTGGGATAGCGAGACCCAGCGTCATTGTCATTCCTGTACTCGATTCCACTCAGTGGCCCCTTATCTATGATCATCCATCTGAGCACGTCCGTAGCTTTGACAGCTGTGATATCTACACTACTCCACGGCTGTGATCCGAAAGTGAGCCCATCAATAACATGGCTGATTTCTCTCGGTAGATCAAGCCATGTATTTCTTCTCAGAACCAAACTTGTGTTTTCGAGGGCAAGGTCAAGGTGGACCTCTCAGCAACACTGGTGAGGAGCGCAGATTCTGTTATCTTCGAACTCCAGCAACTCCAATGCTCGAGGAATGAAACGTGAGTTTGGTCGTAACAGAGAGCCTCCATACCGCGGGGTCTTCAGATACACCCTGAACGACATAAGGGCTGCATTCAAAGCCAGCGATTGGGCGTATGCGCCCGTTGCGACAACGTGCGAGCAGTTGCTTGGCGACTCGAAAAACACTCTTGTGCAACTCGCGACTGAAGCGCATCTGACAGTGCTATGCCAGATAATGGAATCTGGTAACACACAAGCGTGGGCACCAGCTCTCGCGCGGCCCATCAATACAATTGATGCGGCCTCGGGTCCATTCATACAGAGTGGGGTTGGTGAATCAGTGAAGTCTGCACTTCCTCAAGGGCCATACAGTTCCAATAGACTTCGGAGTGTTATCCCCGGTGCAGCGACTTCACTCAGCCCCACGTAGTGTCATTCCATGTTGCACATTAGCATTCTTGATGCCAGTTGGAATTCCCGTGTTGTGTGATAAGTACCAGATAAGCTGCGGTATCGGTATGGGAGTAGTGTCGCAGAGGATTATTTACGTTCAATCAAGAATGTTTAAGGAAGTGTTCTTCTAATCCGGAACGACCTTGAGATTCTACGCCCACTCCCATGGGAGTTCGACAAGTGAACATATAAGAGTCACTGTGTTCGTCGAAAGGTTGAAACAAAGAATATTCAAGTTTGACACACCCTCAGAATTAACTTCCGAGAATGACAACACGCACTTCAAATTTGACCCGTTGCGAAAATATCAGATCCAAGAATGACACTCTCAAGTACCCGCATGCGTGACGCATGCCTCTCAAGTTGAGAGGGGGTAGGGGGAGGAGGGGAGGAAGTCTTGCGACGCTGAAAAGAACAAGATGATAATAAAACTGAATTTCAACTGCTTACAGTGAAGTATTGATTCATTGTCTTCTCTGGCGTACGTCTCCGTACGCCATCGATGAGCGGATAGAGTTTTACCTTCTGAAACAACAAAAACAACGTTCAGAGTATTAGTCCGATCCTCTCCCCTCGCCAACTGTAGTAATAATAGTAGTAGCAGTCTTACTATTATCCACCCCGCTAGTAGTGGTATCGTCAGCCCCAATAGTAGTAGTAGTAATAGCAGTCTTATTATTACCCACCCCGGTAGTAGTGGTATCGTCAACCCTAGTATAGTAGTCGTACGACATCATTTCACATGAAGTGTGTCAGCGACGACTCCAAAACTGACAAGCGCTGCGAGGTCTAGTATAATCACGTTGTAGAACATGCGTATCCGGCGAGGTCTCCTTCTGGGGTATTTCCTCAGTTGCACACTGCACTGCTACCACTCAATCAAATGTGCCTCTCGGCCAATTTACCAACTTTATGAGAAAAGCACACATCAGCTAGTGGAAACTAATTATGATGATGTGATTTTGTCCTTGAATCTCGACATCATTGACATGACAGTACGACCAGCCTGGTCCGCGATTCGAGAGTTACAGCCGTACTTCTCAACTAACATTGTGGCGATGCTGATATGATTCCCATCGAGTGCAACATGGGCAGCAGTTTCCCCCAACAGGTTCCTCCGATTCACCAAAGCCTTCATAGTATCTGCGATTAATATCCGAGTCCCGAAGCCGTGGACGTCTTGAACATGCCTCCGTCATCCAATGCAGCCATTAATCGTTGTACTAGAAGTGAATGACCAAATCGGGATGCAACGTGGAGAGCAGTATCTCCCGGAGGCGTAGACCACTTCACCAGCGCTGGCATGGAGTGACTATCCAGGACCATGCAGACCTACAGAGTTGGAAGAGCGAATGATTGGTAATCAATTTCAGCTTGTCGGAACTAAACTGACCGGAGCTGAGATGGAATAGACTTTTCTAATCAATTCACAGAGTTGTTGCGGATGAATACTTTCAGATTACCGACTACAAAACTGATCCCCCAGAGTTCCTACACATGCTGCCATTTCCGCTGTAACCATCTGAACCGCAAGAGCGCTCTCAACGGCTCTAACTCTGTCGACAGTGCTCAGGCGATCCCCGATTCGCTTCAGGATACGCCTCAGAGACCCCTCATCTCCACGGGTAACCAACCTCGTTAAAATACTACTATTCGCACTTTCCCGTTCACAACTCGCCATTGGAAACGCTGACCGCCGATGCGTGGAGCATTGACCGCGTTGCTTAGCTGCAAACTCTTTTAGGCATATCGGGTCGACTCGCAAGAGAAGATCCTTGCGACAATTCGTTGGGTAGAAACGACGTTGCAAATGGCCACTGAGAAGAACAGCCTATATCAATTTACATCCGATCTGACATGCATCGAGAGCCATGTGGTGGAATTCCAAGTGTCAGACGCACACGGATCTCACCCTTTCAATAACTTAGTAATCTTCTCCTTCCGAAAACGCCAATCAGAGCGAGCTAGAGCGGCTACTATAAGCCGATAGTTACTCGGTTCGATCGAGAGAGCCATCGAACACGTTGTTCCGGCCTGAGGCCTCACTCGATGCCTGAATACAGTCCTCGTGGACACATCTAGCCGACACTAGAGGGCTCGGAAGCGTACGTAGTAGTGACGAGATGACAAGGACATTTCACACCTTCGAAGGCCAATTCCGCCTTTGCTAAGGCCAACTCCCCAGACTGGGTGGCTGGGCCACACAGACGCGCCCCATCACAATCGATTCCACAGTAGCATGAGGCGGAAATATCAGTGTCATCGGCACGACAGATGCAACTCCAATTTCCACGAGGTACGGTAATAAGTTTCGTTGTTGGAAGATTGATTTTGCTCGAGGAGCGGGTATGTAATCTCCGGAGTAGCATCTTTTTCCCAGTGGCGAGGTGCCACTTAATACACACCAGAATTTCTTCTAACGAATTAGTACGTCGGACTGGGGTGTCTCCAGTGGAGTCCCAGGATGGAGAGTCTGCCCTCGAACTGTTCGAGCGACATTGATTGCCATAATTCGTTAAAAGTGGTGCTACTTCTGTCGAGATAGCGACAGCAACTAGCGTGGGAGGCTACCCCACAGCAGCTAAGACCCGGCAAGTTTATTATGAACTGGACCCTTCGACAAACGTATATTCCGTAAGCCTTTCCAAGACGAAAATTCAATTGCCATAACGGTGATAGGAAGAGCCCTAGATCGCCCCGGAGCTTGCCTGCCAGCCTCCAAATACCTTCGCCACAAAGCCACGTTATCTCGGGATAAACAGCTGTAACTGAAACACGAATCCAATCGAACTTACACCGCGAGAATGTGGATAAGCCAATACCACTCCACGCGCAACTTATTTGGTTGGCCTGTCCTACCTGTGGATGCACGTATATGAGAGAGCTAGGGTATCATCTGCAATTAGAAACAGCGTTATAATGGAGAACACCTCTTCCGAGAGGCTTACAATACCAATAGTCATCTCGATCTTTGACGAGCGACAGAGCAGCGGTATCTTGAAAACTTGCTACCTTACACTTACTCAGCGCCGGTCTACCTGTTAGGCGACCTTAGCTTGGTGGAGCTGTGAGCATCTTGGTGGCCTCTCGTTGCCGTTGAATTAACACTTGAGCTTTTTGGTAGGACGTTGTTTAGTCTGCTTCTAAATGCCGTCGGATTCTAAGAACAACTACGCTGCTGTAGCCGCTGCTGCTGCCACCACTGCCGTTGCGGCTGGTGCTGCTAGTTATGCCGCCTACAAGAAGATGCAGGGATTAGGCAAGTAATACGGGATTATTTCCTTCGGCTCTTGAGTGTCCTTTTTTGTCCGAAGGCTTAGAAAACACCTCTGGATCCTCACGCTGAAACGTTGAGTTCTAGTCGGGTTTTTGATCCCCATTGAACACTGCAGTTGTCGTGATTCCATTGTTTTCACTTCAGGACCGTCACGGAGCTCCGAGGGAACGTGTCTCGTTTGGAAGAGGAGAACTCTCATCTCAGTCGGCCTGTTATGGGCAGTATGACTGGGGATGATATCTTGCTCCCTGGTAAGAATAGCATCGGGAGTCTTCTGGTCCCACTCTGGTAAATTACTAGAAGAATAGTATTGTTGTTATCACCTCAGGTGAGAGCCTGACTTACTTGAAGCCTTCCAATTTGGCTGAGAGGTTCGGTAAGAAGGAGCATGCGACTCCCCTCATTCAGAAGTACGAGGGACAGTTGCAGGACTTCCAAGACGAGAACTCGATCGTCACCCAGACTATCTGGCGTAACAAGGACGAGCACCACAAGCAGTTCTTACGCTACCTTCGTGCGGGCCCTCGTGAGAAGATTTATTTCAACCCCAAGGAAGTTACTGCCGCCATTGTTACCTGTGGTGGTCTCTGCCCAGGTCTCAATAATGTAATTCGGGGTCTTACACAGATGCTGGACGAGTATGGTGTTCCCACCATTTACGGTGTTAAGGACGGTTACAAGGGCTTCGCCAGGGATAACTGCTGGGTTAAACTTGATTCCAAGAAGGTCGAGACCATTCATAGGATGGGTGGTAGCGTATTAGTTTGCAATCGGGGTAATGACGATATTGACGTCATGGCTGAGGCTATCATGAGGAAGGGTGTGAACATGTTGTTCATCGTTGGTGGTGATGGTACCCACAGAGGTGCCGATAAAATACAACAGTATATGGTTAAGGCTAACTATGAGTGTTCCGTCGTTGGCATCCCCAAAACTATTGATAACGATATCCCCGTTATTGACGATTCCTTTGGTTTCGCAACTGCTGTGAGCGAAGCCGTCCGCGCCATCGAGGCAGGTTATGTTGAGGCTACTGGTGCTCCTAACTGCATCGGTCTGGTCAAGTTGATGGGACGTAACTCTGGATTTGTTGTCCTTCATGCTGTCTGTGCTGCGGCTACTGTCGATGTTGCTCTTCTCCCCGAGATGGATATTAGTCTCCCTAAGCTCCTCGACCACATCAAGCAGAAGATCGATAAGGATGGTCACATCGTGGTCGTCGTTGCCGAGGGATGCGGCGCTACTCTCATGCAGGCCGATCCGACCCTCAAGGATGCTGGTGGAAACATCAAGCTACCCGACGTAGGTGTCTACCTCAAGGATAAGATTCTGGAGTATGCCAAGGCCAACGGCCGTAATGATTGGACTGTCAAGTAACACCTGGGGCTGAGCACTCATATTCGAGACTATATTGGTGTCACTTGTAGGTACATCGATCCTACTTACATGATCCGTGCTGTTCCTGCAAATTCTGGTGACTCTACTTACTGTCACGTACTTGCCCATAATGCTGTTCATGGCGCTATGGCCGGTTACACGGGTTTCTCTTGTGGCAAGTGTGATCAAAGGTAAGGAAATCGAAATTACACTGACTTAGCGATCCCTGCTTTCCTAAGATACGTTATGCTGCCGTTCAAGGCTCTTACGGGTCGCCCTCCTCGCCAAGTTAACACGGCAGGTCGATGGTTCGCCAGGATGATCATGTTCACTGGTCAGCCCAGCTTCGTAATACTATTCGTCGGCATCCTCCTTATTTACTGCTATTCCTTCAGCTCCCCAAAGGGCACATTCCACGTCACAGCTCCGAGCTAATAACGCACTAAAATGACCGCGTGGACGGCATCTTGAGTAGAGGACTCGGTGCCATTCCTTTGTACAGAACAGTCGCTAATGCGAGTAAGAGTTCTTTTCCGCGCAAACATTGTCTATTGTTGCGTTCATAAGCTTTTAACGGAACTGGGAAAGATCGGTCGGGGTCAATAGGCATCGTGTAGACACGTGGAAACTCTTCTTCTAGTATTGAATACGTTCAACGGGCGTCGGAGAACTGCTCTTGGTTGAGAATGTATTATGATAAAGCTCATGGTACGCAGATAGTTAGAGGAGTGCTCTCTATGGTCTGTATGGTTTTGTAGATTGAGCAGCCGATGGTTCGGTAGAGAGGTTCGCCGCTTGTGTTGTAGGCCGTTTTCTATGTCTGGTGACTCTAAGTCTCCTTCTTTCACTGCGGCTGCTGTTGCCGCAGCGGCAACTGCTGTCACGGTCGGTACTGTGGCTGGCGTGATGTACAAGAAAATCATGGGATATGAAAGGTAGGCGAGGAGAGGGAACGCTGTGGTCTTCACATGCAGGAGAATACCTCATACGGGTGGGTCAATATGGATGATGTTCCATATCCGAGTTCTGAATATCTGGGCCGGCGTGCGGATCCTGATCCGCGCGTGATCCTGAGAAAAAAATCACGAAATGAGATTGACATGATGATTCAATGGCATGAACCAGCTATTTTTACTCAGATCAACAACATTGGAATCATGGTGCAAAATCTTAGCTCATTCTCGTGATCCGTGGATCACAGCAATCATGGTCCTGTCAGTTTTTGAACGCGATCGTAGATCACCGATCAGCAGGGGAGTTGAGTGATCCGATCACTTAACAACTAGTAAGGCGCACGATCGGGGATCGCCGCGATCCTTGATCGCGCAGGAGCGCTATCCAGGAATCGAACGCTGACGACATGAATAATAGCCAGTCGCTCATCCGATTCGCCAATTATCCTCCCAATAATATTGTGCAATAACTAAGTGGAGTTACAAGACATGCGTCTCTAGCGAGGAAAAATATGCTTCGCTTCCATCTTCCTCGACGAGAAGAAGGAAACTCGGAAGATATTGAGAGGCAATCCTGAGTTTTAGACGAAAACCCAAGATTGCCTCTCAGTGAATGTACCATATGGTTACTACCATCTAGCAATTGCTAAAACAGATGGTAGTAAACATATAGTTACAGTGTAACTGTTATAAATTTTTCGCTTAAATTGTAGCCTTAAAATAGGTTTCACGAACGGCCATCGTGTCGTATTGCATTCTCCGAATGTACCTCGTACATAGTAAGGACTCGGTACTACAGAGGCTAGGGACGAATTCGTGAATCTCCTCAGTTGCTGACGCTCAGTACGCACTTGCGAGTAAGTCTCTCATAGAGACTCTCTATACCACAAAATATGAATGTTGCACTTTGGAGGGATCGAGATCACGGATCACGAGTAGTTAAACGCAGCAAAAATGCCTCGTTATAGGATGACCGTATAATACGGTCCGTATTCTTACACGCAGAGTATCACTGATTCGTAAACTGATCCTTTCGATGGGTCAAGAGCTTGATCTAATGCTTGATCCGGACCGAGGAATGATCCCTCGGGACGAAATGGGTCACAGATCATTCTCAAGACGTCTGAGGGTTTGTCAACTCGGTGATCTTTGGATCACGGATCAAGTTTTTCATCAAGGGCCATGGATCAGGATCAAAAATGAGGATCACGCGAGATCCAAATCACAGATCAGGGATCAGTAGCAAAGTTGAGGGATCAAGATCAACAGTCAAGGATGAGGATCGAAGATCACGGATCAAGATCAAGAATCACAGATCTGACTCACGCATCTCGGATCACGAAGGATTTGGCTCAGGCGTGAATACCAACGAGTGATGTAGATCATGTGCTCTTTCTGTGGATCAGGATCCGCATACAGACTCTGATTCCCGATCAGTGATCGGAGTGGAATCGACGTGTGATCGAAGTTCAGTTTCGATAATTTTGGAAATTGTCAGCTAACTGATTGATGGTGACTCGCTTTTAGTGGGTTGTCATGTTACACAGGTTAGTATCGGAATTGCGACAGCACATTGCCGATTCCCAAGAAGAAACCACACGGCTCACTCGACCTGTCGTGGGTAGTTTGTCAGACGAAGACATACTCCTCCCAGGTGACTATGGTACATGCACTGGATACGCTATAGCGAATGTACGTTTAGGTGAAAGCTTAACCTACCTCAAACCTACACATCTTTCTACTCGTTTTGGTAACAAGGCCTACGAGACTCCTCTCATTGTAGCGCTATTATCTCGATTCACCCCGTACGCTGCCTCTTTGAACCTCAGGAAGAGTACGAGGGACAGTTGAAGGATTTCCAAGATGAGAACTCAATCGTTACTCAAACCATCTGGCGTAACAAAGACGAGCACAACAAGCGGTTTTTGCGCTACCTTCGTGCGGGTCCTCGTGAGAAGGTTTACTTCAACCCCAAGGAAGTTACTGCCGCCATTGTCACCTGTGGTGGTCTCTGCCCAGGTCTCAATAATGTGATCCGAGGCCTTGTCCAGATGCTCGAGGAATACTATGTCCCCACCATCTATGGCGTGAAAAACGGTTACAAGGGCTTCGCCAGGGATAACTGCTGGGTTAAACTTGATTCCAAGAAGGTCGAGACCATTCATAGGATGGGTGGTAGCGTATTGGTCTCTAATCGCGGTAATGACGATATTGACGTCATGGCTGAGGCTATCATGAGGAAGGGTGTGAACATGTTGTTCATCGTTGGTGGTGATGGTACCCACAGAGGTGCCGATAAGATACAACAGTATATGGTTAAGACTAACTATGAGTGTTCCGTCGTGGGCATCCCCAAAACTATTGATAACGATATCCCTCTCATAGATGGCTCTTTCGGTTTCACTACTGCAGTCGACGAAGCTGTCCGCGCTATTGAGGCCGCTTATGTTGAGGCTACTGGTGCTCCTAACTGCATCGGTCTGGTCAAGTTGATGGGACGTAACTCTGGATTTGTTGTCCTTCATGCTGTCTGTGCTGCGGCTACTGTCGATGTTGCTCTCCTCCCCGAGATGGATATTAGTCTCCCCAAGCTCCTCGACCACATCAAGCAGAAGATCGATAAGGATGGTCACATCGTGGTCGTCGTTGCCGAGGGATGCGGTGCTACCCTCATGCAGGCCGATCCGACCCTCAAGGATGCTGGTGGAAACATTAAGCTACCCGACGTAGGTATCTACCTCAAAGATAAGATCTCGAAGTATGCCAAGGCCAACGCCTGTAATGACTGGACCATAAAGTAACAGTTTGAGCACCTTCGCTTTCGCTCTGTTGAGCCTCGGTGAGTGCTAGGTACATCGATCCTACTTACATGATCCGTGCTGTTCCTGCCAACCCTGGTGACTCTACTTACTGTCAAGTACTTGCACATAACGCCGTTCACGGCGCTATGGCTGGTTACACTGGATTCTCTTGTGGCAAGTGTGACCAAAGGTAACACGTTCACACTCCCACCGACCTTGTGGTTTCTGTTATCTTTAGATACGTTATGCTGCCGTTCAAGGCCATCACAGGTCATCCTCCTCGCCAAGTTAACACGGCAGGCAGATGGTTCGCTAGGATGATCATGTTTACTGGTCAGCCCAACTTCGTAAGCCGGTTTGCCTGTTCGTGCTTGTTATTATTCCTTTCAGCTCCCCCCGGGACATATTCCGCGTCATAGCTCGTCTCTCCAGATCTGAGCTGGTGTGCCTCGGGAACCGAGCCCACAGAACACTGGTGGATTTATTCTTCATGCGATTTGCAAAGGTCTGCATTATTATCACTAGCATAGCAGTTCGTTTATTCACATACCTGAACAGGAGTATTACACGAGAGGCTACATTTGTATTGTAGTCATAAACATGAGTTGGTCACTGCCTCAACAACTGTTCAATTTTTCCTAACGCGAATATGCGTTTCTGCCACATCAGTCGGAAATATTGAGTTTCAGTATCGGTTCAAGGGGTGGAGTAGATGAGGAAGATTACAGTCGCAGTATTTTACATAGGAATACTATGTGACTGAATCAGTGTTGGCAATGGTTAGAACGACATAGATAATACCCCTTTATCTTGGGCGCGCCGCAAATCTCCTCCGCCTGATCACAAACTTTCTTCTTCGGGCTATGAATCTTTGCTCTCTCGGGCCAGAAGCCCTGTTTTCAAGGCGGGTCTTTGAGTGCAAAATCCCAACCGGTCAGCAATCTCAGCAGCTACTGTGTTGGATGGCAGAGATCATGTGTTATTCATTCCCATTCTGATGTACCGCAACGGTGATGCTCTATATGCTGGGAACCTCCGCCCCCTGCTGAGTTGTCGCCTGCGGTGACATGCATCCGAATTCCCCGTCATCTATCCGTACGTTGTGGAACCCTCATCAATGACATTCGCTTCAAGCCGTTACTGCATCCTCTATAGTCGTGCTATTGATAGTAGTCATTGTCATGCTCATAGTCGTCCGTGGTAATGCGTGTCAGAAACGAATAGATGGAGGATTGAGTTGAGTCGCGGTAGTCAGTCGGGTCCGTACTAGCTGACCGGGGACGGGTTTCTTGTGAGTATCATCGAATAACACGCAGTGCTCTTGACTTGTTCTCACATTCTTTTATCATGGACCAAGAGGAAGCTCTTTATGCTAGTGATGAAGTAACACTGCTTGTCACGATCCGGACACTGACTGTCATAAGCTTTCAGGAGATAAGCAAGCAAAAGTTCGTGCCGGCTGATCCCAAAGCCCATTGGGTGCCTGACGAAATGGTCACGGCATGCTCGGTTTGCCACGAGGCGTTTTCGGTGAGTGACGAGTCGCCATATCATTCACTCATAGTCCGATATAAACTAGCCATGCTCAGGTGACGAGAAGGAAGCATCACTGTCGGCATTGCGGAAAAGTGGTCTGCGCGCAGTGCAGCGAACACCGAGTCGTGTGAGTACTCATTGTGTCACTACCCTGAGCGAAATCGATATCGTTGAACGCTGTGATCGGCGAAGCCCAAATGCAGTGCTTGTCAGGGTGCCTGGTGTTGTAGCGAAAGTCCGAGTTTGTGATGCCTGTGAGCCTCTGTAAGCCGTACGTTCATTCCTCAGCCGATAGAAGTGGCCCAGGTACTCTGACCTTCGCAACTCCGCCTTGGGCGAACAGTTGGATGCTCGTGAGCAAATAAACGAGAGTTTGAAAGCAGCGTTGAAGGAAAAATACGAGGAAGTTGAAGAGTTCAAGACCTTTCTCCTGGCAATGACCGAAGGTATGCTACTCTCGACTAGTACCATCGCCGTGCGTGGTCGGTACAAATAGTAAACCGTTCGTCATCTTGGATCGATGAGTTAGAGCATGTTTGTGCGTGTTGCAGTTTCGGTATTCGATGTATTTTTGGTATTCCCTTCCCGTGTTGGTAGGTATGGCACCGGTCAACAACCAGGAAGGATTTTCGGGGAGCACTGGGTTCTCGCCGGAATCAGATCCTGATCGAGTTGATTTCCGAGAGCTGTAGCATGGAAATATAAGCTGACGATGCTGCTCTCACCGGCGTGATGGTTAGGATGACCTTCGTTGACTCGAATCAAAGAGAAATGCGGAAAAATTATGAGAAGCTGAGCCGTGACTTTGATGCTGAACATTCTGAGAGGGTCGAGAAGGAGCGGAATGCTCGACTGCTTGCCCAACGTAGGTTTTGCATCCAGAAGTCCTTGTTGCCATCATGACCTCATACCAGGTTGTTTGCGAGCTGAGAGTGAATGCCAGAAGTTACGGAATGTAGAAGATGAAAGGCAGCAAGCACGGGACGAGGCTGACAGGCAGAAGACCATAATAGAAGATCTCAGGGACCGAATAAATCGGTTAAGTCATGTCGGCTTCCTCACTGTTATTTTTATCGTTTTTAGGCTTGAAGCTGAAGCGGCTGAAGACCGATCAGTACGATCTGCCGAGCAAGGTAGGTCCCTCTGTCGTTGAATACGTAGTGAGTACTTCAGATGACCGACGAGTTCCAACCCCCTGGTATTCACCTAGGATTGAAGCCTCGCGGTCCTATCTTATTGCGAGCGGCGCCCGAGATAGTCCCCCAAGTGAGTTGTCTGTTGGATTGCTATTATTGATCATTGTTCTCTGTCAGGTAATGGAGATAGTAATGAACGTTGTCGTAATTGCAAACGAATGTGCTCTATTCAATGAATAAGTTTTTCATGTCTTTCCCGAATTGTTGTGTTGTCGAGTGCCGAATATGTATCTCCTACATGGACAGGACGTTGAATGTACTGAGATTGCTTTATCACAAGGAATAATTTGTTCCCATCCGGCCGGTCTCGATCAGCAGGCGAACTGCGTACTCTTTGTAGCCTCAGATAATGCGAGTTGGTATAATCACTTAGTATCAGAGACTCTAGTCTGATTGCACAGTATCATCATTGGCTGTTTGCACTAACGGTTCAGTAAAAGCGAATGTCGCCTCATAGCAACGGTAGCTGCTAAGGAAGGGGAATCCGAAATGGTCGCTTATCATCATCACCATAAAGTCATTAAGTATCTCAGATTTTCTCATATCTGTTCATCGCGGCGGGATAGCTGCTCGGACAAGAGGTGTCAGAATTATTGAGAAATCATCATAGAAGCTAATAGATTGTATATCAGCCAATTGACACGCAGCTACACACAAGCCTGATGCCACCCGCTGAAAATGTAGTTGTGGGACGAGTTGCATATAACCGCGAAACTCACACGGAGATGAATGTGGTTTCCTTTCATCCGAAGAACAGTTGACGCCTCAGTGTGCGTTGAGAGAGTATCATCAGATTCTATCAGAGACTCTAGTCTGATAGCACAGAATCATCACAGGCAACAAACAATACTATGAGTCAGAAAATGCGAGGTTGGCCTCATAGCAACCGAAGCTGCTAAGGAAGGGGAATCCGAGTTGGTCGCTAGTTCATCATACTCTCGAATATAATATTACTTGCTCAGCTTCGTCTCATTTGTGTTCAGCGCACATGGTCTGTGCTCGGACAAGAGGTGTCAGATTTAGAGATAATCATCATCGCCAGAAAAATAGAATTGTGGTCTAGCCAATTGACACGAGATCATAACAGAAGCTCATCATGCCACCCGCTAGACTTGGTTATCACTTTTGGATGATTTTGAACCGCAAACGTACGTAGAACGCATGAGGTCTTCGAAACATCCGGTGACCATCTTCTCCACCCGTCGTCGAACACAAGTCCCTTAACTCAACACCAGAGCATGTGACTTGCGTTGCTGCTTGCAACAAACCGTGCGTTAGGAACAAACAAGGTCCATCACTCGCCGATACGTCGTAGAGCAGTACTTTACTCGGCGAAGGAGAGGATGTTCTTCTCGTGCAAGAGACGGTTGACGCAAGCATCAGACTCACCCTGAAAGAAGGAATAGGAAAACCAGTCGGACTACTTATTCGTCGAGTGTACTACCTTGCTCCTCATGTAGCCGGCAATGCAGACGGGGTGGAATTCACCAGTAGCAAGGCCAGTCTTGGGGTCAACAACGGCAACGTTGAACTGAGCCGACCTAAGAGAACTCGTCAATAACACACATCTAATGATCACTGGTTAACGTCAGTGGTGGACAGCTCAGTAGAAGAAGCCACCATGCCAAAACAATAGGGCGATTACATAGTGCTAGACTACAAATCAGCTCAGGCCGATGAGACCATGAAAAGCACCACAACGTAAGGCTCGATAACTCAAATTCCGATCCCAATTACTTGTGGTCGTTAGCGGCAATAATCCTGTTAGTGGCGGAGCACTTACGAGGGATGTACAAGTCGACAATCTTTCCCTGATCGTTCTGCATGGTTGGTTTCAGCAGCAAATTTGCACAGAGGTGTTAATGATCGATTCGACATAGCGCGGGCGCGGGAGCGGAATGGAAGGCGGAGCGAAGCATGCCATGTTTAACATTTTCGTCTTGTCTGTCTGGGGCGATGCGTGTACAGCAACAGCGGCTGATCCAAAAATCCTAAAATCTCCTATTGATGCGGATTAGATAGGAAATGGCCCCATTTGCGAACGCCCTAAAGGGCGCAACGCTGATCGAGTCGTCGTTACGAAGGAGCTCACGTGAAGAGTGTTGATGACAGGGGAAATGGAAGATACGTCGACATGTTCAGCTGATGCCGCATCGCATCACTTGTAGTATCCTCATAATTCATAATTGCAGTCACTCGCGGTGGTTGTTTTCTTTATGACCACTGCAGCAACAGTGCCAAGGACTGTTCCTCCAGTCGGCTCGCCTTCACGGACTACTAGTTCTACATCGGCTAACAGTGGACTCTCAAACAACGGTCTTCGTCAGAATGGACGTCGACGTCAGTTCGGACGGAATCGGCATCATTATCAACAACGACAACAGCAGCAGCAGCATCAGCCAGAAAATAGCGTCGCTTCTGGTATAGAAGTTTCTCAAACGTTAGGGACGCCCAGCAGTGCTGGATCAGCGACAATACCGATGAAGGGCGGCGTACAAGACCGTCCATATTATCCATTTTTATCTGCGACTTTCACCCAAGTCGTGAAGACCCATTTGGAATGCGGAACGACAGAGGCGGCATCAGCGGTTGATTATTCGCAGTTAGTGGAGTTTTTAGTGTGCTGTTATTACAGTGAGCCGAGTGCGATGCTGAATCAGCGGTCGCCGACAGATGGGAATTGGGGAAGTCTTAGTGGCCCGGAGAAGGCATTGGTAGAGGCAGAGGTTAGGGATTTATTTGCGAAGTTTGTATTTACGTGTATGAGGGCTGTTGATCAATGGGTACCAATTTATGGTAATAGGAGGCAGCCAGAGATGGTCGGTTTAGTGAATCATAGGGAGATGTGTTATCACTTCTTCATGAGCTTCTTTCATCAAATATCAATAACATCACCGCAATCTCCAGGGATACCACCATCATCACAACAAGTATGCTCTACTTTCCTTATACAGAAGGTTGTTCTATGGATGCTCTCTCATCCCATGGAGGATCTACGGGTGTTAATCGATCACCCTGGTGCCCAAATAGCTCGGTTCACTGACGGCTTGCAGCTTATGTGCGCTGGTATTGCTGAGGATGCATGGAGGAAATATTTGGAGTCTGGTCGGGTTCAGCGTAAGTGTATCGAGATCATGGGTTCTCAACCTTGCAATGCGGCAGAGGATCGGCTGTACCAACATCTGAGTGGTTTTTTCCATCATTACACGGTGAATCCGACCACGGGGGAAATTGCTTGTTGTTTGAGTGATAAAGTAGCGTCATTCGTCAACAGCGAATTTCGAGTTTACTTGGTGGACGACTTCGGCTCGCTGATGAATCTACTTTACCAATTATCGAAATTGGAGAGGATAGCGTCAAATGGGAAGCCCACTGCGATGGCTGTGGATTTTGAGGGCCTCAACTTGTCCCGAGATGGAGCGATGAGTTTGGCTCAGCTGTGTCTATCGTCCGACCCGAAGAGTGTTTATGTAGTCGATATCACTAGACTGGGCTTCCACGCCTTTCATACTACTACTCATACGGGTACGTCACTGAAGTCTATTATGGAGGATGCTCGAATAGAGAAAGTGTTCTACGACCCTCGCAATGACGTTGATGCCCTCTACTACCAATTCAATGTGGCCCCTCAGAATGTTTTCGATCTCCAGCTGGCTGAGGTGGCTCTACGACGGGCACGCGGGCTGACCGTACGCTACGTCATCGGCCTCTTCAAATGCCTTATAGCCCAACCGGAGCTCTTCACTCAGCCGGCTATGATGGATTTCGCACGGAGGATCAACGATGCTGGCAAGGCCCTGTATGAGCCGAAGCATGGCGGTAGCTTCAAAGTGTTCACTCAGCGACCACTCCACACTAGCATTATCGTCTATGCCTCTCATGACGTTCGCTATCTACTACCACTGAAGGACCTATTTACCAAGCAACTGAATGAGGCTAGCGACGACCTCTATGAGAGAGTCTGCAAGGTCAGCGCTGAAAGGGCTCAATGGTACAAGAATGTTGAGTATGTTAAGCCCACTTCGGAAGCGCCCGACATATAGTTTGTGACCATGGTTTTATCTGTCTCTGGTGATCATATCCTTATGGCTATTCAAAGAGTACACTTCTGGGGAGCCGAACGCTGAGGCATCCCCTAGTGTGATGGAGGCTATAGCCAGATGAGAAGGGGTTTCTTGGTGGTGGAGTCTACGTCCATCCTTGATCGACATTGATACTTGGAAGTTGTTGTCCTGACGGTCTATTTCTGCTACTCTTTATGCTGCCTTTCGAGGAACCAGCGTTTTGGTTGGTGTCGAGTGTGACCGAATAATGATGATGCTATCAACGACGACTTTATATCAAGTCGGTACACGGTCCTTCACATCATGGGCGGCGGCAGTCCATTGATCATCAGTTTATTTCTGTACCATCGTATTTCTATAAGAAGTCACGACGTCCAGGGCATCACTGGACGGGATAAGCCTTAGTAGTAGGAGAGCCAGATGCAGCTATTATGTTACTATTTATTTCCTCTGTTATAGTCTATCGTCACTGCAAGAGCTTGTCGTGTTTGACTTTTGTTGCCGCTGAGATTTGCCGATCTCGTGTAGTTTCATGTCGACACGGAAGTATTCCTCTTCAGCTGCAATCTCTATTCCAGAAGGCTATTCGACAGCGTCAATACGGGCGGTTTCTATGGGGGAGTACTCACAGCAACAGGAGCACGTACGAGAAGTAGCCTCGTCGCTTCCTAGTCAACCATGTCCTGTTGTGGGGTCGTTCGCCAACGAATGTGATTACTATGGTGGGACCTCCATGACGACTACGCAAGCTGCTGTGGAGGTTGGCATGGCCTCCGGTAATTCAGAATCAACCGAGGCAACTGCGACTGAGGCGACCAATCGGCCTGTAGCTGCGAGCCAGATGGAGGGGGAAGTTAGGGATGCTCGTGTGGAGCCTTTGGAGAGTTTTCTTGCTGCTACTATCGCCGAGTGCCTCAGGGTGCATCTAGAGGCACCGAAACTGAGTGATATTCCGCAAGCAGTGGAGGACTATGCCCAGGTCGAAGAACTGCTCTTGAATTACTATTATGCGGATCCGGAAAGCTACCTCAATAAAGTGGATCTGAGCTGCACGGGGCAGTTATCAGAGCCGGAGAAGGCATTGGTAGAGGCAGAGGTTAGGGATTTATTTGCGAAGTTTGTGTTTACGTGTATGAGGGCTGTTGATCAATGGGTACCAATTTATGGTAATAGGAGGCAGCCAGAGATGGTCGGTTTAGTGAATCATAGGGAGATGTGTTATCACTTCTTCATGAGCTTCTTTCATCAAATATCAATAACATCACCACAATCTCCAGGGGTATCACCATCATCACAACAAGTATGCTCTACTTTCCTCATACAGAAGGTTGTGCTATGGATGCTCTCTCACCCCGTCGATGAGGTCCGCGTCCTTGTCGAGTACCCCGGTGCCCGCACTGCTCGATTCACTGACGGGTTGCAGGCTATATGTGCTAATAGTGCTGAGGATGCTTGGAATAAATACATAGAAGCTGGTGTCGTAAAAGGGAAGAGAATATCGGTGGCGATGTCATTGACGCCAGCAACGGAGGAGGAAAGGCTGTATCAGCATTTGAGTGGCTTTTATCATCACTACGTGGTGGACCCGGCCACTGGAGAGTTGGGGTGTTGCCTTAGTGATAAGGATGATGATTTCGTTGATGCAGACTTCAGAGTTTATTCTGTTGACGACTTCGGCTCGCTTATGAATCTACTATGTCAGCTGTCGGATTTGAGTAAGGCGGCTGAGGCTGGGGAGAAGGCGGCGATGGCTATGGATTTTGAGGGCCTCAACTTGTCCCGAGATGGAGCGATGAGTTTGGCTCAACTGTGCTTGTCGTCCGACCCGAAGAGTGTTTATGTAGTCGATATCACTAGACTGGGCTTCCACGCCTTCCATGCTACTACTCATACGGGTACGTCACTGAAGTCTATTATGGAGGATACTTTGATAGAGAAAGTGTTCTACGACCCTCGTCACGATGTTGATGCCCTCTACTACCAATTCAACGTGGCCCCTCAGAATGTTTTCGATCTCCAGCTGGCTGAGGTGGCTCTACGACGGGCACGAGGCCTCACCGTACGCTACGTCATCGGCCTCTTCAAATGCCTTGTTCAGTCCGAAGTGTTTGTCCAGCCTGAACTGCGGGATTTCGCGACTAGGATAAACGACATTGGCAAGGCGCTCTTTGAACCCAAGCATGGTGGCAGCTATAAAGTGTTCACTGAGCGCCCTTTGCATCCGGGTATTATCGTCTATGCTTCCCATGACGCACGCTATCTCTTACCCTTGTACGACACTTTCACGAAACAGTTGAAGTGTGCAGGTGACAACTGGTACAATAGGGTGCTGGCAGCTAGCGCTCGCCGTGCTGAATGGTATCAACACTCCGACTACCTGGTGGCAACGTCTGAAGCTCCTGTTATCTAGTGTCTTCCTCAGTCGCCTGGCAAGGCGTCTGCTGCTCCTCCTCCTTTCGTTGCAGTCATTGAAACGACGAGGGAGGTGGCTTGTATATCTCTCACACTCAGCTCTCTATGTGTAATTGCTCTCGCAGGATCAATCTGTCTCTATTGGCCCGATCTGTGTAGTATCTATGGCTGAGTCGTGATTTAACTATACCATTCCTCGTCGAAGTCGATTATTATTGATAGTGGTGGCCGTCTACAGATTAATCCATCATTGTCTCTGACTGTTACCATCTCCGGTAATTTGTGTTGCATCGGTAGCATACAGAGCTCTTAGCATCCACGCATCTAAGTAGGATTATTCTTGATTCGTGGTTGATACTTGTTATACTTCGATCCTTAAACCCAATCTCCCAAAGGCTCTTGCGTTTTCGTCTATAATACTGCATCTCGGGTATGTCAGTTTGGACATGTTCACCGTCCAAGGCCAGCAGCAGCAAGGAGCTTCAGCGCGCTTTAGAAGTGTATGCAGTACCTCGAAAACTACAGCAGGTAGGGTCGATATAGCTGTGCATGTGAGGCTAGCGGGGCTTCTAAGGTCGGCATTGATGTTAATGATGATGGTCAGTTGGAGCTCAGGTGACGAGCGATGTCACCACCGAATCGATGGTGACTCGATTCATGCTACCTTGGGGTGGGTGGTGCTCCCTCAGGCCTCAGGGGACGTCGATGATGCTGTTGGTGTCACTTGTTACTTAGCAAGTATAGTGCAGTCGTGGCCATGCCTCTCATAGTTTTGCCCTTGTCGGTTTGCCATGTCCCTGCATTATGTGTTTTGTTATACACTCGGGGCTGTCGATTTGCTCATGGAGAGGTAGCCATCAGTTGGCCTCATGATATCCAGTCTTCGGAAAACAGCCTTGGACTATTGTCTGGCGAGGGTTTTGGTACGAGTATCGACGAAGGCACGCCTGCATGTGGCGGATGGCAGTAGATGGAGCTGGCCTCGGGCTGCTGAAGTTGCCACGTTTGGAGTACTAGGGACGATGACAGCAGCGGCTGTTATGGCGAACTGGGCCTCGAGTCCTGGTGTAGAGTGCGAAAGCAGTAGACGTAGGGGATCATCCAGTTTTCATTTGGTATTTGAGGATTTAGGTACGTTCTCCAAGGGTGGTCGGTGGGTGGAAGTTGGGCATGGGTCTAGTTTCCAGCCAGGTGAGATATATGAGCTGGTGGTCGAGGAAGGGCACTCTGTACGTGTGTGAGAGGACTGCTATTGCTGGCCAATGATCATGGCTAGGTACTCCTGGCTCGGTCCCACAGTGGGCAGTTGTATGCTGTTGGGTCGAAGTGCACCTATAAAGGGTGCGACTTGAAGGATGGACTGTTCGTTAATAATACGGTGACGTGTCCACAGGTAGGGAGCCTAGTTACATATATGAATCTAGTCTCAACTTTTATCAGCACGATGCGACTTACGATATAACGACAGGAGTCCCAGTAAGGGGCCCTGGGTTGAATGCCCTCTGTTCTTATAAGGGTAGTAGGAGGAGACTGTGGTAGCAGACATCTGATGTGCTCTCAGTCGAGGAGAGGAAGGATGGTAGGGTATATGTGGATGTACCCAAGGGGGACAGATGGCATGAGGGGGAGCCGGTGCCTATGGCTAAGCGTGATCCTCGCAATAAGCAAGGTGACACTATAAGGTACCTGCCTGTCGCCTTGCTGGAAGTATTGATGTAGTGTTCGCTATCGTGGGTGGGGGTGCGGCAGCTGCATCGGCGTGCGAGGCTTTGAGGCAGAATGGGTTTACTGGACGGATTGTCATGGTTGGTTCGATACTTCTAGTCTGGTGAAGGCTTTGACCAACCTTTCCCACAGGTCACCCGTGAGGCCCACGTGCCGTACGATCGGCCGGAGCTGTCGAAACGGTTGGATCCTGCCAGAGACCCGGCCAAGCTGTATTTGAGGACACCAGACTTTTATGCGAAGTAGTTGTATGGTATCGAATTCACGGAGTGATGGTAGTGTATCAGAAACGGGATCGAAGTCCTGACTAGCAGTACGGTTGTTAGTGTTGACGCTGTAGGGAAGAGCATAACTATGGAGGGGCCCAAAGGGTCATAGTGGCGGTATGGCCATCGAATAGGGCATTGGTATTGTAGTAGGGAGAGTTTCAAGTTGGACTACGACAAGTGCCTCTACGCTGCTGGTGCTGATCCTGTGGTCCCGGACATACTGGGCTCGGATGCAGAGTGAGGCGGGCCATCATTGCACGCATGCGCAAATTTTCATCCAGCAACGTTCACTATCTCCGGACTGCCGAGGATGCCACCAGAATAGCAGACAGTCTCAGAGTTGGTCATAAGGTGTCTCAGCAGACATCCTAGCACGAGATTGATGTACTCTGCCCCCCCCCCCTGGATAGGTGCTGATAATTGGATCTGGTTTCATCGCAATGGAGATGGCCAGTGCTCTCGAGAACAAGGGCGTGGACATCGCTATAGTTGGTAAGGATCTGAGCTCAGTGTTATTATATGGTTATGACCCCAGGTCATGACAGGCGCCCACTGGAGCGGGTACTAGGGCGGAAGGTGGCACGCTTCTTCTTCTCTGGGTTGGAGGCTAAGTGAGCGTTAATAAGGTGTGGAGAACTTAATAGTTTTCTTGTTAGTAAGATGAAGTATTATGGCAACTCGGAAGTCCGCCTCTTTCGGTACACTAAAGGTAATAATGCAGCCTCTGGGGTTTGAACCTGGGTCGTTGAGTGTCCATGGACGTATGCTGTTAGATCTGCATGGCGAGGCAGCCAGTGGGGATTCGGTCAACGGCTGCGAGCTGACTGATGGAGAGGTTCTCCCTGTTGATGTTGTGATCGTTGGGATCGGCACCGACCCCAATACTGAGCCCTTGAGGGGCGTGGACCTGCTGGTGAGCCTCCTGCTGCCCTTTCCCCTATAACGTGTTTATCCCCACAGCCAGACGGCTCGGTACCAACGGATTGCCAACTAGCTGTGGTCATGCCCGATGGCAATAGTAGTGACAGCCTCTTCGCAGCTGGTGATGTTGCTAGCTATCCAGACGGCAAGACTGGTAATCAGTTTCGGAAAATAGTGTTAATGACAAATATGAAAATTTCGTGAAACTTTCGTGGAGATTTTGTGAAAATTTTGTGAAAATTTAGGGAGATTCTGATTGATACCGGATTTTGGTGTAAACTTCCATAATTAGTGAGGAAACACCTGAGCTCAGCTGAGGAAAGCAAACATATATTCCTTTATCTCCATCGTCGGTGATCCCCTGTCGACTAGTGGTTGATTTAGGTGATCTCACTCGAGTACAGCACTGGGATGTGGCAATGCAGCAGGGACGGGTGGCGGCTGCCAACATGACAGGCTCTTCCCAACCGTAGTGTATGCGTAAGCAGATGATGACGTAGAGGTTCCTCGTAGTTATACGACGAGTACGTTCTTCTGGACGACTCTATTTGGTCGGTCGTTGCAGTATGTGGGCAATACTGGAGGGCGAGAGCAGTCGGAGCATTTTGATGATGTGTATATTGAAGGAGACGTTGACAAGTGCAATTTTGTAGCTTTCTACTGCAAGGTAGGTCACACCAGGGTTGTCGGATGGTAGAGGGCTTTGGCGTGTTAGGGGGACTCAGTGGTAGCTGCTGCCACTGTGGGGAGGAAACCGGTGGCTTCTGGGGTGGAGGAGATGATGAATAGGAAGAAGATGCCTAAGACTAGTGAGCTGAAGCTGGGGATATGCAACGCTGATGATATTATGAAGTACCACTCGGGCGATCATAGGATGGCTCCGACTATATCACTTGCAGGCGGCTGCACAAACTGGATAGAGAAAAGCCAAAACGGGTGAGGCGGCGGAGCGGAGAATCGAAGGAAATGACGGAGAATTCTGATCATCTAGCAGATCCATCAGAAGAAGGTGCTTGTCAGCATGCTGTGTGAATGCTGTGTCTTTGAGAGTTTCTGTCACCCCGGCATGGGTGGAGTTCAGCAGGATCGTGTGTGAAGTGTCGTTGTAGTATAAATCATTCACCGTTATGTCGCAACATGTGCTGGTCACTGGAGGCGCGGGCTTCATTGGCTCGCATGTCGCAGAGGCGTTGGTATGTTGCCGTGCAGTCCAGAGGTAGCGAGTCCGCGTTGGTCAGCTTCGACGAGGGTGCAGAGTAACAAGTGTGGACTCACTGAATGAGTATTATGATGTGAGTATCAAAAAGGAAGCTTTGAACCGACTGGAGATAGTCTCACAGGAGGTAGTCGGCAACAGGGTCGGGGAGGGTCCGTCGCATGTTACTCTGTGTTTGACGTGTAAGTGACGATGTAATATATCGCCGTCAGATTGGCGCTGGCTCTCTGTATGCATTCCACTGTATCGACCTCACCAATGCATCAGCTATAGAGGGAGTCTTGGATAAGGTTGGGCACGAGGTGGATGTGATTTGTCACCTGGCAGCACAAGTAGGATGGTAGTGGTGATCTCGATGAGCTCACCTCGGGCAGTTTAGGCGGGAGTGCGGTACTCTATCGATCATGCAGCGGAGGTTGTCGCTGCTAATATCACGGCTACGGTCAATGTGTTCGAACTAGCGAGGAAGCGGAATATCAAGTATTAGGTCCCGGGTTCGATCCCGGCACCCCGCTCTTTTCCCGTTGTTATCCAGAAAAGTCGTGGCAGCTAGCTCGTCAAGCGTCTATGGCGACTCATCTACCCCGCCCTTCAAGGAGTAGGATCTGCACATGTCAGAGAAGGATCTCTAGTTCCCGCAGGAATTCCGAGTCGGCTGATAAGCCTATCTCTCAGTACGCAGCCACGAAACGAAGCTGTGAGCTTTTCGCGGAGACTTATGCCCATCTGTATGGACTGGACATAATTATGCTGAGGTGGTTGTTCCGCGCTGTGGTGTATATTATCACGTTTTACGGATAGGTTTTTCACCGTCTACGGTCCCAGAGGACGTCCAGATATGGCTTGTTTCAAGTAGGGTGGTATCTTGCATATCCGAGGTTCCCCCGAGCAAGATTCAAACAAGGTCCATTGCATTGCCAGGTTCATCGACGCTATAGAAAATGGGCGTCCCATCACCAAGTTCGGGGATGGCTCTATGGTAGCATTGGCTGCTGCTGATAGTCTCTAGGCTTGTGATGAGCTCATAGGTACGCGAATTCACATATATATCGGATATAGTAGAGGGAGTGCTGAGTGCTATTGACCGACTAGAGCGTCCTGACGGAAGGGGCGTCATCCAAGGTAGGATGTGCGATGGTTGGTATCGTCTCGAGGTTGCCTTAGTTAATTTGGGAGGCGGTAGTTGTCACACTCTCAATGAGTTTATTGACACAATAGAGGCTGAGCTTGGTCGAAAGGCGGTGATTCAGCAGATGCCGACTCAGCCGGGTGCATCTTACGATCTTTTTCTGTGGTGATCGAATGACCTCAGGCGATGTGTTCATGACCAGCGCAGACCAGGAGCTAGCGAAGAGGATCCTTAACTTCACGCCTAGGGTATCTCTACGTGAGGGAATACGAGCCACAGTGGAGTGGTATCGGCAATGGAAACGAGACCAGGGGAAGCGGGGTGGGTCTAAGACTGCTTGAGGTGAGGGACACATGATCATTATCTTGTGACGGCTTTCGATGAGTCCAAGTGTCGTGTTCTTGGGTGTGACAAATTTGTTCAAATTTTGTTGCTACTGTCGGCAAATTCAATATTATATTCTTTTTTTATTAACGCTGGTTGTAAAGTGGACGTTCCCATACGGCGACAGTACTGTGGTAAAGATTGGCCAGCACGAGTACCGTTTATAGGGAACAGGCGAGATAATGCATCTCTTTGGGGGTCTGTGGTTGTTACCATTCATGGTGTTTGCTTTCAACCAATGCATCCGTCGAAGTGGTAATTTTCAGTAATCAATGGATCGGATGGATCTCAGTTTCTATTTACTTGTATGAGCCAGCGTACCGGTCAGGAAGGGGCGGCATCGACTAGGACGCCCCTCTTGAGCGGTGATGATTCCTCATCAGCGTCGCCTATTGTCAATCGATCTAGTGAGGAGAGCCACAGTATCGAGATGCAGAGGTTCATGGGCACTTCTACTCCCCACCAACACAATGGGTGATTCCTCGTTGTCTATGACAATAGTGGACTTGCACTTTCGCTGCCTTTTAGTGGCTCACAGACGTCTGATAAAGATGGTCTCTTGCTGCCCGTATCAACTGAGACGGATACTACTGATTGTGGAGCAATTGGCACTACGATAGGCATGCACTAGCATCGTGGCGATCGGTTTATTAATAGCTTGCATAGGCTCGCCGAGGGTATCGACTCCAGCATCCTCAGTGAACCTGGCAGTCACCGACAGAATGTGCTTTATATGCCTTGAGGTTGGTCTCGATGGAACACCTGTGCGGGATGATGAGCCCTTCTGTGGTCTAGGGTCCCGAGGGTGAGTGTGGCGAGCTCGTCCCGTGTTGCGATCGATGCTATGCTCACGTTCATCGAGGGTGCTGGGCGGAGTGGAGGCAGAATCAAAGGATGACGGCCCTACGATCCCGTCTTACTGGTATGATGGTCGATGATGTGATGCGTCTGTTGAGGGTCCCTCGATCAGGTCTAAGGCCGGCTGGTACAGATCCCTTCCTCTGTTCGATATGCAAGACTGGCCAGGCTTGTGTGGAAGGAGAGAGTCATGACGTGGCATGGCTAGCAGCGGTCACTGGTACGTCCTCCATCTCTAGTATCGGGGTGACCACTTTCTCGTCTTACTAGGTTCTCGATCAAGTCGCGGTCGGCAGAGCCCATGGGAGGTACATGTCTGGCCGCTATCCTTCCAGCATCTTTTTCCCACTACAGGTCCTTGGATCGTTCGGAGCACGGTCAGATGCGTCGTCCGATTCGGATGAAGATGACGATTTATTTGCGGACTCGGAGGGAGTTGAGGACTCCCCTGTTTGCAGGTATCCCTGTATGATTCGAATCTCCGTTCACTTTCTGACTCTTGGTTTTCAGCCCATGGTTGGCCGCGATCAACTTCGCAGCTCTGATGGTCTTTGCGATACTTACGCCGCTCGGCATCAATCTGGGCTGGGGAAGTGCAGGAGATGTCATTCTGGTTGGTTTCGTTGGACTTTATCAGGTGACCAGTGGTGTAGGACTCTGCTGGAGGCGAATTATCAGCTTTCAGTTCTATGCAATCGAGGCCGTCATAGTTGCTATAGCTCATCGCCGTTATGTACAGCGTATGCGGATGCGTCGACGGGGGACCATGGAAGATACACCATCAGCAGATTTACAACCTCCAGTGATAACTCCTACTAATGCAGATCTCGAAGCTGCAGATCCTCGACGGGCGAGGCTACTGCAAGTCGGATCAGAGTGACTGGCATCGTTGTGGATTATCTCCGCATACTCGGGGGACTCCCAGTGTGCTGCTTGGATCATCTCAGTTATAACTTTTGATTTTAAGAGCGCCATATTTGAGCTTGGATCTCCGAGGCTTGTAATTTTGCTCTGATTCGAGTTGTGTTTTCGAGTGAGGTCTTTGTACCGCTAGATTAGGTGGAGGAGACGTCCAAACAAGTTTGTTACAAGATTTCTTTATAGATCGAACATCTGATGGGCTTTGAAAGCCTAGCCACTGAAGCGGTGCGAACATTTTGAACGCTGCGAGTGATAAGCTCGTAACCTACTCTTAGATATAGGCCCGACTAGTGGGGGTGAGCTTCTGAGCATACTTACAGCCTGAATAGTTGCCCCGTGGGGTCGCTACCCAGTGGTTTTACCCGGTTAACGCTTAACCTAGCGTTCCATCCGGCTACTTGCTTTTGATAGTGTCAAAATCGAATGTAACATTTCAGCATGGTGTCAGACTTGCTTGTCACTTTGGCAAATTTAGATGTAACATCTGAGAAGGTGTCAAACCTGTGTAGCACGCTGACATTCTTGAATGCAACGCGGTTAAACTTGCGTGTTCACTTGTCAAACTTGGCTGGGAAAAGGTGTAGTCTCGTAATTCTAGTCCGCAGTTGAGAACTTCGCTAGCTCTATGTACTCATTTGATGGCTCTACTGGACAGGGTGCTCCTTGAGAGACCCGAATGATCGCTCGATTTGAGGGGTGAGTGATTCACATCAATTCTGAGGCTATTCATCTACTAATATGGCTCGATTCGCTCACCCCATGAGCCGGGATAGTCTCCATCGCTCCTGAAACGAATAATCTTTTTATCTGTTCTATCGTAATGGATGCCCGTTTGCTCCTCTGTATGATGGACACGGGAACGACACGATTTAAATGGATGTGCCGAGAATTGAACTCGGGCCCTTCAGCATGCGAAGCAGACGTGATACCTCTACACCACACACCCAATGATTTTAATTAGTCTCTACCGCCCTCGTGGCTGATAGCCTAATCACATATGTATAACTCTTCGAGATAATCCTCGGATTCTCTCTGGCTGAATGCTAACGTGTTACACACGCCCAATTAGCTAATAGAGTCTCATTCTTGATGACCCGTTCGTATTATTGGAAGCAATCGTCGGCTCCTCTGCAACAGGTAGACGCGTATTGGCGAATGTGCCGGGGATTGATCTCGGAGCATTCTGCATGCGAAGCAGTCGTGATACCACTACATGAAACATTGTGAGCCCATATCTAATCGCAATCCAGACTAGTAGCTTGAAATCCTCATAAACTCGATTCAGATACGAGAAAGCCAAGATCTAGTGTATAGGGAAGCCTCGATGCTATACCACCACCACTTGCTATATACACAACAACGCAATGTTGCCTTGAAATCCTCGAACTACTCTGAAATATAGAAAAGAGTAAAATCCCCAGTGCAGGGAGTAGTCAGCAGTCATGAAAGGTGGTTCGGTAGTACCTGCCACAGCAATAGTCATACCCCCGGGCTGTGAGCCTCCCAATATATTACCAGTACATAGGAGTGTCGAAACCATTGAAGTTAGTAGCAGCAGCAGTAGTGTATGCACCCATATTCCTCCATAGAAGATGATGACCTGCATACCGTTCCAAGCGGAAAAGATTGGCACTACACCACAATACCTATCTCCATCTCAGGAAGATGAGTAACTCCATTCATGATAGTATCAAAGCCGTCACAAGTCGGCCCGAAGAGCACATGGGTCGGGTTAGCGACCTTCGGATCACCGCATACTCCGCTCCTGAGAAGGGATTCCAGGAACACATTTTCTCAGCGCTACGAACTATCATTACTCCTCATGGAGAGCCTCTGGCCACACTTGCTGATGGTCATATAAAATGCAGTTGAAAGAGCCATAAACACCGTCGTTGAGATAAAGCCTACAAAGGTGAGATGTCGCGACTGATAAGCCCACCTCGCGAGATACCTAGTCAGCGACGTGAGGTTCTTCCCTGCGAGTTCATCAACACTAGCACTGCTGCTGCTGCTACCGCTGTCCATCGTGTCCTCTTCAGCAATGTCAGCAGCGCTCTTCATCTCTGACAATTTGGGTGCCGATACGACGACGTTTTTCGAGTAGATTTTCGTAACCAAACTGCAGGGACTGCAGGCGAAGTACCTCAACCAAGTTCAGAACTACGGGGGAAACACACTTCCTGCTGCTCCTCTGTACCTTCCAGGCTCAGCAATGACCTGCACATCATCCGGGTCGGGAAAAAGAGTGTCGAGGAGTGAGTTCACCACAGTGGCCATCGACTTGAAGGCTACCGGAGATCCTACCAGTCGATCCTTGCAGAGAAGGCCTGGAGCTTCGATACAAGGTACCTTCTCTATCCACGCCTTGGAAGCCTCCTCCAATGTCCAGGACGGACAACCTCAAACCGTAACGTGATCTAACGAGCAAGACATGAATTAGCATTGGCGAGCTTCCCCGCTCAGTATCGTCTACCAAAATCATCTACGTGATATTTGTACCGAAGCGCTACGAGCCACTCTAGAAACGACCTGTCTACCTACGCAGCGGCATCGAAGACTTCACGAGCATCAACCAGAGCCTTGGTGATGGAGTGCACATCGGAGCATCCCGAACCCACGTGGAACGATACCCCAACAACTGTGGAAGCAACACTCGATATAGTATGCTGAACAGGACGACTCTTACCGTTCACTCCGTGTTTCATCGCTTCCTCCAATAACACCGTTACAGTAACACCAAGAGAAGCGCCGAACTTGGCACTCATAGGGCACTGCGCGTTGTTGTCGACACAAGCAAGGCGTAGGAGCAGCTTAGCCTTAGGATGATGATGGGCGATCTGAACGAGTACTAGAGTGGCCACGTGATCGACAAAGTGATGACCTTGGCTATCTCGGAGGCAGAATCAGCCACCAAGTACTCAACTCCCAAGTCCCGAGCACCAACGAGCTGAGACGGCAGCTTGGTGGGATTAGCATAAACAACATGCGATGCCATCATCTCCTGAAGGGGTAGTTGTCACGTTGGCAACTAAGAGAGGTTGAAACTACATGAACGTCGAAGCCCTCGGTGGTCCCGATATCATCAGAAAGAATATTTCTGACTAGTCTCATTTCGTTGATGGTAGCACAGTCGAATTTACACCCCAAACGGTAGAGTGTTTTGACCAGCATAGGTTCGGGGTTGCACTTCACTGCATAATATCTACAAGTGATACTCTCGCGATCCGTTATTCTGTGTCGGCTCCTACGGTGTAACACGGGGTAGCAAGTCCTTCCATCTCCTCATTTGGTGCTCAAGTTGACCTATGGAAAGGATCAGGCTCGTTGAGGTGTTACGATAGCCTACCCAAGTCGAGGAGCATCACCGACACGTCTGGGTCTGCCAAGTCCCTTAGAGCCTCCCCAGCAACGTACTGGATGGGGTCTAGCGGCTTGGGAACTGAAGTATGAAAATAAGAAATCATGAACGCCGATGCTTTTTGTAACTCACCATGGACTTGATGAACAACGTTATTGTTCTCCTTCTTGAGAATAGAGCTGCAGGTCATGACTTCGTCTCAGCGAGTTGGTGGCTATCGACTCGGGAGATAACGAGTGTCAGGGAAGTCGAGAGTGGAAAAGAGGCGCGCAGGGCATAAACGGCTGAATTGCACGACTCCAATACGCCGATTCTTAGGTATGACGGCGCGTACTAAACTCGACAGCACACTAGAAACAGTGATAAAGTACACAGAGGAAGTTCGAAAAATTCTCCCGAGTCTTCGTTATCGTTGACACGATGGTCGTTGACGATCCTCAGTCTGTGGGCGCATCGGGAGGAGTATTTTGCTGATGGTGAGCAGCCACAGCAGCAGCTGCCGCTGCGTTCATATGTTCAAGTGCCCGACGGTCAAGTCGTACTTTCCGAATCTCCTCTTGTCTGAGTTCACGTGATGCACGTAGAGACATCTTACTTGTGATTGTTTACCTCAAGGCGATCTCCAACTTTAGTTTTTCGATTTCAAGTTGTTCGAGAGACAGCTGCGTGAAGTCAAAGGGTTGGTCTAGATAGACCATCTCCTCGATTGAGGGAACTGCAACAGTAAACAAATGGTCGGAGATTAAGCTTCCCGTTTACAAGCAGGCCGCTTACGTCCAGCAGTCACGTCAACTTCAGATGGATCCATTAGTTCAAGTGTGACGTACAGAGTTGAAGTTGCGCCTGTAAAATACACAGAAACCAAATCGCTCACAGTGGCGGGCGCGCGAAGCACACAAGATGCGTAGCATATGGAACATGGGTGTGTGGTTCAGTGGTAAAGCGGTTAGTTATAGGTCTGAAGATCGTCGGTTCAAGTCTGGGCGTATCTTGTGTTCCTATTCAATATCAAGCTCCAATCACTGGCCGTTCAGGACATGAGGAAAGTCCAGCAAGAACTATTCGTGACGGATTCTATCCGCATCGATGCATTGGAACCCCTTCGCTGGTTTATATCCCCATCACGTTCATCCTCGGGAGATATCTGAGTTTATCTTCGAGTTGACAAGATGCATGGATATGGATCCTTCCATTTTTCGCTCCTAGTCACAGAACTGTTAAACACGAGTAATATGAAACTACAAAAGCACGAACTTTCGCGAGCAAACGGCCTGACAAACATCCACGACTACAGCGTGATTCCATTCGGTCCGTGAAGCCGCGGCTTCTCGAGCTCGCTCATGTTGCATCAGCTGAGGTGGGAGTATTCATCACGCAAGTGTGACGTCGATGGACTCCATCGCTGTTATGGATTCGGCAACTCGTATCGAGGAGTCTAATTCGGACGATCGACTCGGCAAGGGATCGCGCGGGGCTGATGAGAATGGCAGGTCGAAAGCTCTCGCGCGGCCAGTCTATGATGCACAACGAGGCACTGCGGCGGATATGCGTTAGACTGAGACATGTTACGGATGCATTGATCTCCTCACACTCAGCATGTCGTGCTTTGGAAATCGTGTTGATCGCGATGTCACGTGTCGATCATCGAGTGACTTGCTGATCCTCAGAGGTGTTGAACAAACGGAATATTTGAGCATAGTCGCCAGATTCGCCTCTTTGATTCGCGCACTGCACCACTCACAACAGCACGCATGAACATGGCTGTTCTGGGAGTCGAACCCAGGCCTCTACCGCCCAAAGGCAGAATCTTAACCTCTAGACCAAACAGCCCAATGAAGAATCATTTTTCAGAGGCAGGTCACCACGATCCTGATTCTCCTTAACGCGTTCAACGCTCCCAAGTTAGTACAGACATTAGGCATGCTCGTGTGCTCGACAGTCACAGTGATGGGCCATAATATGTAGCCAGAACCCTATCACGTAGGTGACGTGTGCGAAACATTACGTGCGCCATTACGTGCAGGTCGTATATCTCAGAATCCTGGAATCCATTATAGTCAACGAATACGCTCCATTTCGAAGATGTATCTCTCAAATTCGATCAGCTCCAGCACACAACCATCCCCATGACCATTAGTCCTCCCCCTGAGAAAACACTTGTCTCAAACCAGATCTCGCGTCGGATTACTCCCACTAGAGATGAAGCGTAACCATTCCGACGCTAACGAAGATATACCCCCAAGCTGATGTGTTGGACAACCTGTAGTAACCCTGGATGCCTTAAACAAGCTAGCAGAGTCGGCTCACTGAGACCATCAAGTTTGCGACGCACTTTCGTCGTTTTCGCCGCTGATACAGAGTGTATCCTATTCAAAAAGCGGTATCATACACCCACTCGCTTCGAGTTGTTCTCCGACACAACGTAAAAACTTGCAAATTACACATCCAACTCATATCTCCTGCCTCATCTCACTCCGCCAATGAGACTAATGGCGTTTTAGCACTCGCCTGTCCCGTGTTAGCCTACGTAATGTATCCACTCCCGAATTTTACCCTGGGTACTATTCAGCAATCGAGGCGCCTTTCCATACTATCGCTCACCACTGCTTAGCAGTGGTTAGTGGATAGAGAAGGTGGATCGCCTCGAGAAGGCTAAGTTAGCCTTCTCGAGGCGTTTTCCCCATGAAAGCAGTGCAAAAGATGATTCACTGGACGACTTTTATCACTGAGCAGACCCCGACAGCGACGACCCAACTCCTCCAAGTACACGAATCGGCTTCTCTCTGCCAAAAACCCCGTCTTAGTCGGCCAACGAGTTACTCCCGAGTTTGCTGCATGCAAAACCGCATAGTCTATCCTAGTCATGGCGATCATCCACCCAATAGGAGAAGGTCCGTACCAGACTGCATTGCACTCGCCCCAACGTCGTACCCACACGCCTGCCGCTGCCGATATTAGGCAAGATTCGTCTCCGATGAACCAGCTCACATTAACACACCAGTCAGCCCAAGCTCGAGGCCAATTTGGAGGCACAAATATCTTCTTCGTGAGATATAGAATCCAATGCCGATTAGGCTTTCGTTCGGAAGCTCCGAAGAGAACCAACCCCGGTTTCCTCGGAGGCCTGACAATCACATGACAAGAAATGTCTCGTTGACCTCTGACATGACGCTCTGAAAGTTACTCAATTTTCGAAACGGTCCGGCTAGCGCTAAGGCGTCGGTCTCGTGTGAGTTATTCCAATGATTTGACCACTCAGGGGCTTATTTCACAAGCGTCCTAATGTTAGGATTTTAACCCATTAGGATGCAATTTAAGGATTAACGGCGTTTACAAGGGCCCTTTCCTTAGATTGGGTTAGGACTTTAGGACATTAGGATCCTTACCGTTAGGATTTAGGATATTAGGATGCCTTTATCCTCAAAAACAGGCTGTTAGGACGCTCGGCTTTCACAAGCTATATTTTTAAGGAAATTTTCATCCTAATGGTAAAGTACCTCGGGGGGGTACTTTACCGGCCATCCTAACGTTAAAGGTGTACAAGACGACTCGCTACGTGACGTCAGGTAGAGGAGGATGCTCTCTTCACAGTGTAACCTCCGCTGGTCCCAGTGCCTGATCGCGGCGTGGGGGTCACTGGCCATACTCACTGAATTTTCATGACGATCCGAGCCGCCTTCACTCTTGCGTTAGCTCCACCTGGAGACCTTTGCAATCTCAGTTCATCCAAGACGAGCCTTTTGGACAATAGAGGGGGGAATTGCGTGGCGCGTGTAGTTTTCTACCCGTAATCATGGCCATCTTCGTCTCTGGGTACAGTTCACCATCGTGTACTATGGGCGTTGGGTAGAGACAGTGGCAGCGAGAAGAAGCGCCCCCTACAGGGGGAACTTCACCGATACACTGAGGCTGTCGCTGTGATACTTCCCTTCGTTGGGTTTTTTATAGTCCTGGCTACCGGTCCCACGATCCTACGGGGATGTCCACTGGCCCTTGGACTTGACCTAAACGGTCACGGGTAGAAAAATGCATTCTCGTCCCTTTGAAGGGGGGTGATGTACAAAATCCAAGGATGAACGGCAAAATCCAAGGAAGACAAGTTGCAGGGTAAACCCGAAACCCCACCCGAAACCCGACAAGGCAACCAGAAACCCGAACAGCTGAGAGCGAGCGACAAACCTCCTTGGATTTTGTCGTTCTTCCTTGGATTTCGTAATTTACCCTTTGAAGGGTGGTCTTGTCAGCACAACAGGGAGCTCTCTAGCGGACTTGCTGGGGTCGACGCTGCTATTCCTAGTGCTCGCCGAAATCCCTCTCCCTGGGCCCTTGGTCGTAGCTGTTGCTACGTTGTTTGCACTAATGCCAATAGATGTTAGTGATGGGCGAGCAGCCTGGCTGGGCACAGCTCATGTACAGGTATACGGTGGAATAGTGAAGGCTATGTTGGCTTATGTGGACGAGAGAACCTTCATGGTAACTGCGGAACTCATCAGGAACCCGCCAGGCTTCATAGGTGGTCGTCGTTCCTGGGGTGATTTGCTGTACGTTCTGGCTGAGTTCCACTGCTGCGTACGTTATGGAGTATTTCAACTTACCCCCGACTAAGGGGAGGGTATTGCAACCTTCCCGACGGTTGGAACTTGGGGATCCGAAATTCCATAAGTAAGAATCAACGCGACGAGAAGTCTGGAATTTTACTGTTCCAGTAGGTTTCTACGCGGATGCGCTGTGAATACGATCCTAGTTGTGCCTCTTATCGGGCTGGGAGGTTTCTGCTTACAACAACATCGTGACCGCTTGGGCTTGTACGTGGACATGGATCCCGAGAGGCTCCCGTCCAAGCTCGAGATTGCAGCTCAAATGATGTAGTGCTGTGATGACGTAATTCGTTGGTCGATTATCTGGCTCCTGTCGGTTAGGGCTTGTTTTTTTCCTATAGTGACAGTGTACTATGCTGAATGTGTTGAAGTCACTGAATATTTTCGCGAGGTCATTCGAAGCGTCATTCAGGTTAAAGCTGTACCATGTTTCAGTTACTTCATACTAGTTAACGAGTTCATCTTTTTTTACAGTCATTGGTTATTCCACGCGAGTCCGTATCTGTATAGGAGGGTCCACAAGGTCCATCACGAATACCCAGCGCCCAATGCATTCACCTCATTGTAAGGGGGAAGCATATCTCCATCGTTCGAGACGGATTGTAGGTATTGTCATCCAGTGGAGCTAGTGATAGCAGATTTCGTTCCCTTGGGAGCTGGAGCTTTCTTCATAGGCTCTCACTGTTGTAATGCCCGGGGATGGGGTTGCGTGTTGGCTTCGTCTGGAGAGTTGTTATCAACTTCTTGTCGCTTCGTCAAACTATCAATAGTAAAGGACGAGGTGTTCGAATTCCACTGGGAATTTCCGGAGTACTTTTTCCACGGAATGTCATTGTTGTGTGTTAGAATCAATGGAAGCTCTTTCAGCTACGTTCCTGCTGTGGTCTGTATACGCGGTGCTTGGCACGAGAGGGCATCATAGTGGCATACGGTAGTTCATTGGGGTTGTATTTTCGTGGCGCGGTGACGGAATCGGGGTTCATCTCAGATGGCCGTGGATTATGTGGTTCGATCATCAGCCTGACTTTGACGATTTCCACCATGAGAAATCCCACGTCAATTACGGGAACATGGGATTCCTAGATAGAATAAATGGTATCACCAGGGATCGAACCTGCGTCGGATCGTTGCAGGGATCGATGTATTAGGTACTGACGGTTTATGGCGAACGCATTTGGCTCAGCTAAGAGCCCTGCAGAAGGACGAAGGACTAGAGGCTACGAATGTCACGAATCGCTATTGTGACTAAAAGCATTAGAATGCACTTTTTAAGAAGTGTTCATGGTTCAACGGCGTATCCTCATGGAATGAGTGCTTGTCTAAACGGTGTGGAGCATGGACAGATTTTTATCATAGAATGTTATTAATTGTTAGTGCGATGAGTCTACTATTGGTGCTATTGCTGCATGCATTTTACGAGGCATATGCGTTATTGTTGAGTTTCCTTATGCTGAAAAAAGTCGTTTTCTAGATGGCTCTCTTCCTAGGGGAATTTTCGCTTGTGGTTGTGGTTACCAGTGCGGAAAAACATGTACATAGTTAACTGCATGTGTTGGTGTCAATATGTGAAATTTTTGGGTAATTCTTGTCGGTTTCTGAACACTTCTATGCAAATTTGTATACAAACCCCTATAATTGGCGAAGAAACTCTGGAGCTCGGCTGGGAGGGCGAGCATATATTCTAACGCTGGTTGTTACTAATCTGGTGAAGTCACTTGTCAAGTAGCGGCTGCCAATCCGAGTCATGCCGTTGGCCTCGGCACGTGAGCACGCACATGATACGACGGCGAACAAGTCGGCGAGAGTATATACTAAGGCAGAGGTAGAAGCGCACAATAGGAGTGATGAGTGCTGGTTGTGTATGACGTTACTGACTTCGTGGAATGCCATCCTGGTGGCCCCGAGGTGAGACCTTTTTCAATGCTATTGAGTGAATTCTTAGGGGTAGGTGATCGCCACGATCAGTGGTGGTAATGTAACTGAGGAATTTGAAGATATTGGCCATTTCGACGAGGACAGGAGACGAATGAAGGCCCACAGGATAGGAGTGTTGAAGGGTTAGGGAGAGGTGCCTTGGCCAGGAATCGAACCAGGGACTTCCGGCTGGATAGTAAGTTCCTATGAAGTCGGAGCTTGGGACGAACAAAGGAGTTATTGGAATCGGCGTTCTGCCTGCTGTTTTGATAGCGGCTGTACCTATTTGCTTTACTATGTAGCATCATATTGGAGTCGTTCTTCTCGAGTTATGGGTGCCCTTTAGGTTGGCGCACGAGAAAATCGTTCGTCCAACCTAGATATGTTTCAGGACATTAGAACTACCGTTCCAGTTTCGGAAGCTCGCAGTGTTTTGATGTTGTAGTTGGTTAATCAGTCGGGTCAGAATGATATACTGTATCAATGGTATTTTCGATCACTTTCATTAAAGTGGAATAAGTCCGCAGGTGCATAGCCGTTCAGCAGCCCTCAAAGAGGGGTTGCTCACGAAGCGCTATGCAAACTTGGCGTTCCTTACAGCAGTAGCCTTCCCGATCACATGTATGTTGTCCACTTTCCTATCACGACCAGAGACCATCTCCACTGAAGAGCATCTCTCCGCGCACGTGGATAAATCAAAAGTGAGCCGGGGTTTCTCACATCGGGTCAAGGGTGACCAGAATGGCCCACAGAGTAGAGCATCGTCTTGCCTTTCATAGAGCTCCCTCTTGGCTTTCAGACGGAGTGTAAAAAGACAGGTGTTAGGACGGTTACGCTGTACAATGGGAGCCCAGCAGTTACCATAACGCCTAGAATGGATACATGTCTCGATTTTCTCGGTGAATGGTCATTGCCTGCTGGACTCTTTTTGACGCGTGTGCTTTTTCAGACTGTGGGCTGAAGGCGAGCGAGTCATTTGGAAAAAGTGTGGTAGCAGTCGAGGTGGAACCTGAGCCAGAAGATGTAATATTGGCCTCTCTTTTCTACGACTTAGTAGGCGAAGGTTGATTTGATCCATCTCGATCCCAGGCTGTCAGGTAGCAGAGGTGCACTCTCCTGAGGCAGTCGCCTCCCCAGACATCACGAGTCTAGCATTGGCAGCTACTACAGCTAGCGTACTAGTGAAAGGAGTCATTGCTAAGGGAGTGCTGCTCAATCCCAAGGTGAGAATTATCAACGCCTTGACGATTTCCAATGAATGGCATCAGCGACTAGTTGGCTGGTGACTCTGTGACAGCTCTCATACTAAACATGAAAGTATTGGTGACGCGCTCGATTACTCTATAGCGTCCTTGTCGTCCCTAGGGTGTGGTGATATTTCAGGTCTTGTTTTTGTCGATGGCACCGGGAGGACTAGGGCCAATGCGATATGTAGCCCCTCCCCAAATGATGCACAACGAGACCTTTGCTGAGCTCATATTCCCTGGCTTTGATTCCCGCAGCTTCATATGGCGGGTCTCCTGCCTCCAGGTGAAGTTTTTCTGCTGTGCTGCTCTGTAGCGTATCATGAAAGGTGCTCGAATTCATCTCCTCCTTAGCTGTTGGACAGCAGAATGGTGCTCCAGCCACATGCACCCTATACTTGATGGGAGCAAGTTGGGGACCTAGCATAGCCAAGTAGACAGTGCTACTCTGTGGGTTACGGTAACTTCAGACAGGGGTGGTATATGGAGACTGCTAGCACCAATGGGGCTGCATGCTAACATGCTGCACCTTTTCGTGAGACGATCTTGCGGAGGATCGAAGATGAGCGTTTCCGCTGCCTTTCAGTTCAACATATTTTTTCAACTGCGCATGGGGTTCGGCATGGAACGGCAGTTTGGCTTTAAGAAATTCATGGGTCTCTATATGCTTTGCGGGTAGTAGCAGTACACTCATCTCCGGTCCTGAGCTATGTCGGGAGGACCTGTCTCAGGCTGGTGGGCAACTTGATATCGGTGGCAGTTGATCCCTTCAAGTTGGCAGTCGGTGCGTCTACAGCAGGATTCGGTTTAGTAGGAGTTTGGTTGGCTGAAATAGTAAGTCGCAGTAGTAGTAGATGGCATGGAGGACGAGCTGCTTAGTGAGAGTCCCTTTGGGGTTGCTTTCGAATTCGGTAAAGGTTCTGAGTCATCCATCATGATCATGTGTGAGATCTCTGTGCCCGTCCTTTGTAATGGGCGCTAAAATTGTGGTTTAAATTAAAGTCGAGCTGTTGTTCACGGTGAATTCCGGCCACAATGATTCTCTCTTCCAGTTCTTATCCTGGCACGTACTTGGCCCTCATCGTGACCGCACTATGGTATGGGTGGCATTCGTAACCGTCGGATGCATTGTGATGTCGACTATGCAGCCTAATATCGATATGTTCGGCCACTTCGGTAAAATTGGGTACGAGAGAACAGTATTAATTTCCTCAGTATGTCTGACGTTCTTAATCTGCCGTAACCCTCGCAAATTTCTCGATGTCGAGGATTTAACTGAAAGACAGTTGACCCATGCTGTGTATGGGAACTCGGCAACCAGTGCCAACATTGAAATGGAGCGCATTCCCGTTTTCCGCTCCGAACCTAAATCGCATTTTATACTGTGATGACCCGACAGCGATGCTCAGTGTGTTGTGCTTGAATTGACGCAGCATCTGTGAAATAGTGCAGCATTTGGGTTGGTAGCAAACATGCATGGGAAATATTATTCTGTCTTGAAGAAAACTATCATCAGTCGTGAAGCTTCTCGGTTGATTGGCACTGTCTCTGTGGCTTCAGGCGGTGCTTTAGCAGGGTTCCTCGCTGCTACTATGATTAGCGACATGCCCGATCAGTATAAGCCAAGGTGAGCGACAACTTATCGGAGTGGATAGACTTATTATGAGCTACTATTCATTCCTGTCTCTCGCATTCAGGTGGTATGATGCTGCCCGGGTGGGATCTGGTTTGGCCCTCGCTTCGCTCATCGGTATGTGCGGGGCCAAAATAGGCTTGTACACGCCAACATGGTGGGGCGTGGCACGGAGAGGGGAGGAGACATTCTGGGTGAGATTTCAGGCCCGTCCCCGACTGTGGCAGTTTGCTGACTCCTCACAAGTGGTAGTCGCTCGCTTTGTATTGTATCGATTCACAACCATGTATGAGTATCCGATTTCGACCAAACCTGGGCTTGGGTTAGCCTGGTTGCTTCAAGGGAAGCATTCTCCACACCGAAACGGCATGCGATGTGTGATGCTCCAGAAATTGGGAGGTCTCTCATCGTGATCGACGATCAAAGCACCGAGCAAATTCTGGGTGAAAGTGTGACGGACAAACTGCGCCACCATAAGCGGGAGTAAGAGTGTACCTGGACCGGTTTCGCCCAAATTCACGGAGAATATGCGAAGTTGAACCGACAGAGGTTGACTTATTTGAACCTTTCTGGATCGACAATAGCATTGGTGTTGGCTGATCGGAATATCGGCCGATGTATTGTGGTTTTCACACTATCCCTCCTTGATATTTTCTCGCCTACTCGGTGTGGACTTCTACTATGACGTTCAACGCTGTAATCGAGTCGATCTACCGAGTAAATTTATACATTTTTTATCCCCATAGATTGGTAGGATTGTAGCCCGCTGAAACGTGTGTGTGAACGCTGAATTGATGAATGTCTTCATGTGATGCGAGGTTGAATGAACGTGAGAATTCCGTTCTTTCAACAATTCGTTCATTGACGTTCTATGCACAGAGAAATTACTGATCGAATAGCCAACTTGTCGAACTCAATGCGAAATGCAGGTGCCGTATTGGAAGTTTACAGCGCGAAACTTATACAAAGTAGCAGTGATTAGAGATGTGAAATAGCATCCCTGAGGGCAACCATCATGCCGCGGTATCTCATTGATATTGTCACTCGATTAATGGTGATGGCGGTCGCCATTGAATTCATCCATCTCTCGTTCCCCAGCGGCACAGCGCTCGGTCAGATTTTCCTTTTCACTATCGCTCATGGCAACAACACGACGCCTATTCGCGCGGCGACCGGTCCAGAAGTCTAAGCAGTTGGTCTTGATTCCCTGATCACAAAAAAACTTGGCAATGAATCGAGCACAGCGTCGTGATCACAACACGCTCATTGATCTCACCTTATCGAATGGGTTTCTGAACTCTCTGTGAACTCTACCGCGTCCCTCTTCGGGATCTATACTGGACATTCCGCCAGTAGCCATCATTCGCCAAAAGTGACCATATCTGAAAGCACAGTTGTTAAGAACTGTGAATCACAGCACATAATCCCGCCCAACCTGTGGAAGTTGATCATCTCGTTGGTATACATATTCATAGCAACAACTCGACACTGGAAGAAGATGATGAAGGCCTCCCAAGGCAGGGTCAAAACCTCCACTATGAGCACAATCAGCAACAGTGGCTGTCTACCCACGACGAAGCTTATCCATCCCCACCAACCTGAGCCGAGGGGACGATCACACAGCGGCTCGTCACGTCCTGCTTTCTGCCTCACCTGAGTAATCGGTCTTCATGGCCTCGGGTATTCTCCCTAGGCATTGCCATGCTACGATGATGTGGAATAACTGTATGACGAATTCTGCGATACAGAAGGCTATGAATAACCGCTGATTGCCACCACCAACACAGTTGTTCAGCCATGTGCAGTGATGATCAAAGTCATCTACACAGCAGTCACAAATCTGAGAACACACAATTCTCCCTCGTCGAAGCGCCGGGGTCTATGAATTAAAACATGAGCTTACCGGGCAGTGTTTGGTCCGGAGTCCTTTCCAGATCCAGCACGTATGGCATACCCGGGAGGGGTCCATATTAGCGACATGCTGTCCTGATATCGCTGACAGATCGTGATTCATAACGCTCTCGTAACTCTCCCTTCGGAAGGCGTAAGCAACGATCTGAGGTCAACACAATAGCAGTACGAAAAGATGTGCACATGGCCAACTACGTGTGTCGGTGACAATTTAAGGAAAATTTGGGAAATTATTCTTTTGTACACTTCTACCCTAATATAGGTATAAACTCCCACAGTTAGTGAGGAAACTCCCGAGCTCAGCTGAGGAAAGCGAACATATATTCCAACACTGCACAAGAGCTTCCGAATGGTATTAGTATGGAGTTCCAACTCCTTTGCGATAGAAAACTACAAAGGGCGGGCTCTCTGTACATACAAACACCCTGTGCAATGTCTCTGTGAATGAATACGAGGCCCTACCTTTTCACAGAGCTCCTCCACCGCAGAATGGCCTCTTGTCCGCTTGGGACGCCTCCCTGGATCACCGAAGACTAGTACGGCGAACATGGTCAAGCAGACTGGTATGAGCATCTGATGCCAACAACTGCGACGAAGACCTTTCGAAGTCACTTACCTCCACAATGATGTACGACACTGGGGCCAGGTCGTAGCCCATCGGACGAATATCCAGGAAGAAGGACGAGATGAGCAGGAGAGCAACCAGCAGATAGAAGCCGGGGAATACCCATAAGGACTGACCAAAAGTAAAGGGATGAGAGCCTCCACCGAGAAGCATCTACTCCACCTGTTTGTCACCAAGTAATGACATCCACCACGGCACTTTCACTTCCTTAGTGATGAGCTCACTATCCATAGCAGTAGTAGTAGGCGCCTGCGAGCGGCGGCCCTCCTCCATACCGTTCTGTACAACCTCCTCCTGAGGCACGGCGCATGACTAGGAGGAATACAAGTAGACCTACAGGGGCAGAGGAGCTCGAGCTACTCCCTCTGATGGTTAGTTCGTTGGCCTCTTCTAATTGTCGGTATCCTCGTCTCTGCTTACTCTTATGCTTGACGATAGATTTCAATAGAGAATTCGCCAGGAAATTATTTTTCTGAATACCACACCATTTCGACTTCTGAATGGCCTTGTTAAGCTCACATGCTTCCTCGCGATATCTAGAGGTGTTTCATCATTGTTGTCTCGGGCAAGAGGATTGCACCCTTTTCCTATGAGGAAATCACATGCCTGATCAAGACGACTCAAATCACTACGTTATAAACCGCGCTATACGCAGCCTACCTCAGGCCACTGAGAGATAGCTGCTCTATGCAAAGGCGTCTTCCCCTCGTTATCCTGTTCATCAAGTAGCAAACCAAAGTAGTCCAGGTAGCGCAGGATATTTACATACCCCTGAGGACTACTATGAGGGGAAAGCAAGAAGACAGACTAACCTTATAAGCCGCCCAGTGAGCAGCTGAGCACCCGAGCTGATCACGCTGGTCGAAAAGAGGGCTCATATCGCCCTGTTGTTGGCACCAATAATGAAGGAGTAGTAATGCTAATAGCTGGTTATGCTGAGACGCCAAGATGATGCCATTTGCCTGACAAAAACAAAGTGAGAAGAGGCAAGCCTGACCGAGCCGAACTTTCGGTACCACGGGTTTAATATTTCTCCCAACCTAGGAGCGACACAAGCGCACAAGGGACGTAACCGGCCACCAGAAAGGATAGGGAAAACAGCTATCATACTACCTTGAGGGAATCAACGGCAGCCAGAGAGGCGCCTCTACCGTAGAGGGAGGCCATACTCCTGAGGTTGCCCTTTATTATCGCCCACATGAGGGGTGTTTGTAAGTTACTAGCCTTAGGATCCGGACCGATAACACTGTCGAAGTCTGGTAGGTTACAAAACGCTCTGAGATAAGCCAAGCACTCCTCCATACCGCTCCTTCGTCAACTCACTCGATAAAACCAAAGTCGTCCACCAGAGCAGCCCAGTGCAACAGCGAGTGGCCTTCGTCATCTCGAGCCGTGAGGATCCTAAACAGAACCCTGTCGTTGCTGCGGCGATGCTAGCGGCCTACTTATGTGGATCCTCCGTCCATAGAGGCATGCCCATTATCTCTCTGAAGCAGGATGTCCGTGCCAAGTAAAAAAGGCGATCGTGCTCTGATACCTCCTTCACGGGCACTGCAGTGGCGATCGCTGAACCACAAAGAGGACAAAGAGCAATAGTGACCGAGGAAAAGTACGAGCAATATTTCTCACCTGTTTTCAGCCCGGGATCAGCGTGTTCAGAGTCAATGACGTGAACGCTCTCAGACGGTACGAAGATGACCTCATCTTCAGCAGCAGCAGAGTTCACCGCCTCACCGACTGAATAGCAGAAATGATTCCCAAAATAGGATGGCGAACTGCTGTAGTCGAATCACGGTAACTACGAGAGCCGTCGGTTCACCTTCTCCTTTTAGTGGCGCTGCTGATGAGGACTTCGTAGGCTGGTTTGCCTCTTCTCTAGGCTTAGAAGGCAGCGGTGGCAGTACCGCACTTTCACCACTTCCTAGCGACGATCCGTCATCCATTTATTATCAGCTAATTCTCTTCACAAAATCTACATCTTTGACCTTGCAAACTCAAACTCAAATGCAACTCCAGCTTCTCATCCTAGTAGAAACTTTCAAGTCGATACGGTGGTAAATACGTGTAGAATAGACGTTGTGAAGCCGCTCTCGAACGGATTACTAATCAGCTCGGTCCAGCCGCATGCGTTTCTTTTGCTGCTCCTGACGCATGCCTTCCTTAACATATCTGAAAGGCATCGATTCCGTCACGCGCCACAAAATTATTTCCGGTATACCTCTTCTTGCGGTTCTCCTTAGCGTTGTCCTCTCGAATGACTTCGACTTCATGCTGGGCCGCCTTCTTCTTCGCCCACCTCCTCTCATTAGCCTACATTCAACACCTCAGAACCCATCGCTCCAGTGCTGGAATATATGTTCGCTTTCCTCAATAATTGTAGAAGAGCACAGGAACCAGCGAGAATTTTCCTGAGATTTCCTCAGAATTTTCTTAGTTTCACCAACACGTGTAGTTGACCATGTGCATATTTTCCTACCACACCTTCGCTCACTCTCCCGACGCCTACCTCTCTGCGTTGCTTGGTACGCTGCTGACGAATAGTATACAGTCTCTGTAGCAGAGAGGCAACCTGACAAAACACATAAGGCTTATGAAGAGTTAATCTGAAGCAAAGCAACGGGTTATTAGATGCCTCCTCACCTCCTTGTCCTCTTTACTACGAACAACGGCAGCCTTCTTGTCGAGTTTGGTCCTCTCCTTTGCTTCTTGGACCTGCCAATGGGAGATTCAGAATGAAGATGAATGTAGCAGCAGCTACCTTAGCCTTGCTCTTGAAGGGCAACTGCTTTTTGAGGGAATCCGGTATATTCAACGGCGTGGACCTGACGAAATGACTTCGCCAGGGTTCGATCCCGGGACCTCCCGCTTACTTGCGATCCACTCTCTCCTGCTTTCCCTGACCATAACTAGAGTCCAGCTTGTTTGGTATAGGCATACTAGTAGCCCGTCGTAGCTCCGCGATGGTCCTCATCCTGCGCCACTCCGGCACGTCCAACATGAGGTTGTAGAACTTCGGCAAGGGGACGTTGACCCACGCCTTCAACATGACCAAGTCGGACATCTTGATCTTATCCTCAAAACCCGCGCGGAAGTCTCCACCAGACTTGTGCGCCTTTTTGATTTCACCACGAATACCCGAGACCGTCTGTATCTTCGCTCCGATGCACTTGGCTACCTCCAAATCGGAGTTGAACATGCCTGAGAACACACTAAAGTGACAGAACGTCCTTGGCGACTTACCTTTGATGAAAGCTGTGTTCTTGAACACCTTCGTGGGTTCACCGACCATCTTCAACTTCTTGACGATGTCGAACTTCTCAGCGGACTCCATCACCTGAATTTACTCCCCATAATCACATTCGAAACTTTAGCTTCCGGCTCACCTGGCCTGTAAGGGCCACCCTATAGCTGGGCACAGCCTTCCAATTACGAATAGCCAACACTCCTGTATTAGGGGCAATGCTGGGACCATACACAGTAGCGAGGCAATGCATGTGCTCAGGAGTATACCTACGATAATGGCAACATCAGTAGTGTTAAAACCAATGCTGCTGAGTGAAACACAACCACACAGTAGACACTACGAGTCCACGTATTGCCGGCAATACGAAAACTCTTACGGAAACCCGTGTGATAAGTGGGAGAAAAACTATATAAACCGGTGATTCATTCCTGAGCGCCTCTCATTCGATGCTACAATCTACTCCTCCCTATAGCTGCCGAAATATCCAGGATTAACGCTCACAACGATGAGGATAGGTGATGCATAGCAGTATAGCCCTTCCTAGACCTACTTCAGCATCCTAACACGACTATGGTTCCGATCCTCGAGAGCATAGATAGGAAGACCCTGGAATCTCCTCCACCCCACAGAGAACAGCAGAACATCTCTAGTCTTGAGGATCTTAGGATGCCAACGATGACGCTTCACCTGATCAAAGGACCTATCCAATTTCCCATCAACGGCGAATTCTCACTCTCATTTGAATGAATCCCATTTTCATTTCACTCGGTAGCAACGAGCCCAAAATCAACGGCCACTTCCTATCTTTCAAAGCCTCCACCGACTCAGCCGGTACATTCTCGAATACGAGCTGTTAACCACAAAAATGCCAAATCAGAAACGGTCAAAAGGACCTACCTTGGCATAAGTTCCGATAGCAAGAGTACCATCATCAGCGCTGAAGTCGCGCACTTCATCCAACTCGGACTTAGACGCCACAACACCTCTCAGTCGAGCCGTGTCCTGAGCACGGATACACATAGAGACACTACTCACTGGGCTCCTGGGTCCAACTACGGCACATGCGCACTTCGAAAATTATTATGATAACATGTAGTAATATGTCTCCAGTTCGAATAGTAGTATAGTGAATTTACGCCAATTTCCGCATTCCACCACAATCCTCAATGTCCCTTTAGACTGGCTTCAACCACTTAGAGTCAAGACACTACTACTACTACTACTACCTCATCCTCTTCTTCATCATCATCACCCTTATGTTCTTCCATAGCTGCCTTCTCCTTAGCCTCAGCATTAGCTTGTCGCTCAGCCTCCACATCTATGGCACCATCAGCACTAGTCGATCCTCCCTATAACGATCCCATACTCTCCTCTCACTACCACACACAAGCTACCTTCATCTCTCCTTCCAGTTCCTTAGTGATGTTCTTAGCCACGAAAAAGCGTCTGCATCTCAACTGTCTAATATAAGCCTCCGATTCGAGCTCTCCCTCTTCCTCCACAACGAAGGTCTCCTTCGGTCTCGCAGTGTCGGTATCGTCATCAACTTCACCATATTGCTCATCCTCTTCCTCGTCGTCATCATCATCGAAGAGCTGCACCTTCCCCTCTTCTTCGGGAGCCTTCACCTTCTGAATAGAAAACAGTGAGCCATTTGCCAGCGTATACGAATGACCCCCTCCCCTTGAACAGGAATCATCATCATAATACTGCCCATTTACATAGCAGTAATCTAAGAGACTATAGACTCCAAAACTATCCCTATTATAACAGCAAGCGGTGTGGGAAAATATGCATATGGTCAGCTACGTATGTAGGTGACATTTGTCGGAGTTTCGAGGAAAATTGAGGGAAGTCTCAGAGGTTCCTCTACACTTCTACCCGAATTTGTATCTAAACTTCTATAATCAGTGAGGAAACTTCTGGACTCAGCTGAGCAAAGCGACCATCATTCCAACACTGACACTGTAAGGTTATTGACAGGCTACAGTATAGGTAGTTAGTGGTATAAGAGACCATCACAGTAAACTAACAGACTATAAACCAGCCTAGTACCTTCTCATGAGGCAAGCCTGATGATTCTCCATATACGTAGGCATCCCACTGAGCCGAAGTGAAGGCGGCGGCCGAGGACCCCTCAGTGTCGTCGTCCTCCTCCACTGACTGGAACCCCCGGGCCACAGCGTCTAGTTTATCAGAGACCTCCAAGAACGGGTTCACATATCCTTCTTCCTCCTCCTCATCCTCCTCGTCATCTTCAACGGGTCCGTCTTCGTCATCCTAAAAGAAGATGCGCTACACCAGCATCCGGAAAAGCAAGATCGTAGGTACTCGAGCCTACGTACGATCTTATGCAACCACAACGACCACAATTAAAAATCCCATTCAAAAGAGTCCATCATCACGGAGAGACGAGCTCAGTCATCGAGGAGCATCCAAAAAATATACCATTGGTAACCATCATCTATTCCGAGCAAACTATAATAATTGAATTTTCGCCCTCCAAACCCTTCCCTGATATCACTTCCTCTTCATCCTCCTCCTCAGCGAGCCTTCTAGTAGGAGGAACTGCAGCCCCGCCCGCCACCAACGGCAAAGGCGCATCTCTATCGTTCGGGTCCAGCTTAACATCCTGGAGCTCACGGACCATCTTCACAGCCTCGCTGGGGTCCATTTCCTCCTCCTCCTCATCATCATCATCACTGGACATTCCCTCGCCGGCTTCCTCATCGTCAGTACTCTCTAAGCAAAATAGCGTAACCCTCCCACGTCAATTCCCACGTGCTACCATCCTCCTCCTCTTCCTTCCTCGTGAAGCTCTCCTCAGCCTCTCGAGTATTGATGTACATCGCCTCCGAGTCCACAGTAATATGCTGATGCTCGCAATAGGGCGCATAAAGGTTCCTCTGCTTGTCACTCAGGGTCCTCAAGGCCAGGCCCTTCATCTTCGGGTTCTGGTTGGTAGGAGGCGGGCAGGGGTCGAGGGCCACCGTTGCGGAGGCGGCCGGGAAGTCGCCAACACCAGCTATGTGGAAGGCCTGGCCCTCCGTACGTAGTCTACTGCCCGACACATACCCATAGAGTGCCAAGGTCCTGGTGTCACTATCAGGCACAAGCGTTTGATCCTCCCAACGGTGGGCCACAAGATAAGAGTGATTCTGACGCCACGATAAAGGAGCGAATTTCTGGATAGCGATGAACCTGAGGTTGTAGGAGAACTCAGCTGCAGCGTGACGATGAAAGACCTGCCTCGCCAAGTTGGTGACTTCCGTCTTGTTATAACGCGTCCCACTATATTGGATACCACTCAAATAGAACATCTTAGCACCATCGTAGAGCTCCGCCCAAAACCTAGCCTTGTACCGTTTCTTCATCTTGCGAATACCTGATACCGAAGGTGCTGCACGCCACGATGGAGAGGGAGAAATGTACTCTTGGATTCTTTGAACCCATCCAAGTGAGTAAGGATGCCGAGTATACGTGGAAAGCCATGGACCTTCGAGAAAACGCCAGAAACAGAGGATGAGGAGTTCGCCTTACCTGCATGATGTTGATGAATTCAAAGGTCTCCATTTCGAACCCCCTCACGGCGTCTACCATGAGTAAAACCTGAGAACTCAGCGTCCCGATGGGAAGGGAGGGGGCGGGGCGATCTACCAAGTCAGCCACTTTCGCTAAGTCAATCATGGCTCGCATGTCATTAGCCGGGCACTCTATGAACGTCAAACGGCGGTTACGGCCAGATACCACGGTGATTGGGCCTGCGAGGATGATCCTTATCAGTGACAAGGACCCTCGGCTGACTACCCTCGATAGTTGCCCCCAGCGTTGTCTTAGTATAGTGTTTCACCAGACTTCGAATAAGCGTCGTCTTACCGCACCCTGGTGGGCCTTGTACTACCACAACATACCTGAAGTGACGCCACCAACTGCCATACCACACGGATCCCTGTTCCCGGCTTTTACGGTGGAGCCTCCACTCCTTCGGGGCGCTTATCCATCTTCTCAATTTTCTCTCTCTTGGCTTTCACATCCAATCCTCTCTGCACACGACGCTGGACACTATGAATGCCACCAGAGAAGGTGAAGGCTTTCGGGTTGTGGCGTTCAACATTCGTCTTCTCTCTCTTCTTTTTTGCCTTCCCACCTACAATTACAACCGCTCCCCGCTCCTGTGACGAGCACACCGCAAACCTCGCTGAGCAAACTACTACCTGAAGTGGGTTTCCTATGGGCCTTGGCGGCCGTTTGGGATCCTCCTCCGTCCATTGAGCCAGGGAAGAGACCAAACCAAACACTGCGGGGCAAACACCAATACTGGGACTAGTAGCAGGCGTATGCTCTGTGTCTGCGGAAGTTTAGGTGAGAACAGGTCGGTGAGAACAAATATGCGTCAAGACAACACAAGACAAGCACCGCGAAGGCCGTTTGTAGTGCAATACTTGCAAATACCGCTCGATAGCGTCGAGTGGATTTGCGTCAGGCTGCGACTCGACACCCCGACAGAAGTAAAGTTGAGAACTGGACGAGTAACGACGATGATTGTATATGGTAGATGATAATATTCCGAGTCTTGATTCTTCCAAAACCCCATGGCCACGATTCATAATGCATGTTATAAGCGATGATGGTAGAATTCATAGTGTTTGTGCTGCTACAGTAAAGTGAACGCACGTCTAGTTTGTAAGATATGGACCATAAACTGAGAAGGAATGTACTCCCTTTCGAGTTGGTTAATTAGCGTGGAAGAGTTCAATCGAAACCACACTAGCTAATCGAGGACTATGATAGACATAGCCACCTTAGCTTAGTGGTAGAGCGTCTGCTTCGTAAGCAGAAGGTCGTCGGTTCAATCCCGGCAGGTGGCTTATGAACATCATCGAGCAAATCCTCTATTAATCTGAGCAAGCCATATGTTGTTCTAGAGTTCAATGTATCCCATGTCGTGTGACTCACTAGAAATGCATCTCCTCACGATCAACAGCCTCATATTGCCAACTCACTCGTTGCGTTTTTAATCAACCAAAAACTGAAACTGAGAGCCACAAAACGCGTTTATGCTCAGTGACCTCCCGCCCCCTTGTTACAATTGTTTCATACGTTCGGGTGCATTGCCTTGTGACAACACGCTCAGGCAGCTGCTGGTGCCACCCCCCCCCCCACGTCATCTGCATTCGCTGTATTGGAAACGATGGATGTCGATCTATTCCACTGGACCTGCAAACAATCAATCTCGAATGAGAATGTGAGGTCTGACCATCCTACTTGAAAGTTTCGTGGCTGTAGCTGTTCTTAAGCATTGAAGCAGTCTCCTGTTTACTTACAGTCCTCAGGTTTCACCGATGAATCTAGCACAGTCATCGACTAGTGCAGACGCAGAAAAGTCTTCGCGAGGTGTTACGGCGCACTTTGATGCCCCCACTCCCTTCTCAAGTAGAAATGGTCGTTTGAAGAGGGGATTCAGAATATCATCCTCCAAGCGGAGTTCGTGGATGCTACGAGCGGCTCATCGAATGATACATTTACTCACCTTCCAAACGCTGATGAACATCGCTCTACTAGTTGGGCTGTCCTTGCCTGACTGCTGGGTAGATCTAATTTTCAGAAATTTATGGTCATCAAGAATAGCTAACATGTGTTGGATCAGATTCTTACCGTTGCATTTGTGGTACTCGTCGTAAAAATGGCAGTTCTGTCTTTGAATGCTCGCAAGTAGCACCCAAATACTAACGCTTCGCTAAGTTGGTGGATGCAGCAGACACTTTTTGAGGTTAATTTTCTTCACGGACTTAATTGGAACATTCCTCGACATATCTTAGGCGATGTCGAGCCGAGCCTCAAATGTGAGATCCTCATTCATACAAGGGCAATGGTCTCATCCCTGCTGTTAGTCCATTGTGGTTTAAGCTCTACTGCACCGTGCTGTACATACAAGTAAACTCTTCGCACGAGCTGGACGGATAACCGAGTTACGATGCCATTGAAGTGGCTCCCTGGGGTGAGCAGCATCCGAGATAAAGTACAGGAACGACTGGTACAGGGTCAGCGCTTGAGGATCCACAAGAAAATCCCGGCTGAAAATTGGTTTGGCTATGGTATCGCCTCTATGTGGCGTGATGAAGTAAACCTTTACCGTCGCGCATGTATTTGGGAACACACCTTGTTGAGGTGGTAATAAAGCGTAGGACTCGCTGAAGAGTCTGAGTAGCCAGCATCCTTGTCCGATTGCTTATTGCCAATATGCATCGATGTGCTTGTCAATGATGTACCGTGTAGTGTTAGTACCAGGCGGTGTAGGAAAATATTGACATGGTCAACTGCATGTATACGTGACATTTGTGGAAATTCTGGGGAGAATTTAGGAAATCCTCATTGGTTTCTGTACGCTTCCACCCGAATTTGTATATAACTAGTGAGGAAAATCCTGGGCTCGGCTGAGGAAAACGAACATATGTTTGGTACTACCAGGGCATGGGAATGTCGTTTACCTCACCGCGCGATTCTAATGATGATGATGTCTGATCTCGTTGTTCGAGTGTTTCTAAAATGTCTACGAATGACTCTGGGCCGCCAGTGCAGTTGATGTGTGCTCGGGAAGGAGATGCAGAGGCACCGGTTGGTTCGGCAGGGGAAATCGATGGAGTTATCGAGGTAGTGCATGGTAGTAGCAATGGTGTTGAGGATGGTCGTATAGACTGGGGAGGACACGCGGAAGGAAGCAGGGAGTGATGATGTCCTTGACGATGAGGATGTTGGTGCTGCTTCTAGTGTGTAGGAAGGTTCAATTGTTATGAATTGTGGGGGAACGATAACCCTTGTTAGGCATACTTATGATGATGAGATGGATTTATCACCAAGGAGTCGGTCCTCAGCCCCGTCATCGAGCTCCGGGAGTGGCAGCTACAGCGATATGACTGATGATGAGATGAAGGAGGAAGAGGGGGAAGGATCGCAGTAGTAGGCGGTGGAGTAATTACTCTTTGCCGCTTATGGTTGTTGCTCTACAGTGGTGGTACGGATGGCGATGATTATACAGAGTCTGATGATGAAGGCACTGAGGGATATAAAAAGGGAGGTTATCACGCTGTTCATTTAGGGTAGTAGCAATGAAATCTCTTAGTGACGTGGCAGTTGATGTTGTCAGGGAAGTTTATAATGATCGTTATAAAGTGTTGGCCAAGTTGGGATGGGGCCACTTCAGCACGGTATGGTTATGTGAGGATCTGGACTACACTGCTAAGATAGAGAAGGAGACCGCTGGTAAAAAGGGTATACTGCGCTGTTCGATAAACGGTGGAGTGTCAGTAGTAGGGGCCGCGGGTGATAGTTGGGCGAATAAGATAACGCCGAAGTAAGTGTGAGTGAGGAGGGGTGGTGATTGATTATATGCGGTTATAGGCGCTATGTTGCGTTGAAAATTCAAAAGTCGGCTCCGCACTACACGGAGGCAGCGTATGATGAGATTAATATTCTCAACGAGGTGAAGAAACGGAAGTAAGTCGGGTGTGAGGAAGAGGTGAATTATGGCGATTTGGTGCGTAGATTTGCCCCAAGCTGGGTGGGCAGCAGAGAGCTTAGGAAAGATCTATTGCCGCTCAAGGCTGGAGGAGGCCTGAGGGAGAGCTTCAACGGGGTGACAAATGCGGGTTGTGGGGATCGAACCTCCGCGGGTTAGTGAGCATTGCTTCTAGGTTGTCTCCCTAGTCGATTCATTCACCACCAACGGCCCCAATGGGCGCCACGTATGCATGGTTTTCGAACCCATGGGCCCTAACGTAGGCACGCGTACCGATCATGGTTGAATGTTTCCGATTAGGTACTAGCACTGATCAAGAAGTTCGATTTCAAGGGAGTCCCTCTGGATATCCTCCGGAAAGTATTGGTGTTCTTGTACATGCGTGCATACCACTCCTTGCGTAACTCTTCTCAGGTGGCCTCTCATACTCTCATTGGTCTCGATTACCTCCATCGAGTGTGCAACATAATTCATACTGATCTTAAACCCGAAAATGTGAGCAACAGGGATGCCAGTGGCTCTGATGCCGTGCAATAGACAAGTGACGTAGTATCTTGATATGCAGTCTACTCGTCGCTTATGCACGCTCGAATCGGGTCTTGAAATACATGTTTGGTTTCCTCACCTGAGCTCAGGAGCTTCCTCACAAATTATAGAATTTGCGCATAAGTGTACAGGAGTCGATACGAATTTCCCAAAATTTTCTCAGAATTTTCGCATGTAGTTGAGCATGTGCATATTTTTCCACGCTGCTCACAACAATGCTATATTGAGTTATCAGTGATGTTATCGTCACTGTAGGTGTTGGTGTGTTGTCCGAGGAGTGTCCCTGTCGACAAGCACGGCGTACCATTGATAGCTGGGCAGTTCCTATCGCGAGATGAGGATGAAAACCATCAGGGTAGTGTCGAATCATAAGTGATGAGCATATGGATAGTACAATGGTCAGACAGCGGAAATGGAAGTCCACAGGAGAGCACTCCTCATGATCGGTACATTGCGGTTGCCGATTGTTCTCCCAGCGATGTTGAGGAGCGTCCCAATGGTGTTGACGGTAGTAGTAGTGGTAGTCGGTGGAGTTGGGGCTTTCTTTAATCTTTTTGTAATAGTTGCGGTTTTTAGTGACAGTTTTCGATGGTGGTCATTCCATTCGGTGCAGTTGTGACCGTATTGGTTTGTCGATGATCATTCGAATGTGAATAACGCAGGTAAACAGAATCGCCCATTGACGAAGACGCAGAAGAACAGGCTCAAGCGGAGGAGGCAAAGGGAGAAGCGTCGGGCGGCAGCTGAAGCTGCTAAGCAACAGGAGGTAGTTCATGTGATGTATTAACCCAGATGAGAGTGTTCGCAGCTCTGATGGCCTTCCTAAGGTACCATCCACAGCCGCCCCTACGGTGTCGTCATCGGTGCCAGGCTCTGATAGCTGTAGTGCTGAGGGGTCCGCGGCAAGTAGATGTGCGCGGTTCCCGCCTTACGTCAGGTCATCGATCAAACGAAACATGTAAGGACTGAGTTTAGGAGTTTCCTCACTAATTATGAGGGATTACGTACGAATTCGGGTAGAAATGTACAGAGACCAATACGAATTCTCCTAAATTCCACCAACATATAGTTGACTATGTGCATATTTTCCTACACAGGGGTCGTTTCGAAGTCAGAATGATGGATTTTGATCAGGTCGGATCCTTCCCTTTTGACGACCTACCCTGAGATGCAGAATGAGCGTTTGCATCGCATCCCTTACCATCACTTGCACAACGCCAATATTAGTGATATGGAGCACCATCGTCATCAGAAGACTCCAGCGGAGGGAATCTGTAGTAGTAATTGAATCATATAATCCTGTTTGTGTTCGTACTGAGATAGACTAGCAGATCTTGGTCTCTTGATACGTGTCGTTTCGAGAGCGTTAAATTTTCTATCAAAAATGCCCTTTTGTTGTAGCATAAGAAGGGCATGATTTTTGAGCAATTCTCAAATTATTTATATTCCAAGTTATATATACGTCAAGTGAGAGCGGCTCAGCCGTCGCTGTGTGTTTTGTGCTGTACTGTATAGATGGTGATGTTACGAGTGTGGGAATCAGCAGGCATCTTTCATCGGGATTAGGTAGCACGGGAGCTACGAGTACAGCCGCTAGCAGTGTTACGAGACGGCAGCAGAACTCCCAGAAAGGAGAGGGTGAAGGGGAGACTGACTTGATTGCATCCCATAGTGAGACATTGCGGTGGTGTTTCTAGTGATAGTCTATGCTGATTAGCTCCTGACTCGTCGTCTTTACCGCTTCCTCCTCCTACTGTTGTTGATACTATGCATAAGCGGTATGCATTTGAGCTTGTATCGGAGGCGGAGGTGCTTGGTCTGGACATATTCGACCACGACAGTGTCGCGTAATAAGGGACGTAAGGCTGAGCGGAGCGAAGCTGGGCGGGGTTATGGCAGAAATGGGTATTTGCGTGACCCTCAGATTCAAGATAGCAGATCTTGGTAATGCATGTTGGACTCATAAACATTTTTCTAGCGATATTCAAACACGCCAATACCGCTCCCCTGAAGTGAGCCCCAGCCTTTTGCTATCACTGGTGATTTCGATTCGTTCAGGTTATCGTTGGTGCCGGCTATGATAGTAGTGCTGACATATGGTCCTTTGCGTGCATGATATTCGAACTAGTGACGGGCGACTACTTGTTCGACCCCAAGGCCACTGAGTAGTGTATCTTGCCACATCTGGCTCGACTGTTATGTGTCTGTAGGGACTACCCACGAGATGAGGACCATCTAGCACTGTGCATGGAGCTGTTGGGGTCAATACCACATAGGTTGGCATCACAGGGACGACATAGCAAGACTTTCTTCAACCGGAGGGGTCAGCTGAGGCACATCAAGAATCTTAGGCATTGGGGTGAGTCTCAGGGATGACGTGCCGTCGGATAGGTCAGCAAAGATAGCATGAGTAGTCGCGAGTTACAGTGTGTCGGAGTTACATAGTGATGACTTGCTTCATATCCGACTCTGTCTTTACTTCTGAGGTTCTCCTCCTATTGGTGGGTACTCTCAGTGTTTCCTATCTTGAATATCCATTTGTGGTTTGATTTAGGTCTTCACGATGTGCTTCTGCAGAAGTATAATCTAAGCCGTAAGGATGCGACGGAGCTTACCGACTTCCTGCTTCCTATGCTGAGTGGGTTTGCTCTCGGTACTGATGGCATTGAGGATTGTGAACAGATATGGATCCGAGTAAGAGAGCAACAGCTGAGCAGATGCTGAAGCATCCATGGCTACGAGGGATTCCTTGTGGAGGCAGCGAAGAGTTTGATGATGAAGAAGGGATCAACGGCAGAGATGAGTATGATGAAGACGACGTTAAGCCTGATTATTAATCATCTATCGCTTGATCGATTTTGAGTCCTGATAAAGGCATTCACCAACCTAATGGTTCTATCCAGCTGCGAGCACAAAGCTTTTCGATAAGAATGACAGTAGCCAGTGATTTGTGAAGTTTCTAACTGTACCATTCAAGCTGTATTATTCAAGAAGTTAATATTGAACCAATCATTTGAGGACGTTTCCTGTAGGCTACTGACGAACCACGATAGTAGCGCTTTTTCTTGGGTTTGTTACAGGGTGACAATAGTAATCATTTTCAGAAGGGGATCGATAGACATGAGGAGGTCAGTCACAAGTATCAGTGATGAGATAATGTCGACGGATTCCGCCTCCTTATATCCACGAGGTGGGTCAACCATCTCTGCCCAGACCGAGACAAGCAAGTTTGCAGACAACTGCGTGAAATACCATCGTTCAAGTCATCTGCCGAATCTGGTGGCCGCGGCTTGAAGAGAGATCGATACGATATATATAGGCTCACCTGTACCATCGTAGATCATTTCTGCAGACAGTCATCAAGATTCGAAGTATGAACAGTTTCACAGTCCCATGATGGTTCTGTTGATTGCCGTTGTGCTGTGTTATTAAAGTATGGAGACGTTTCGCAAAAGGGTTGACTAAAGATATGGGAGCCGACAGTGAGTGGGCGATACATGATGCGCAGCTTTTGTGAATACTTCGGAGAATGGGCGAGAACTTCTCGCCGAGAAGGGAATGAAGGCGGAACTACTAGGAGTAAGGTGAGTCTGTGTCCTACGTATGCTCGGCCGAGCCGCTTGACGGGTCTTCTGTGGCACAGTAACTGTGCTAGATGCAAGTCGGAGCGGGAAGAGTCATGTCAAGTCCTCGTCGATCCCAGAGCCTCGAACTTGTCCTAGAGGAGAGGACTCGCACTGTTGAAGATGATACAGAGAACCTGGAAAACACAAACGAGAATTAACCACAAGATCAGTCGAAAAAATTCTCATAAAGCAGCAGACGAAACGGTATTTACGCATGAGTGGTCAAGCGCGTGGAGAAATGGGGGGAGCCAATAGGATGATCACCGCAAACATAGTCGGTGATCTCGCGCTTTGGTACGAAGTCTCCGAGCGACAGAGAGCGAACGATCTACCACAGGGTGCGTAGCTCAGTGGTAGAGCGGCTGACTGCAGATCAGCAGGTCCTCGGTTCAAATCCGGGCGCGCCCTTTCAGCTTGATCATATCTACTTCGCTACAAGGCGCTGTGAGATGTCCTCGTTCAAGGATATTGATGCCCTAAAAATCAACCTCAGATCTTCGTGAGAATCGGGAGCTCTCCATCCACGGGATGAAGATGCTCCACGGTAAAGTAATGTGGCGATCATCTGGTATCTTGTTGGCAACAAGAGGTGGCAGGGTGGTAGAAACGGGGAAAGGAAGATCTCAAACTTTCCGCCCGTGGGAGGCTTGTCAAAAACGTGGAAAAAATAAGGAAAAGCTACTGCATACTTTTTTCAGTACTGGCTACTGCGCATCGGTGCAAATCGTGCGAGGTTGGATTTGACTTTCAGTTCAGCCCCTTTCCGGCAGCCCTTCGTGCAAATGAACTATACCTACCTCGAAGTAATCATGCTCTAAGTCCTGCTATGTAGTTGCGTACTACTAGAGAAAGCGGACGTTGCCAGCTGTTCCATCATCGAACTGATGCCGACTTTTATTCTACAAGTTAGGTGATCGATCATCGATCAGCAAACCATGTCTGCTCAGGAGCATGCTGAGCGCTCGCGCTGTCATTCGTGAATTCGAGTCGCATAGTGTTGGGTGAAGGTATATCGGGTAAAGATTCGGAGTTTCAATTCAACTCGCATCACCGACGGAGCTCTTCGGGCCTAGCGGTGAGATTAGTAGGGAAAATCTTAGCCTTCAAGAGCCTTCATATGCGAGCTCACCTCAGACCGACCTATACCAGACGGGACCCCACGACCCGACGGACCTATCCAGCCAATGACACCGACATCAAACTTCTCGAGACACGGCGAAAAACATCTCGTAGCTTAGGAATCATCAGCAGCGTGAACCGAGCAGGTACGGCACCAACTATCACGATATGGTCAACCTTAGGGAAGTGGCCGTCCGAGGCTACTCTCCCCTCGGAATATGCTGGACACGTTCCCGCGGTGGAGCACGATATACCCTGCAAGAGCACGAAGCTCTGGCAAAGACTTCCAGCACGAAATCTATAGGGAATACGTAAGCCCTATATGAGTTAGTTGCACTGGTCAAGATGGTAATCGATTGGTGCGATTATGAAATGAAAATAATCTCCACATATGACCTGAATAGTTTCAAATTCATCGATAGGCTTTCAGCTTTCAGTGAACAGCAGGCGAGAATTCCTAAGTTCTGTCGAAACCCCCGAGGAGCCAACAAAGTGAAGGATGGCTAACACCAGACGCTAATGGAGCTCCTATGGTAGACTTCTCGAGACGTTTTCCAGTTCCAGAAGAAAAACGGACCATTATCTGCGACGGGAGGCGGCACCAAACCACCTTATGCTGCAACACTCCCTGTTAGAAAGGTAGTTGAATCAATCGTCGGACTTTGAACTTACTGATCCTTCAGCAGCCTTCGGGCCCCAGGGATGCGTCAACCACTCCGTTCTATACCGCATGATAAAGACTAACCAAATGCCACAGACTGGCATGTCCAAGGTGCCACTGAGGAATTGATGCTGAGTTCGGGTTGGAGTGGTACTGCTAATTAAAACTGAACCAAATACAACGTTGTACATCCATCGGAACGGCTTTGAAGATATTCGTCAAGTGAGGGAACACCCGAGCTGGTGAGGAGATTTACTTCTTGCCCTTCTTCTCGAGCTTCCTCATGTAGAAAGCAAGCTCCTCTCCCTCAAGGATGTAACCGTCGGCACGGCCAGACTGACCAGGACGGCTCGAGATGCAAGCCAAGAGACGGCCAGCGGCGAACTGCTCCTCAACAGCGGGGTCCAAGTAGCGATCGGCACGGCGAGCCTTCAGCTTGGCAACGACGGAGTTGGACTTACCGGTAGTCTCAACCTCCGCAGCACCCTTCTTGCCTAAAAATGAACAGCACGAATACTAACCGCTTCACCAGAAGAGTAATGTATTACTGAGCTCGATGCCGAAGTGCTGCTCGTACCACTGCTTGAAGGGAGCGGCATCAATCTGGACGATGGTGTTCTTGACCAAAGTGTTAGTACGGACCAACTCGTTGTTGGAAGCGTTGTAGACAGTGTTCAAGATACGAGTCTTACGAGAGACACCCTCGGAACCCCAAGAGTAGTTACCGGTATCCAAACGGAGGGCACTGAAAGGACGAATAAAAGACATCAAACCAACCTGGTGGTCCTACCGGAACTTGAGGTTGCCACCGCGGCATCTGACGACGCGGACACGCCTGTTGCCAAGCTTGGTCATAGCAGCAGGGCGGCCGAGCTCGAACTGGCGCTTCTTCTGGTGGATGGCGCGGACGCCTCCGGTAGCTCTGCAAAAGAGGAAAAGGATAACATCAAAGACCAATCGTTGGGCGAGTCTACGGCTATTGATTGGGACTCAGAAGCGCCACAGTAGACTGAGATCATTCCACAAAATAGCAACCGACCATACTACTACGACAACGGCTACGAGTGAGAGTGTTCATCGATATTTTACCTGTGCTTGTGACGACTATCCCTGCTGATTCCCATGGTCGGTGTATGAAGCCGAGATGGAAATGATGGGTAATAGCTATCGGGGAGCAAATCGATCACTTGGGCGCGCGCTATATTTCAAGCATTTTCAAGAATCAGTGAAGCTTGCTATCACCTGAACGTCCGGGCTTTTATTCTAACTTTATAGCAGCGTTAGATGGTACCGGATCCCGTTCAGAGCAACTGTGTCCTGTGAGGGTAAGATACGATACTCTCATCGTCAGCTTAGACCGACTCGGCAGGGCCAGGCAAGTGTACACTAGTATCTCCTGATTACCTCCTTGTGGTATGTCAACCCTCCATGACATCCCCGATGGACCCGTGGAGGAGCTAGATGCCGCCGCCTTGGAAGATCTCATAGGCGTCCTACAGCGTCATCAAATTGAATGTGAAAAGACCAGTCGCTACAGCGAAGCGGAGGCAACACGAAAACGACTTGAACAATTGAGGGAAACTGAGAAGGGAAGGGCAAGGGAGGTGACTCGGTCGGCTCTGTTGAGCCCGCAGTAGTGACGGCCGGCTTAGGAACTCCGCACTCAGCAACTGGCTGAGCGGCTCAGCGTAGAAGAGGCACATATGAATGAGCTTCAGGTGAGGGGATGACCAGGGGCACTGGAGAGCGAATCAGGACTGGTTAGGAGTTCAACGAGATCTGGGATAAGACCATGATGGAATTCGAACAACATTCTCAATCGCTGCAACAACAATTGGCCGAAAGACAGATGCAGGACCACTTGGCGTAGGCTGTCTTGATCAGTGCGGAATTGGAAGGATCGTGTTATGGATAGTTATAGAGACAAGTTGAACCGGGAGGTGCAGCCTAAGGCGCCACGATGGAGCAGGCAACTGTTGAACTTGAGGAGAGTACAAGTAGGTCAGTCGTCAATCGGGGACCTGCTATGATGGGCCATCAGGAAACTCTAGGGAGGCAGAAGCAATACGCGGACGCGGCTCGGTCGAAAGAACAGGCTGATCTGCTTGAGCTGAAGGAGCATGAGGCTTGGAAAACGAAAAGGGACAAGAAAATTCGGAGTAGGATGGTCAGCGACGGGATGGTGCTTGACCATCATAGGCATTGTCGGAAAATACGCACGTGGTCAACTCCGTGTTGGTGGTAATTAGGAAATTCTTGTTGGTTTCTGTGCACTTCTACCCGAATCCGCATGTGGAGATCTATAATCTGTGCTTAGCTGAGAAAAGTGAGCGTAAATTCTAAGTCTGGTCATAGGCCTCCTCGACCAGTATACGTACAAGCAGCAGCTTGAGGCGGCTGGGCTGGTAAAGAGGATCCAGTCCGGGAGGGAGGTCCGGGAATTTCGTGGCGCGCGGTAGGAGATGATAGGTGTGTTAGGAGCAGAAGTCAGCACGACGCACAGAGCTGGAGCGTCTGTTACAGCGTTATCACAATGTGAGAACTCAACTTGAGAAACAACAGCATCTCATACGACAGAGGATGGAGAAGTAGTTGGAAAAGTTACGGTATGGCTGAGGGCCTCACGTTCCTGTCCCAGATACCCATCGATGGCTTGTGCTGCTGCTATGAGGAGTAGTCGAGTCATTAGCCCAGTACCTTGAAGAGGTCTCTGTCAGGTTCAGTGATGTCCCGTGAAGGGCCTTTCACGTCCTCTCTGAATAGCAGTAGAGGGAGGAGCCCGAAGTCCTACGGCAGACTGCTCTCGCCCAACATCACTAGTGTAGAGACAGGACCGAATTTGGCCAGTCCACTGAGTGGTAGTAGCTGATAGCATGTACGATGACCGTAGTAATGAAGCATTGGTGTGTTGACGATGTTGTGTTGGTCAATTACCACGCGCCACACTATTCGCGACAGGATGGTATCATTGTTGGCGAATACCCATGCCTCATCCCAACGTGAGTGAGGAACCAATTAGAAGGGGTCTGAAAAGGTCCTGGTTCGATTGGTCTCTCGACGCGTGATGGTGAGTGGTTCAGATCCCTTTCTTACCACGGAGGATGCCGGTCGAAGAGTCAGAGCATGTCCCCTGTCCGAAGGGCGGCCCTTGGTAGTCTACGCTCTACCCATAGCGCGGCTCGGCTAGGGCCAGCAGCTCGACCACCCGATCACCCGAGTTCCCTGGTGGCCGAGTTTGGTCGATACCGCAGTGGAAGCGACATCTACACATCACGATCTTGTGGCTATGACTTACTTCAATTGGTGGCTCAGGGTTCAGAGGGGGATGTAGGCAGCAGCATTAAGAGGCGTCGAAAGGGAAAGGATTTTCCACAGGTGTATAGCGCTGCTTTCCGTGCTGACACGACTCAGCCATTGTGTATAAAGATGGTCAAACTGCGGTCGGCTGCGGTACGACGGCACGCAAGGCAGGAGGTACCAACCCGGGCTTCGGCGTCGCTGTGAATTGTGCTGGGCAGCTGGCCGTGCTCTTTGGACTGATCAAGGGACAGGAGGATGGCAATGATGATGGTGGATCTAGTGTTATCAATTTGGTAGGAAATTGTTGTTGGCGTTGATATTTTTTCATACCGTCTTAGGTCGGAGCCTTTGACTGGTTCCTGTCACCGTCGCAGCAGGAGTTGGGTATAGTCATGGAAAGGTAATGTTTGGGTCAGGCTTGTCCGAATTCCAGCCTCCTCCTTAGATGCGACTTCTGCCTCGATGATTTCATCTGTGTAATCAACGCAGTTTCAGATCGTCTGAGTAGAGACGAGTCCCTTCGCAATAGCGTTAACTCTGCAGTGGATGGGAAAATGAAGGTACGTGGTCGCGCTGGTGAGTCTGTTAGACTTGGTCGGTCGTCGTAGGGCCAGTCTTGGTGGGTGCGACTCCATTCCGAAGAGATGTTGCGTATCTTTGCGCATGCGTGCAGAGCTCTGGAGTATCTTCATGCCAATATGGTTGTGAGTCCTTTCCTTTGCAGGCTTCCTTCAGACGAATGGACAGGTTCACTGTGATGTGAAACTCGACAATTTACTCTACCATTCGGCCAGCGGGTCATGGAAACTATGTGACTTCGGCTCTAGCCGTACCGTCCCCGCGCTAGGGGAAGCTCTAAAATCGACAGGTAGCCTCTTGTTACCTTTCGAAGCCCAACGACTACTCTCAGATCGTCTTGTTGGCACGTTGTGGACAGCAGCTCCGGAAGTCATAAGATACGGGTAGGGTCGTTGGGATGTGATCGATCACAGCATGGATGTAGATATATCACACCAGCCTGTGATGTCTGGTCCCTGGGCTGTGTTTTGTGGGAGTGTGGCTACCTTGAGCGACCCTTCAACTCGAGAGTACTTTTAGCATATCAAAACAAGTCCGTGAACTTACTCGAAGGACCAAAAAGAAGGCCGGGGACGGCCCCCTGGATTTATAGCAAACAGCTGCTGTTACTTGTGAAAGAGCGTATGCTCGTGCAGAAGCCGGAGTTGAGAGCTGATTGCTCACAAATGCTCGCGACTGAGTTCCTCCCCAGCAAGTTTCCGAGAGGCTCATTAACTGTTACTGCGGAGGATTTCGCCTCGGTGTGGTACGCCAAACAGGGTATCTTCACGAACGTGGTTGAGATGCGGCTTATTGAGCGTTTACGCTGGGAGCATACGATCGAGTAAATCTGGGTTGGGTTCCCATGGATAATCTCTTGAGGTGTCATTAACTATTTGCTGTTGGCTTCGGGCGGTCTTGGGTTGAACAAGTTGTGGGTTGGTGAGAAAAATAGTAAATCAACATTGTCACCTGAATTCTCCATTGACGCGTACTAACATTGTTAATCAACTAGTCAGAAAAAGTAGAGATACAGTGAGCGTCATATCTCACCACTGTCTCCAGGCAAATATCGGTTGATGAAAGTAACCTTGAATGACATCCCTGAATAACCCTTGCGGTTATCGTAGCATACTCATCGCTTCACTTCGAAGGAGGCCCATGAGTGAATGAATGAGGCCACCAAAACTGCACAGCGATAACTGCGCTAAGATTGCCTCCGACGAGGATTCTCTATAGGAGTCTGCGGCAGGGGCGCAACCTTAACAAGATGTGTTGACAATAAGATGCCGTTAAAATGACGTGACCAGGGTTCGAACCGGCCTCCCGTTCGACTACTCACTAATTGTGCGACTTATTTCGATCAACATGTCTACGTTGCCAAAAAGGGCCCTTTTGGTCAACAGAGTAGACGATGACATCGTTGGTGGAGTGACGTGGTTTTCCTAGTTGATTCAACCTACACATGCCAGCTAACGCTGAAGAAGAGGATGCCCTTCCAGTAGAGGGGGCACCAGTTGAGCCAATCACTGCATCCAAGAAGAGGAGGAACAAGAAGAACAAGAATAAGGCGGCAGTCGCCGAGGAGCACAAACAGGAGGGGACGACCACACCTGAGGGGGAGCAGAACTCTCCTGTTAATGGAGCTGAGGAGGGCGAGGGAGCTGCCAACAAGAAGAAGCGCAACAAGAAGCGTGGTAGGAGCCGGGGAAGGGGTAGAGGCTCTTCCTATCATTGATTATATACAGGCCATGGTGCTAAGAAGCTCCCTACGCACGTCCTCCCAGCCCAGGACAACTCGGCTCTTAGGTGCCTGGGAGACTGGAAAGAGGTTTTAATTTCAAATTCATACGCTAACGTTTATCAATTGGGTATCGTCAGATCACGACGGCCCAGACCTCCCCGCCGACGGTTCAGATAGAAAAACTGTTCCCGAAAAAGTCGTTCCCTCTTGGAGAAATACAGGAATACACTGGTAGGAAGAATATCGATTCGGAAGTTTGTGGAGAATGGATTTTCATGTTGCTATCTTTATGATGGTCTTTGGTAGGATCCAATGCCTACCGTACCACCTCTGCTGAGATGAGG